ATCCTCGAACAAGCCACCTGCATATCCCGCATTATGTACCCGAGCAAATGCGCACTTGCCATTTGATCATTGGAAGCTCTGGTGGGAAGCGCCTAGAGTCGATGGCGCCTCAGCCGGCCCGGACCCAACCAGAATTCGGCCTTCAAACCAGCCGCAGCCCATGGAAGCCGTTGACGCGGCTTCGGGGTTGCTCAAATGAACCCGCCTGTACCAAATCCCCGGGCTTAAAAGGTGCATTGCAACCGGGAAGCAACTTACGAGTAATTGCTGGGCACGGCAGGGGAACAAACCCGTGAAAATCATAAGATGGAACCAGAAACTCGGCGAGCAACCCTCATCCGCTTGTGCTCATTGCACATGTCTTTGTGGCACTTGCCTTCTCCAGAGTTCCCATCGTCACATCCATCTCTGATGATCCTGCACGGAGCCCGGTCAGACAACACGCAAAGGAGCCCAACAACGGCTTCCCTCTGCATGCCGTGTTCCGCTGAGGTCGTACCCACATGTTTGCACCACAATTTCTACTGGAATGTGTACCGGCTAAGGCGATCGAATCGGCAAACGAGGCAGAATACGAAGCAATAATATCCTTGACTCCAGGGAGGGACCCCAACTGCTCCCAAAAGCATGCCTGATGTTCATGAATGTGAGTTGCGGCTTGATGCAAAATTAGGTTTGTGATTTCCGGAAGCACGCGTATCATGCTTTAAAGGTGATACGCATTGAGGGGGATGCTATGGCGAGCCACTAGCGGGTCCCATCGCCCAAAGTGGATGACCATCCCAGGCAGCCAGTCAGATGAAACCCATCCTCTTAGCTGCATTCTCTGCCTGCTAGCGATCCCCAGCTTCTAACAAACCAGCTCTTGCCATGGCTCTCTGCTACGCAGCCGCATCGAACGCCTGAACAAGTAGGTGTTCGGCGTGTGTATATTGTATGTGTTGGGCAAACCAACTCCATGCTCACTAGTGTTGTCATAAACAAGGGTTGCAGAAGTTGCAGATCTCGCAACGGTCCTTACATTATACGCCTGAACATTGCCTTGTACATGGTGGTGTCCCTTTATTTTGGTGTTGAAAAAGCCATGTTTCAATAGGGCAACATGTATCTAAGGAGCCCTGGCAAATGACTAAGACACAACTAGGTCTCTGTCAAATTCAATGCCGAGCTCAGCAGGCCTGGTGTTTTTGCGAGGGTCCAAGGGGCCGGGAGCGGAACGGGGAGGGTGGGGGGTTAAGCTGAATGCAGGGTTCCCTAAATCTTCCCGCAAAATTGGCAACCATCTGCTGACGTCCAAAACCACCAAATGGGGGAAACAGCGCTGGAACCCTCGTATATCCAAGCCATGGGAGGTTTTGTCTGGTGGATGCGTTCAGCCTCCACCCCAACATACCCCACCACTCCCTTCCGAAAGAAGTGTCCGGCTGCATTGGACAGGGTTTGCCATTCGGTTGTGCACCCCAAAAGCGTGCCTTCACGATTTGCTAACCTTCTTTCACAACATGCAGTCAGCATACTTCGAGGACTAAACACGAGGGGTAAAAAGGCTGGCGCTTCCTCTCGCACAACCCACCCGGTCAATGTGATTCCCCCGCACCCCGGCCTGCTTCTTCATTCTGAATCCAAGCCTGAGAGGGCGACATTCTTGCAGAGCAGATCTCATGGGTCGGTCTCAAAGGGGAAAATTTGTTGGAAGGAGACAACGACTCACCTTCAAACTATCATCGAACCCACAAAATAGGCTTCCCAAAAAAAATCCTCCACAGAAAACAATAACTTCAGCAGTTTGCACTGACCCAAATTCAGGGAACACTCATGTATACGTGCACCTGACACGTTCATGCTCTCAAAAGCCGACGTCATGCATCGTCATGTCCCAAGGGCACGACATCAGCCCCCGGGATAAAGAAACAAACTAAGCGACCGCAAAAGCCTCTGCTTCCAGCGTGCTTCGCTGAAGCTCCTTCTGCCAAGCTTCTTCCCCAAGACCGGCTGCTCCACGTGGCTGTGAGAAGAACATGCGGAAAAAACAAGACTAAACCCATATGTCCCCGAAACCTTCAGGCCCGCCTTTGCAGGAAAAAAACGAAGGCCGATTGACAGCATCCCAACACACGTGCCTTGCAACCAGCGGAATTCTCCGGGTGCAAATGGGTACTTGCCAAGCCTTGCGCCTTGCGAAATTCTGTTTTAGGCGGTCGAAAAAAATCAAAGGAAGCCTACATTTGTCTACCCTAAACAGTTGTTCGAACCCTCGGAAGGACAGCCTTCCGCGTCGCATAAAAGTAACAACGCTGCGAAATATCCAACGTGTCCCCAAAGAAGCGGACGAGGGCTGGAAGCCACCATCCTGAAAGGGTCATTCCACGTTTGCCGTTGGGGAAACATCCCGTTCAGCGGATTGAAAGGCTTCAACTGGTGAAACTTAATTGGACAAGTCTTTGGGGTTGGGGCAATGTGGCCCAGTGCCCACAACTGCAAGGCAGTTGGTCAAACTCGGGCCATGGCCATGGTCGCTTTGCTATGTGGTTGGTCCATTGGACCTCCCCGGGGTTGCTTGCAAAGCCTGATGACATGTCCCTTTGGCAGCCTCTGCTCTCGCCAGATGTGATGCGCCTACAAAATAGATCCAAACCATGCTAAGTTCTGTTCGTTTGCAATTTTCAACTACCCGGCACTGAATAACATTCATTTGGTCAACAACCCAAACCATTTCCATGCGACTGTTCGCGGATTCTTGTTTAACATGGTGTTGGACCAACATCAGTCTCTGATTGGTTGCAAATCCGTTTGCTAGCTTCAAGCCCAAACAACCATTTGCAATTTGGGCCTGTATTTCCTGACCAGTCGCCTTGAGTGTGCTTCTCCAAGCCTCACAAAACAAACAGCGGAGAAAGCAAACAATCCAAGCCAAAGTGGCCAATATCAGTGAGGGTCTTCAACTGTGTGCCCTAGAAAAATCGACCATAGCACTTTTTGTCCCGTCCGAGTGGCAGCCACCACCGTGATATCGTCCTCCTTGCCACCGGGAAAATGCAGCCTCAGTCGATCGCTCTGGGAGCTGCACCGGAAAGAAAAATCACTGGGCTGTTCGTTTTCCGATCCTAACTTGTAGGGAAACCCAACCACTCAACAAAAAAGAAAAGAGCTAAGGAACCGGATGGCTGGGAACCACCAAGACAAGCAATCTGATGTGCAGAATTAGTAGTAATGGTCAGGGAGGTCCGTGGAGTCCCCAAGAAGTCTCTGCAAATGGTACCTGGAAAACGCTCAAGCAGCTCGATCTGACACATGGATAAGGCCTACATGGGATATCCCGCACCATTTCATGAAACCGCATGCTTGAAATGTCAAGGCATGATTCGGATTGATCTACGTCAATATCCATGATTCGCCAACCTGAACTATAAAGAATCCTCAAGCTGGAGGATCCTCATGGGTGGAACTGTTTGTTTCACTGCTGAAAACGGATTGGCTTAGGCTGATGGTCGCCTGGCCCCGCCCGGCCGGTTGGTTCGGCTTGCTTGCAGCCGCAGTGGCCGGTTTCGACGTGCGGACTGCGCAAAAGGCGTATTAGCCTGCAGCATCGGGCACGCATGGAAGGGATACCACAGCCCCTTCTTGATGCCCTGGAGTGCCGTTTTTTTCTTCGCAGGGTCCATGCAACTTCAATCAATGCAGGGTGGAAAGTCAACACCTTGTGCCAAGGTGATTGCCAAGTCGCTCCTTCTGGAGCACTGTGACACCAACGTCACATGCCGTATGGTCCCAGTCCCCGTCCCTGGTACACCATTGATCTTCTCAGAAAAGCCGCGACTCCTAGTGCCACCCTTTCTGTGATACCGAAGTGTCCGACTCCTGCCGCGACTACCTTGCCGTGTAAAGAGGGGGTTCCCCTTGACACTCACAGAAACTGCCAACCTCAACATTTACTCCCGTTATACAACCGTGCGGGCAACTTGCGAGAATTCACGTATCTGAAATGAGAAATCCTCAAGCACTGTGTCATCAGCAAACACTCTTGACCCCTAGGTGAAGTTGTCAATTTAATCCAACCACGCAACAACTTCTCCATCTGGTCCCACATGAGAACCCCCGTTTTTCCATCCCCAAGCCCGGTTTTCACCATTCCTGTTCACCTGCATCCTGGCTGTTAAGCCGTCACCACAACTTGGCTGACGTTGGAAGAAGAGCAAAACTTTAAAATTTGGCAGTTACGTGGTTGGATTTCAACCACTAAACCACAATAAGCAAAAAAATGTAACAAATGTTTCCCAACAACAACCATGACAAAGAAAACCCTGGCTTTCAGCCATCACCCCCAAGAAAACCCGATCGAAGAATAAGTCCGTCCGCTTCCTCCGGCCTTGGTGTCGTGGGAACGCTTCTCGGCCTTCTCCGCCAGGGCTTGCGCGATCTCTTGCGGAGGTACGCGCCCGCCTCCGCAGAAAGGGCCAAAACACACCAGCGACGGGGTGGGTTTCTTTTGGAGGGTACCCGTTTTTATTTTCCCAAACCCTAAAGCACTGCCACGCCACTTGTGTCATGTCCCCTGGCTTACTGTTGTTTGTATCAATGTCATCTTGCCATCGACTGGGTGTGCTTCTGTTTGAGGGTACTCGTTTTTTTGATTGGTTTCGAGCGAGCTCAAAGGGGAGCGGTCAAACAAAAAACTGGGGGTCCCTGCCTTTGCAGCAGCCGCCACCGGGGGTAACATTATATAAGCATCTTCTAGCGATAACACGTCCTTCTTGTAAGCCAAGCTCACTTGTCAAAAGGAGGGACATGCTGAAGTTAGGTCCGACCAAAAAACGCTCAATCTCCGGCAAAAGCAAAAATGGGGTTTTTGCTTCGCACATTTTCACACACGGAACAATGCGAAAACAAGCCCCGCCCAGCATGGAGCTGCCCCGGCAGTGTAGAGCCAAAGACTAACACCTGCGTAACCCTGTCTCTTTTACTTTTTGAGCCACACCCATATTGATCAACCCCACATACAATCAGATCTTGGCCAGAACGCCTGGCAGGCGTTCCACGACCTCGTCCACTGCCCGCACCACCTGGCGAAACTGTTGCCCGCGCAAAGAAGCGCAGACCGCTTGGGCGGTCTGCGAAACGCGAGGGAACCCGACTATCCCGAAAACGCGCAGGGCGTGGAGAAGAACAAATGCGAGGCCAAGATGGGTGATCTCTACTTTTTATGACGACTTTGTCACTTTAAAATTGGGTCAGAGTCAAAACCTGGTACAACAGATCTCTAATTGCCTAACATTGTAAAGAATCAAAGGGTGGACACACCTACTTTTTATTGGCAGGAATTTTGATTGAGGACCCTTGGCAAAAACCGCATTTACACGGCGATCGATGCACCCACCCCTGCGTGCCACTCCTCTTATTCAATAATTGTGCATAGACACCTTCATCGCCATTTGGCCATGGAAAAACATTGGCAGGGGGGATCCCAACCAAACATCAGCTGGCTTCCTTTTGGCTTCCTGAAAAAAGAAAAAGAACAACCACCCGAACCGGGCTGGATCTAAAACCAGCCAAAAAAACACGTGGCCCCATTGCTTACGTCTCTGAGCGGAAGCGGAAGCGGAAGGTGGGCTCTCGGGGCGTCAAGCCTCGTGCCAGTGCAGGTTGTCTGTGAGGCCATCTGTGAACAAGAGGAGGAGATCACCTCCACACGAGCGACCGACTTGAGGGGAGGCCGAGCGGGATAAGCACAAAAATAACAAGCCCCCAACGTCTGTCTGGGCTGTGGGCTGCGGGCTGTGAGGCTGTGGGCTGTGGGGCTGTGGGTGGGTCCGGCAGAACGGCCCCTGCAACCAATGTGTGGGCTGTCGGTCAATAACTTTGAATGGCTTAAATGGAGCACTAAGCCCTGCAAGCAACCTGTCGGCGGCCTGCCCGTTTTTCGACCTGCTAAAGGTGAATAGTGGGTTAAATGAAAACTACCACTAAACTGCAGGCTGTCCCTATTCTATTAGCTCGTGGGGGAAATGCAAACTTCGACAAAACCTTCAATCTGTGGGCTCTCCTTTTTCTGACCTGCCCAAAGACACTACACACTTTAGTGGGTTGTTCATGGAAACCACCAAACCAAACTCAAACCTAAGATAGCCTAAGGAACCGGACGGCTGGGAACCGCCAAGAAATGCAAGTCAACATCTTTTTTTGTGGCTTGGTACCCTCCTGTCCACGCGGAACCTGACTGTGGGGTCCTGCAAAAAATGGACCCCGCGGTGGGTTCCATGTTCATGGGCAGGAGGGTACCTGAACAAAAGGAAAAAGGACATTTTGGGGGGGCCCTTAAACAAGGCGCACCCATGTGACCAATTCTCAGAGGGGTCCCGTCTAACGGGTTCTATCTAGTAAACATTGGATTAAATGGGTTCCGATCGCTTAGCTTGATAGAAAACCATTGAGTAAAACCCATTTCGGGATACACATCATACATGGGGCCTGGAAGACGTGGACAGTTCCCTTTCCTACCCATTTTGCAAGAGGATCCTCTAAAACAGCTGGCACAGCTGATGCGAGGACCAAAGGAAGCCATCACACATGCATCACTACATCGCAAACCAGCTCTGGGATCGGTTGCCCTGTGCAAAACTAACCCAAGAGGACAATTGGCTCTTGGCGGTGTCAGGTTTACTAATCTTGGGTTCTTAGTATCTCATCCCACACGCGGCTCGCCCACAAGCATCTTTAGGGGGATGTCTGCCGCTGCCTTTAGGGTTTAGGTTTAGGGTTGTTAGGGTTTAGGTTTAGGGTTTTTAGGGTTTAGGTTTAGGGTTGTTAGGGTTTAGGTTTAGGGTTTAGGTTTAGGGTTTAGGTTTAGGGTTTTTAGGGTTTAGGTTTAGGGTTTTTAGGGTTTAGGTTTAGGGTGTTTAGGGTTTAGGGCTTAGGGTTTAGGGTTTAAACCCAAGACAGGGTGCTCCAAATCCAGGTTTCGACCCCCAAGTTTTTGAGGGAGTTCACCACACACAGGTCTACAAGCTCCCACGCCTGCCACATTTTTTAAGGGTCGGGGCGGGGGCGGTCGCAAACGTCGCGGGCAAGCGGGATGTTTTGGCCGTATCTCATGCACTTCTAAGCACAAGAGCAGCTAAATCCGTCATGGCATGTGTCAACAACCCGGGGCCTTCTAATTTGTGTGGTCTCTCTTTCTTGGCAAACGCATCCAACAAGGGTGAGCCAAATGTACATCTCAAAGGCATCTGCCTCCATTTCGCTCGGTTGCTTTTTGCTTTGGACTAAAATGGCCATCCGGCCATCCTATCATTGGCACATCCCTAGCAGCCAATCAACCACGGCTTCCGGCGCCCGCTGCGCGGCGCCCAACTTTTTTCCGCCCAGTTCCATGCGGCAAGCCTGAGCCAGCGAGCGAGATCTGCGGGCTGAGGCGGGGTGCAGTGCAATGATCCTAAGGCATGGTCCAAGGAATATTTGCCCCAAGTACTTTTGCCGGAGAAAGAAGAGACCCCCGAATCCCGGGAAAGATTACGAGGGGGGCAGGTTTTCCACGCTCCCGTTGAACTGATGGCAAAATGAGCCATCTCTACAACTACTGTGTCACTTGAGAAGGGCAGCGTGTTTGGAAAAACGAGCCACCTTTCTGTAGACAAGTGGCCAGCCGGGGTTGAGCCTTGCGACCTCTTGCCCAACCTACCCTTGGATCATGGGGGTCGGGGCGTCTGGCAAAGGATTGCGATGCCCATCTTTGCTGCTTTTGGGTGGCTTCCCCTCACTCTGGGCTTGCTTGAGGGCATTCATCATGGGTAAGCTCGTCTTGCCCGCATGTGAGCTTCCTATACATTGGCCGGAATGATGCGTTGAACCAACCATTTTGGTTTTTTAGGCTCCCCTTTGGACAAACGTTGTTACCTGCCATGGCAGACCCATTCAGCGAAAATTTCCCAGCCTCCTCAGCCCACCACAGCGCCGCCCTCTCGGTTCGCTGCAGCAGCGGCGGCAGCTGCCCATGGATGCCCTGGCAGGCCTCAGATCGTCAGATCAGGCGAATCCGATGGCGACGTTGCATTGAAACGTCATGCCCTCCAACAGTCGTGGAAGCTGACAGGCGGGTGTTGGAAAACGACCTTCCGGTTCAGGGACGCCTCTGTCCACTTCCATGATTGTTGGAAAGAGGCGCCAAGTCGCCAAACTGAAACAAGAGGCCCCCTACGATAAAATGCCGTGCGTGGGGGATAGCTCCACGTATCCTCAAATTCGGCTCCAACCGTTCAGCCAAACTAAGAAATCAATGTTCCGCGCCCTTCAATTCTTGGCTTTAAACACACACATATTTTTCCAGGGTAGTGGTTGGTCTTTTATCCGCTCGCCTCCCCTAGTCTCTCTGCTTGATTGCTGTTGACCCCTCTGCAACAAGTGGTTTAACTTTTGTGGGTCCAATTCTGCAAATTTCAAAGATCTGTTGCCAAATAGCCATAACTTGCTGGTGCTCAGTTGACCTTCCAGGTGTTGGGAATGAACCAAAAGGGGAGTCTCTTGCAGGACGCCATAGGGGATGATTTTCTTGGGCTCATTCCCTCATTTCCTGCTGAGAGCCAGCAAGTAATTGGTGGGTTGGTGGTTTGGAGGTTCGGGCTGGCTTCCCATTTACCCTCTCCTGACGTGTCGCGGGGTCCTGGTTTGGACCATTTTCCTTTTAAAGTGACCATTTCCCTGAACGTCAGACTCCATGTCAATTGCGTCCTGGTTTGGACCATTTTCCTTCAAAAGGGGACCAGGTTCCACGTTGATTTGGTGGGAGGCAACCAACCCAAAGCATCTCCCCAGCACCGCGATCTCTGCTGCCCGGCGTTGGCCACGGCCGCCAGCCCCGCCGCGTCCATCCCGCCGCCGAATTCGATCGCCAGCGCGAGGGCCCGCTGCCAAGCGAGGCACCGCTCGCAGGCGCGGAGCGCCGAGTTGAAGCCTTGGGGTGGCTGTGGAACCTTTTTGTTTGGTGGAGTTGAGTTAAGATGGTGTTTACTGGAGTTATAAAAGCATGTAAATCCATTTGATGGAGTTGGGCTATTTTGTTGAAAAAAACATGTAAAACTGGCGTTTCCGCCCCTTCGGCTGGAACCGTTTTGAGTTTTGTGGATTTGAGTGGATTCGAGGGAACGGTTTTTTAGTGGAGTTGAGTTTAGATGGTGTTTACTTAAGCTGATCAGAGCGTTTAAGCTTTTAGTTGAGTTGAGTTGAGTTTACATCAGTTGGTGTTTCCTTTTCTTGAGTTATATTGAACCATTTGTGGGGGTTGAGTTTACACACTTTGAGTTGGGTTCACCTTTGTTTTTGGAGTTTACCAATTTTGGTGGACGACTGTTGAGGCTCACAAAGTGGCCAGAATACGGAAAAGGTCACGTTGGGTTGGAGGAAAAAGCTGATCTAGCGGGGTCCCTGCATTTTCTCTCAAGGGGGGGGGGGCAATAATAGACCACATATTGGATGCCCCAACTGTGGATTCTGCCAACAGCCTCCCTTGTTTAGCTTAGCACTGCCAAAGGGGTGATCCATAGGCAGGGCATTTAAAGCAAGCCCTAGAGTACTGGCCCTGATTTCTCGACTCAAATGACGAAAGCTACCACATGATTCACGATAGTGGGTGAATTAGAACCCGATCACCAACCCAAAAAGGGGATGCCCGTGAAAGCAAGCTCCGTCGTGGCTCCAACCTTCGCATTCTGATTCGCAGCCAACGGGAGACATTATAACCTGAACACAGCTATTAGTGAATTATATTCATCACAACAAAAAACATTAAGGACCACTAAGCCAACGAATGCCAGCCCAGCTTGCCACAAAACACTGAAAGTAGCCTGGTATTTTCCCCTGTTGGTCAAGCGGCAATGGGTTGGCACATATGCACAAAAGGGAACAAATACACATGCCTGCACATAAGAAACTACGAAGAACTATATAAAGCAAACATGCCACGGTAACCTGACTTGCCTGTGCTAAGCGCATGCACAAAGGGAACCCTTAACATGGTGCGAACTCGGTCAAAAGCCAGGTTACCCCAACAGGCCAAAGGTACAAAGGCGGGATTGGGGCAATTGTAGAATTGGGCCGTTCAAAATTTGATCCTGGATCCCTGAGCCTCCTCCATACTTTGTGGTGGCACGCCACGGATTAAGGGAAACCACCTCATCCATCTGGCATCAGCACCTTGCGGATTCAGTTTGAACAGTCCACTTTTGGGGGACCCCAAGAAGAGGAACAAGGGGTTGACTGAGGTGCAGTCAGATGCGCTGATCTGGTCTGGCTCAAGGTCTTGCCGCTCCATTTCTGCCAGGAGCCTGGCAGCCCATTCTGACTCGATCCTTCCTTTCGGAATGGGAGATCAACATGTCGCCAACCCAGCCCTATTTGTGGTTTGGAGGTTAGAGGGTGCCCCCCCCATTGGGCTCAACCAGAACCAGGGGTTCGGAAGCAAACTGCAACTCCAAAGCATGTAAACCTGATGTTCTGCATTCATTCGCGTTAGATGGAAAATCCGGAAAAAAAAGGGGAAACCAATCCCCCATAATTCCCCATCCCCTTCTGGTTTCCTTTCGGAAACGCGGGAGCAGCACGCCGAGTTTGACGGACCCCCCACCCCCAATTGCCCCCGCCCTGTGCCGCTCGCCGCCCGCCTCATGGCCGGCTCCACCCGTCGGCTCCGCTCACAGGCGCTGATGCACACGTTGAAGGCCATCTGCGCCCGCGCAGCCTGGATCCGACGAGCAGATCAAATCCAAAGAAAACCAACCGCCAACCTGTGGACATCATTTAGGGTTTAGGCAGCCAACTAGTTCCAAGGATGGTGTGTGCCGACCATCTCCAGATATGACCAGAATTCCAAAACCTGAAATCTGAAACAAATGGAGGCCCGTATGCACCCCGTATATACCCTGTATCTAGTCTCATGCCAGCCAATTTGTTCTTGAGCTGTGCTGGAACTGCGCATGACAAATACTGGGCCTACGATATCACATCATGTTTCTCAGAGGCACGGGCTCAACAACTGCAAGTAGCAGTGGTGCCTACGAGGTGCGGGGTTGAGGAACATGCGGCTTACTGGCTGCAGTAAAACCAGTCCGGCAAAAACCGGAGGGTGCACAGCAATGGGATGGGCTTCAGGGCAACAGTTAGGATCCAGGCAAGTGTAGCCGCGCAACAAATACTGACCTTCCTCGGGTCAGACATCGGTCGCTGCCGCAACTTCCGTGGGCGACGGATCAAATCAAACACGTCGCTTGACTGGACCATCGAGAGCAAACAAACTAGCGGCAATTGGAGAAGCGCGCTACCTTTTGACCAAGATTCAAGCTGCACAAGCCTTGTCCAAACTAAGAGCTTCAAAAGACTTGCAGAAGTCCGATTGATTTGACATCATTCCCACATGACCCCGGAGGTTACCGGCGCTGCACATCTGCCACCGCCTGCTTCAAACGGAGCAACTCATCCAGCAGCTGCAGCGTCAACTGCCAGCCGCTTGCCTGGCAATTCGACCAGCCAAAGCCTGGTGGGCCGATTCTGACGCACCGCAGCCCAACCGAAAAAAGCTCTATCCCCATCCATCAAGGTCTGCCTGCTCGGTTGCTACTGGACATTTAAGCCACTCACTTGCCAAGATTGAGCTTTTGGGATTGGCCAAGCCTGCACCTTGGGACAAAACACAAAATCCAAAGGTCGGCCGTAGTGAGAAATACCAGCAAGAAATACCACTGCTGAGCTGATCTTCCACATGGAAAGGGCTGAGAGTTGTTGTTGAAGCCAACCTGAGCCAGCTTCCCGCTCGCTTTTTGGTTGGTAGCCAGTTCTCTGCTTCCCATTTGTCAGGCCTCTGGATGACTGGAAACTGGGGTAGGATCCTAACTAATGTTGTTTCCCACTTGCTGCATGGGCTACTTGTGCCAACCTGACGTAGTTTGGATGGACAAACTCCTGCCCTATGAATACTGGGAAAGGCCAACCCAACTAGCGCAGGAATTTGCAGGGCTCCCTAAATTTCCCCTTAAAACAGTACCACCAAGGGATACTCACCATTTCATGCCAAAAAAAAGAGGTGATGTTCACACCCCATGGGCGCAAACAGTGACTTGTGCCACCGTTTACGCCAGAGGAATCGACCCCTGATTTCTCCATCTATAGCTTGCACCTGTCCCGCCTTCTCGCAGGCGGACATGGCGGCTGTGAAGGACACCTTTACGCAAAGCAAAGCGAGGCAACCAGATGGGTGGTTTGGATTTTTGGAGGCTCGGTGCCCTTTAAGAGCCTGGTTTCAATGCAAACCAACCGGAACAAAAACAACAGCATTTGGTGGTCCTGCCTATTTTGGTACATACCCACACGCATCTCATAGCCTGAGATCGTTTTTACTTCAGCATGCTCGCCTTGACCAACGAGGCTACAACGTGGACAACGTCGGCAAATTCGCAAGCATGCTCTTGTATCAAAGCGCAACAGCCCTCTGCAACTTCCTTGGGGTGGCTGTTCAAAGGGGGCGAAACGGACCCATGGAGCTCTAGAAATTGGAAGATGGTCTGCGCCCCATCTGACTTGAGCTCAATCAGCCAAGGTCGGTAATGTTAGGCGCAGGTAAACTTGGACACCACTAACAAACAGTCCTCTGACTTCCAGGATGACACTGCTTCCAACCAAAGTTAGCACAACACCCAGCCCGCCCTCACTAATCTTCTTCTGCCCGCAATTCATAAGTTTGCTTCCCATTAGCTCCCCCGTCCGGCGGATGTGGATCATCCCTTCCGAGACACCCGGGAAACTTCTGTCACTTAGAAAACATTCGCACATTTCCCACGGCTTCCCTTGGCTGCGAGATTGTGTCATCCTTACACGCCCTTCTCGGAATTCTGTCCAGGTCTAGTGAACCATACCGAAATGCAAACTATGTCAAACGGGATGAGTTTGTCTCAAACATAAGAATCCCACTCCCCCCCCCCACCCCCAACAAAAAAACGACAAGATCACGTGTTTTGCTGTTTGGTCTGATCCCCCTTGACCCAACCCAATTTTTCTGCGGCGGTTCACACCAAACCAACGACGACTCCCGGGATCCCTGAGCTTAGTCCGGCGCCGCATCCGGCGCGGGGCCCTGGAGCTTCATGGTGCCCAGCAGGTCCAGCGCCTGCTGCCAGCAAGTGCCCTTCCTGGGAGTTGACGACGGCGGCTTCCGGGCGCGTTGTGCAGGAACTGGGCAAAGTGCGGAAAACAAAGACCGGTAGATGAAATATCATCGATGTCGAATGATTTACATAGGTAACCATGGGTACTCTTCATGCACCTGCTTGTTTGCTCTAGCGCGTTCCACATTCCGCCTTCCAAAGCCAATTGTCAGGTGTCATGCTTGTGGGAGGAAGAGTGCCGTAGTTGTTGGCTGCATGCCTCCAAGTAGGGCCTCAGGCTTGGAGGTGCGAGGCAGTTTTCGGCGGGGTTGTGACCATCTACTTTTGCAGCTTTCGAGCTGGCCAGCAAAATGCTGCAAGCACATTCTTCCCTTGTCTGACCAAAAAGGGTGGACCTTCATGTCACCTCTGTCGAACTGGTCTTCAGCAAATGCATGCACGATAATCGGCGAAGTGACCCATCTAAATGCAATTTTGCTGATTGACATTGTTTGGAAACAACACGGCATTTATTCTGCCTCGGTGCCTTCGCAAAAACCCTATAGCGGGTGTTGCTCAAAACCCTCGGTGCATTTTGCTCAAGGTGTGCCACGTGTTATCCCGGGCCGAGTCAACAGAAACGAAGACACTCTCTAGAAATCCTGCAGCCTCAAGCAAGCCTGAAGCTTCGAAGTGGAGATCCCTACGTTTCGCCGGGTAGGCTTCCATCTCAAGCCAGGTGGCAGCTATATGTTTGGGTGTGTGCGTGTCGCTTGAAGTCTGGGGAGCCCATAAATGCACCAAGGCGTCTGCAGCGCGCTGATAACGGCATTGCACATCACCTGGGACCAATTGTCGAAACTGCACATGGGCATGCAGCTCAAAAACAACGCGAACATGCATGCACTCACGACATGCCCACCTGTGCAAGCCTGTGGCCCTATTCTTCTTGTTTAAAAGAATGTGAAACGCGCCACGCTGTGCGATCATGCATGTGACGACATCTACCACCTTAAGCCTCAAGCCCAACAAAAGGGAAAGTGAAAGTTCAAATGGAATCCCAGGGCACGCCACTAACAGTTTAGATTCTGCACCCCTTACGAGGAAGATTATGTCGCAAAAGGGCCTCAAATATCCAAGGCAAAGCAAAGCAAAGTACAGAGAAGGCTTACAGAACACCAAAGAAACAACTCCGGAAAGCCCAAGGGCTACCGAAGGAATCCGAAGGAACGCCCAAGGGAAACCCACCGTTTTGGGGGGCCTACTTTCAGCCCTGACACACCCATGAACAGTTACAGTGTTCCATGTACCTGCCAAATAACATGCCGAACCTTTTGTGGGTTTGAGTCAAAATACGGCACCTCTAAACCGGTGTCTCCCCTTTTGCTTCCATTCGCAGCCCAAAAGGGTACGGGAAGCCCAAAAGAAAAGGAATAACAAAAGGCAACACCACCAACCCCCTTTTGAGAGTCGGTCGATTTGGGTATTGGTCAACATTTGCACTCAGTTGACCGGGCAACCCGTATTTTGGGGTTCCCCTATTCTCGACAACCACAACCATTTTGAGACACGGCAAACTCCTCCATTTGCAGAAACCCCCTGAACAAAAATGCCAATATCTACAATTTTGAGAGATTCCCATTAAAAAAACAAAAACAAGGGGGGGGAATTAAAGAAAAACAGCTCAGCAAATGGAAGGCGCTCTCCCCGCCCAGTCGCCGTATCCGCCCGCAGGCCAAGGTCCGGCAGCCGCGCCAGCAGTTCGGTGGCGCGCCGCCAGGCGGCGCCCCTTTCGCAGGCGCAGGCCACAGCGCCTCAGATGAAACCCATAGGACCCACAGCTCACCCCCAGGTCCTTCAGGGGAACCCTCCCCCAAAAAAGGGGAGAGAAAGGCACTACTGGGGGACCTAGCCCGCAATCTGGACAACAACAAATCATCCAAAATGGAGGATGGATGCTGCGAGATAAACGCAAATCCATCATCCAAAACGGCATAGGTGTCCTGTTGGGTGGGTTAGGCGGAAAATCGATGGCCCTGGTTTACCTGGTTCAACCGTTCAACCATCTAGGGCCATTTACTGGTGTCCTTTTGGTCGGCTCAGGGTTCTACTTTTTGACTACAGGGTAGACGACCCAGGGGTGGTTCATTCCCCCCAATCATACGGTGGATAGACCAAAGCCATTTCGCACCACTTGGAAACCATGGGGAAACCATAATGTGCGTTGGCATTTAAAGGGGAATCATCAGAAACCAGGGGTTCTTAGGTGGTGCAGGATTCCGTCCAATCACGGTAGGTGTCCCTTTTGGTCGGTCAGGTGAGTGTGGGTCAAAAATAGGGTAACCCCAAAATCGAAGCCTGGTAAGTGGGCGGTTAAATTTTGACCCATACCCAGGTGGGAAATAAATGGCTCTGGTTTACCTGGTGGTTCAACCATCTGCCAGGCCCATCTATTTTCGACCTCACCAACTAAAAAGGACCCTACTATGGTTCGAATTTGAGAGACAAATCGGACGACTGCTGAAGTTCAAAGTAAAGCTGTCAAGTGCAGGAGCAAGGCGATTTGCAAAAACCTTGCGAGAACCATGCTTTGCGAACCAATAAATTCACCTTGGTGAGGACGATGCGCTTATGACGTCTCCTCACAAGCCAATTCTAAGTGACTTCATTAAAGAAACATCCTCAAACTTACCCTCCGCGCATTGTGGTTTAAACGGATTGTTTCCCCTCTCAACAAACGAAATCAGACATGCTTTTGAGCCCCCTCAAAATGCCAGCGCTTTCAGGGACCCAGTTCTAGGACTCTCCTCCCCTCGGCTTCAGCCCAGTGGCCAAAGGTGACAATATCCGGGTTCAGCTTCAGGGTGCCCGCCTCCTTGGATCGCGCCCGATTGATTCGAACAATCCTGGAGCGGATTGGGTCAAAAGCCGTGTGTTCTGCTTGCTTCCACGTGGGGAAACCCAGGATGCTCAGACCTGAGAGAGTGCCGTAGCCATGTGCTCCAAGGCGCGTCAAAAACCTCAAGAGCTCTTTCCCACTGCTGGCCCTTCTCACACGCGGAGATGACAGCGTTGAGCATGATGAGGTCAGGTTGCACAGGCCTTGGTTCGGTGATAAATGTGTGAGCTAGGATTGGTCATCTGCAGCCTTGGCCAACACCTAGTTGACAGAGGGAACACATGAACGCATAGCTGATCACACAAGTTGCGAGCAAAGTGCAGGAGTGTTTCTCATAAGATTCCCCTAAAGACTCCAAACATCTCAAAAACCAGCGTCTTAAATGTCTCAACTACATGATGTGTATCCTACAACGCCCATACGCAAAGTAGGCAACTAATTTGTTTGTAAAGGGATTCTTTTATTAGGCATACATACCTAGGCGTATTTGTTTGAGTTCCACGCAAAAAAATCACACACTGACATTTCTGCTTCCAAATGCCTAGTTCTACCGGGGCACGCATCCCGCATGAGCGCCAGGGCCACTTCCCAGCGTGCCGCCTGCTCAGCAGCACTGATGGCCGAGGAATAGCTAATTGCCTCAGATCGAAGAAATCAGGTCAACTTGGCTCATGGTTTCCCGTACAGCTACAACAGAACTGGCTTGCCATGATCATTTCAAAAAGGAAAAACATGAAACATGTCAGCAAATCGACCCAACTTGGCTCCCCCGTAACAGAAAACGAGCCCAAGGACCCAAATCATGGACCCGTTTTGCCCCAAGTGCGCGTGCCCAATGGGTCCGCGAATGGCTCCCTCTAGCTTTCGGCTCCGAGGCGCGTCGGGCTGGGTCCATGCCCGAGCCGCCTCCAGCCAGTGCAAAGCCCAGCGCCAGTCCAAATCGCGGCAGGCGAGGACCGCGTTCCTCAAGCCGCACGAGTGGCGGACTTTTTGCGAAACAGGACGAGCCAAAAGCTCACATGGAGCGAGGGGTGTATATATATATATATATATGTGGACCATCCAACCGTCTTACCCGCAACTGCTTCCGAGCTGGCCCAAGTCGCCCAAGTGGCAATGGGGCTCACCAATTACACAAATGTTAACCATTTGTAGTTGGAACATTGTTGGAACCCCGCCAAACCATGAAACGAACAGGGGTTCCCCAAAAAAAAGGCGATTCCTCCTTCAATTCCGCTGCTTGGGGGGTGCCATGTGTGATTTGGCCTTGTTCCAACCTACCAAAAGTGGGGATTCTTGAGCCGAGCCGAGCCTCAGCGACACCACGTCCGGCTGCAGGCCGATTCCATCCCGCGCCTTCGACAGCAGCTCCATGGCCCTCTGCCATGGATCCTCCGAGCCAATCGCCGCGCGCGTGAGGGCGCTGAGGCCGCAGTTCAGGCTCGTGGTGTCCTCAGCGATGTTGACGCTCATGTTTTTGAGTGTGGCTGTTGAACAAAGGCTGTTGCACAAGAAGGAGACAAACATTGTTTGTTCAAAGTTCAAAGTGAACCATCGCAAAGTCGACTTCTAATTGCCAGACCCTTCGCTTGTTGTTTGAGCTACCGGCGCTGTTAGTGACCCGCAGGGATTTTGCAATTTTCAAGGTCTTCAGGGTCTTCCGCTCAGCAGTGTATCCATGCCAGCCAAATGGTAAGAACACCCGCTCAAGTGCACCCGCTCAGCAGTGTATCCATGCCAGCCAAATGGTAAGCACACCCGCTCAAGTGCACCCGCTCAGCAGTGTATCCATGCCAGCCAAATGGTAAGCACACCCGCTCAAGTGCACACCCGCTCAGCAGTGTGCCAGCCAAATGCCAGCCAACCCAAGCACACCCGCTCAAGTGCACCCGCTCAGCAGTGTATCCATGCCAGCCAAATGGTAAGCACACCCGCTCAAGTGCACCCGCTCAGCAGTGTATCCATGCCAGCCAAATGGTAAGCACACCCGCTCAAGTGCACCCGCTCAGCACTGTATCCATGCCAGCCAAATGGTAAGCACACCCGCTCAAGTGCACCCGCTCAGCACTGTATCCATGCCAGCCAAATGGTAAGCACACCCGCTCAAGTGCACCCGCTCAGCACTGTATCCATGCCAGCCAAATGGTAAGCACACCCGCTCAAGTGCATCCATGCCAGCCAAACACCGTCAAGTGCTCAGCACTGTCACACCGCTATCAGCACATCCATGCCAGCCAAATGGTAAGCACACCCGCTCAAGTGCACCCGCTCAGCACTGTATCCATGCCAGCCAAATGGTAAGCACACCCGCTCAAGTGCACCCGCTCAGCGCTGTATCCATGCCAGCCAAATGGTAAGCACACCCGCTCAAGTGCACCCGCTCAGCACTGTATCCATGCCAGCCAAATGGTAAGAACACTTCAGCGTCCCCTTTTCCCTTTGCAAGGATGCAAGCTGGCAGACAGTTCTTGTTCAATTTTTGGCGTCGCATGCACTGCGGACGGACATTGACGCTTTTCGCCACGGTCTCCATTGCGAAAGGCTCCAGCTTTTTAGTTTCGCTGGAGAAAGGAAATGGAGGATCGCCATGCGGTGGATTTGTTGCTTGCCAATGGTCCTCCGTCGCCCAGATGTGACACAGATTCCCCAAGAGCGCTGCAGCACAAGAGCTGGTATGAGCGGCAGCTTCGGGCCTGCGTGGCGTTTTGCGGCACGGGCGTGGTCGTCGTCGACGAGGACCCGGAGGAGATCTTGAGTGCATCTTCAAAGAGCAACTCTGGTGTGGAGTCTTCCGACCTGGGGCTGGAACTATCACCATCCATTGCTTCTGGAACTGACCCGGACTTTCGCAGTGACATGAGCATGGAGGAGGTGAGCATGGATGCCGCCGTTGCCGATGCGACTCCTGGGGGTGTGCAAGTCGCAGTGGACGCAGATCTAGATCCTATACAAGATGCATGGTTGTCTGCTGATGTGGGGATGGAGACGGACATCGTGGAGCGCGCTCTTCTGCGAGATGCCGCAGAGTATATGGAGTGTCAGATCACCGACAGCCACGTGCCGGACCTGAGTCAGCGCGCATATGCGCTGCCTGCTGCAGCTGCAACCGGCACGTCTGCGCTGGATGGTGGAAGCAACGGCTATGACTTCATGGCGCTGCAGGCAAGAGAGTCGCCTGCTCCACCGCCTACGAAGTATGGCAGGTGCCCGCGGTGCCAGGACTGAGTTTCTGAAATGTTACTTGCTGGCTTTCGCTTCAGGCCTTCAGTGTTTGTGCAAGGTAGTCGGATCTGAAACCTTTGCCGCAGGCTCCCAGACGTCCTATAGCACATCAGAATGGACCATCACGAGGAGAGGTGACATTGCGATGCTCGAATTGGTGGGAGTGGCAGGGCGCTTCTCGACAGTGCTGGCTGGCTTGCCGCTTCACAGGGGATGAGACAAGCTTACCAAAGCATGTCCGCGAAGATGTGGCTGAAATCCGCCGCACTCTTCAATACTGGCTGCATCGTCAGCAAGCAGCTTGATAGGGGGAAATGAGCGCGCTTTCTTGGCCTGCTTGCTAGCATGTGAGACATCACATCAATTCGCATATAGGAAGAAATCGTGTGGATTCGCCAGCAAAGCTTAGAAGTCACGCATGCCTTAGGCAGTTGGTTTGGCTCAGCAGATGTCACAGCATGGAGGAGACAAGGGAAGGGGAGACAAGGGAAGGGGAGACAAGGGATCAAAGCAGCTGACACAGCACGGACGTGGCCGGTTCTTTTTTTTTTCTGCGCCTTGGCCTGGCACAGAGGTGGCCGGTCCTTTTGTTTTTTTTTGCGCCTTGGCCTGGGGCGGGGGCGGGCGGTTTCTTTTTTTGGTTTTGCGCCTTGGCTTGGGACGGGGGTGGGCGGGCGGTCGTGTGTTTCGTGTTTGCGCCTTGGCTTGGGGCGGGGGTGGGCGGTCGTTTTTTTGTTGGCGCCTTGGCCTGGGACGGGGGCGGGCGGGCGGTCGTGTGTGTTTTTTTTGTGCGCCTTGGCCTGGGACGGGGGTGGGCGGTCTTTTTTTTTGGTTGCGCCTTGGCCTGGGACGGGGGCGGGCGGGCGGTCGTGTGTTACGTGTTTGCGCCTTGGCTTGGGACGGGGGTGGGCGGTCGTTTTTTTTTTTTTTGGCGCCTTGGCCTGGGACGGGGGTGGGCGGTCTTTTTTTTTTTTTGCGCCTTGGCCTGGGACGGGGGCGGGCGGGCGGTCGTGTGTTCAGTGCTTGCCCCTTGGCTTGTTATTTTTTGTTGTCTTTTCGTGCCTTGGCCTCCGCTTTGGTCCCAGGAGGAGTTGCCAGTTGATGCGGACATGGTGGCAGCGCTGGCAAGTGAATTGACGCAAGCGTTCAGTAGTCCAATGGAGAAGGGCGCATGGTTCAGTGACTGTGGCGAAACTTTGCTCCGAGCTAGTTCTGCGATGCTGGCTCTGCGGAGGTTTGTGGGGCCAGAAGAGCCAACACATTACCTGGAAGTACTAGCGATTACGTCCCAAGTTTTGGAATTCGTTTCGTGTGATGGCATTGTGGAGATGTCTACTTGTGCTAGGACAAACGGTCCCTTCAGCATTCGCCAGCAGGTGCTGTTGGCGTGGGGACCGAGTTGTCGTGTCCGCGCTCAGCGCGCAGAGTGTGCGCTGGGTGAAGCTGTGCGCCTGCTGCACGTGCGAGCAGATTTTTGGCAACAGTTCCAGGGCTTGCGCTGTTTGTTTCGATCTTGGTGCTCTGTCGCCGAAGATGTGCACCTGCTGTTGGTTGGGCTCTTGAGTGAGCCGCGGGGATCAGGTCTTTGAGGTTCGCTGCAAAAGAGCTGGGCCGCGTGTGCACTGCCGGCACTTTTATCTCACGTGCTTTTTGCAGCCAAGTGTGATTGCCAAGTTGTGCTACCAATGCGATTGTTCCTAACATCTCGGCTCTGAGTTTTGATAGAACATGGCCCCCCAGGGGCCAAAGACGTGTTCTCTTTGTGGTGGCAGCCACACGATCAAATCATGCCAGCTGCCAGGGGCGGCGAAATTCAGGCAGGCGGTGGTGCAAGTGAAGAAAGGAGGCAAGCCTGAGAAGGGCCGCAAGTTGCGCGGCAGCAATCCTGCTGTTCAAGGACGCAAGCCGGGCAGGAAGCAGAAAACGAAGAAGCTTTCCCTCAAGCAGTACAAGACTCAGCAGAGGAAGTTGTACAGTGGAGACAAAGTGGACCACCAGCAGCGTGTGGACAGGCAAGGTGGCCAAGTCAATTTGGCTGACTTCATAGACCCCGATGTGGCCACGAAGGAGCTGCTTTGTCATGGCTTCACTCGCAAGCCTTGCTGCCCAGGGTGTGGCCATGATAGCTTGCAGGGCCCTTTCGAGAGGCCCGGAAGACAGGCCTTGGGGCGGCATTGGAGGTGCGATGATCCCGGCTGCCGCTACTGGGTGAATGTCTTGAGCGGCGCAAAGTGGCTCGACAGTGTGTGTCGCTTTCGCAGCTTGACACCAGGGCGGTTGTGGCATGCAGTTTGCTTGTACACCAGCCAGAAGTGCCCTTCACGCCAAAGCGTCGCCAGTGGCTTGGGCCCGGCAGGTCCAAAGATTGCGCAGCTTGTCATGGATGCTCTTCGGAAGCTTGAAAGTGATGCTGCCATTAAGAGCAACTCCCGCCTTCGCCTTGATGGACCCATCGAGGTGGATGCCACCTCCGTCAGTACCTTCCGCATCGGGAAGAACTCCCACGCCTTTGCTCCAGAGATCCGGGGCTGGGTGAGTGGCTTGCATGCATGTATTAATGTAAAGGACTTGTGCGTTTCAGAGTACGAATACGAGATAATCTCAAAGCATGTTTCACAATCTGTGTTTGTTTGTCCATTTCTGTTGGTTTTTCTTCTGTGGCGATTCTGAGGACGCAAGAAGAAAAGAACGCCCCAGTACTTTCTCACCCACTTCCGGTTGGCCGGCATGGTGCAGAGGGGCAACAAGGGCAAGCTCGTGGTGAAGAAGCTTCGCTTCGTTTTGCTACCACCAGGGGGAAGGCCAGCGCCTGAGTCGTTGCAGGATGTGAGAGATGCCGATTTTTTGCGGCGAGTCAAAAAGCCCGCAGTGATTTTCGCAGATGGTGCCAAAAGCTGGCGCAGTGAAAGCAAGCGACTGGGCTTGACTTTTCGCTCTGTGTCCCATTATAAGATGGAATTCGTGCGTGGGACCACGGTCAAGAAAAAGCGAGCGATCTCAGGCACTCAGCTGCTAGACCAAGTCTGGCGTCAGATGAAAAGGTGCTTGCCCAGTTCCTTGGCCACGCGGGACGGAGAAACCCGCCGTGGGTCTAGCAGGCTCGCCACATACATTTACAGTTTTGTCTTCCGATACAACAACCGGACTGCGTTGCGAGCTGCTGTGGCGAAGCTTGCAAGAGCTCGCAATGCGGCGCAGTGATATAGAAGCGGCCAACTTGAGGAGCACGGGGGGAGAAAAAGAGACGATCCAAACGTGCGTGTCGCGCAGTGAGCGCAGGTCAGGTCATAGTTACAGGGTGATTCGTGCTCCGTTTGCTGAAACCCTGGTAAAAATGGGACGAGATGAGCATGTTTCTAACGCTTGACAGACCAAACAAACAAAAAACGCAGGGTTTTCAGCACGCGGTGAGAAATGAACGTGTCCAATCGGCAGCGGGTCCCTATCAGCGCCGGTACCTTGTTTGAGAGGGGCCCCCTTTCTAGTGATTCTTTTCCGCCATCCCCCCCGGCAAAATGCTTGAACCCAACGCCCGGCGTCCATCATTTCCCGCGCGGCAGCGAGGCTCTGGAACATGTCCAGGGTGCCCAGCCACTGGCCTCGGAGCTTCAGGTCTTGGGGTTCAGCACGCGGCAACAGCCGAAGCGTCGACCATACTTTCCCTGTCAGTATGACCCCCATCGTGTTGCCAAGGCTTTCTTGGGCTGTGCCTGTGCGGCTTCAGAAGAACTCCAAGGAACCACGGAGTGTATGGAAGGAGGGGTCGGGAGTCACGACAAAATCTTGCACTTCCAGCATAGCATACATCCCATTTTGGTCACCCGGGCACTTGCATAACAGGCTTTCGCGCAACGCCTTCCCAGCTGAACACCATCCTGACTCGAAAAGGCCGGCATGACTCAGAAGGCCAAAGCATTGGCAACCCTAGTTCCGTCGCCTTCACAACCAAAGAGAAATATAACCCGCACCCGACAGCAGCATCTCGCAACGTTTGGACGCGGGTTGTCCAAGTGGCCGCAGGCTGACAGGCCCCCCAAGGCGCTGTTGGCCACCACTGCGTTGAGCCCGCGCCCTGCGGAGTGGTAGAGAGCCAAGCTGGCCGTCCTAAGTGAAATCCAGTGCTCGCCACCTGGAACTCGCCGTGTGTGCGTGTGTGTGTGTCACACATGAACATGTGTGTGTGTGTGTGTGTGTCTGTGTGTGTGTGTAATTCAACGTGTTGCTGGTCTGCAGAATGAGCTGGGCTAGTCAGTCCTTGTAATCGCTGCTTTGAAAAGTGACTGCATGTTGCGAGTACTGCTGGGGCCGATGGAAAGGGACAAAGCGAGACCATACTGCTCAGGGCGAAGGCCTGTTCGCAAGCCTGCCACTCAGCGACTGCTGAAGGCCAAAAACAGGCGCAGTCAGACACCACGACCTCCTGCTTGGAGACATGCAAGTGAATCTTCTGAACAAGCGGATCTGCATTCCGATATTACAGGACCCCCCCCCCCCACGGGTGTGGTGCGCAAAGAGCCAGATCCCTGCTAGAAATAACAATTAAGCAGTCCCTGGTGGGAAACAGGTTGAGGCCCTTAAAAACCGCCAAGACTCCATTGTCTCCCGCGCTCACAGGCAGACAGCAGGCCGCTCCAAATAAAGGCATCCGGCAAAAGCCCATACTGCCTCGGTACGCGGGCCCAATACTCTGCGCCACACCCGGCACTTTGGCGGTAAGGGTGAAACCGAAGGATGCAGTTCCCTACCCTACACTAACCTAGACTGGGTGTGGGGTTCCAAACCCCGGTATTTGGTTGGGAAGTTGGTATAGAAACTCATGGCAAAAAGACGACACAAAACCCCCAACCTCCCCAAACGGATTCACGGCCCCGGCGCCTCAGGTCCTGCAAAAGCGCCACTGCACAGAGCCATTGCTTGGCGCGCCCCACGGCACCAATGGCTGCTGAGTATGCGAAGACGTCTGGCGCTTCCAGGTCCTCAGCTCGTCCAGGGTGTGCTTGGAGGGTACCAAACGAGTACAGAATGAGCACCAAACAAGGGGGGGACATTGCAAATGTGTAGATACATGCAGCAGCAATTGTAAGTCCGCATGCCGGAACCTGTAAGCACCTACATACACATAATATAAACTTATATATATATATATACACACTTGTTCGTTTGGTGCACATTTAAGGCACTAAAGGGGTGCTGTTTGCGGACAAACAGCTGTGCCTCATCTTGGGCGCACATGCATGGAATCAGTATTGGCCGCGGTAGCTTTTCCGATTGAACAAGCGTGGGCGCATCAACAACTCCGTCCCCCATTTCTATCTCACAGAAACAGACCCTTACTTTCACATATCAGCATTCCCACTGCCGCCAACAACCACAAAACCAAGGACAGCAGGGCTTGTGTGCATCTGAGCCTCCAGAAGCAAATTCACTGCATCTCGCCAGCGGCTTTGCTGGCCATAGTCGCGGATGAGGCGCGGCCATTGCTTTGTGGTCATGTGGTGTTAATTCCAAACAGACTCACTGGACTCTGAGCCAAAACTGCGAATCGTGAAGGCATCCATGGCCTGCGGCCTGAGGAACGCGGTCATCCAAACCTATGGCCAGCTTGAAGCCTGGTGCCCTCAGGTGGGGTTGACTGCGCCCTAAGAAATCCGACCTGACTGAGCAACCGCCCCTGTTGCATGCCGAAAGGTCCACGTTGCTGTTGTTACTGTTCTTTCTTTTATGAGGGAATAAATGCCACGTAGTTTCTCACTTTTACCTTGTTACCCCGTGGAGCAGGAACACCCAACAAATTATTTGAAGCCAAACTCGGACATTGAGAAGACAAGGAGAAAAACACACCCTTCCGCGCTAGCGCCTGTCTCTACCTGGAGCTCGTACTTCTCGCAATCTGCGGCAGAGTCGAAGGAGATGCCGCTGTCTTTGAACAATGCCTGCCGCATGTCGCGAATCCCCGGAAGCTCTGAGGTGGAGGGAACAAAGAACAGGAGGCAATAACTGGAACAACTTGGCTGTAGCGTCTTTGACTTATAAGGGTGACATGCTTCCAGATCCATGGGAACGGTAGCTCCCCCTTTTCCAAGTGCCCGGTGAACGTGTGCGTGCGGGTGTCTCAATTAGTCAGGCAGCTTGAATCTTCCACATCTTGGCCATGCATCCCCGTCTCGCCTGCCTCTCCCCCCTCACCCCCTCACCCCCATCACCCCCTCACCCCCTCACCCCCTCACCCCCTCACCCCCCCTCCTTCACCCCCCCCACCTTCTACCCCCGGTGCGCCCCGCGTTCCGCCCGCCTCGGGAACACGCGTGAACTGATACGGGCAGTTCCATCCGTGGGTCTGCTCGCGGGAGGTCTGCAAGATCTCCATGCCCCAGGCTCGGAGCCGCAGGTGCCTCAGGACCCAGCCAGCCGAGGTCCCAAGGAACCGAGGAACCTCTCGCTGCGGCGTTTGGAGCATAGGTGTCAAAAATAGATGGGTCTCCCTGGTAAATGGAATAGAAGCCATCTAAACCGGGGCCTTCTATTTTTGACCACCCTCACCTAAAAAGGCCACCTATGGTTTGGAGTGGGGTGGCCTAGCTGCAAAGGCACTGACTGAGTGCAGCGCAATAAGTCTAAAGCACTAGCTGCTTGTTTTCAGGCATGTAGCACTTTCTCCACTTTGCCATCTTCCACAGAATGCACAGTTGCTTCTTACATAAAGTATCGACGCGCACACAAACTTGGTCGACACGTGCTGCTTGGGATGATTTGCAAAGACCAAGAAACTCGATGTCAAACAGCAACCATTGAGCAAGATAACATGTGGCGTACACCTCTCCCCAGAATTCAGAATTCGGCTGTCTTTTACGGTGGATCGGCCAAACGAGCGGGACCGTCACAATGATCGCCCACACAAGATGGAAGCCCAGCCGGCAAGGAAAAACCCATGGCCTCCTGCAGAGTTTTTAGGGCATTCAGGAAATCAGGCCTGTAATTTAAGAAGCATAGGGCATTCCGGGAAAAACAAGTCGGGGCAAAGAACAACGACACGCAAGAAGTTGGTTCACAAAAAAGTGGGGCCCAGCGGCATGAAGCCACTGTCGCCCAGGTTGGCAACATGCACGGCCTCGCCCTCCAAGGACAAGACCTGGGCGATCGAGGGAATGAGTTTTACTTGCTGGTGCCTGGTGCGATAGGTTCGGCATGACTGTTCCCGGATTTTGGGGAATGAACCCAGTCCCCGAAAAGGACAAACAACACAACCCCCCCCCAAAAAAAAAACAAACAAGTTGTTCTTAAACAAAAAAAAACAACTACAACAAAAGGAAAAGAAACACAAATCAAACGTCTTCGGCGGCCAAGCGTCCAGCGCGGTGCTGGCGCCGTAGGTCCTGGCCCCCACCTCCGCGGCCGCGAGGGCGGCCGCGGCGCGGGACTCCCCCGGCGCCAGGCGGTGGACCTCCCTTGGGTGGGTGGGGTGGTGGGGTGGGGCCTGGGTTTGTCTTAAAACACTGGGACCCTCCAAACTTTCAATCTTTCACGCACCTTTGCGAACTCTTGGCATACTTTTGGGGTTGCGTTTGAGGATGTCGCTTGAACCCAAACTTCCAATGGCTAGCAGGGGGGGAAAGGTTCCTTGCTCCGAAAAAAAATGAGAAAATGGTCATTTCATCCGGCCTTGCATTTCCATTGGCTGTCCTCCTTCCGCAATTCCATGTTGACATTTCCCCTTCACTCTCAAAAACGGCTAGGATACACCCACGACCCAGCTCCTTTTGCTGCACAAGTTTTCCTTACATCTGCGAAACATGGCCAGAGTTGGGGGCCAACGTCCACTATAGCATCAATAATGCGCCACAGTCGAACAGTGCGTTGAAGGGTCAAATCGCGTGGCTTCCTTCGAGGACCTTTAAACCACAATCCAAGGAGGGGCCCTGTTCTTGGACAGCGCGCAGGGCACAGTCCCAACAGTGAGGTTCGTGCGGTTTCCATTTTCATTTGCAAAAACCGGGTCACTTTGTGTAGGGTTTCCAACTTCCAAAGACAGCCCAAAAAAGGATCCAACTCCGACAAAAAGGAGCCACACCACATTTGGGTATGTGCAGAAGGTGGAAAAGGTACCATCTCAAACCCCGGCAGCAAAGCAACAACAACAACAAATTGATATGTACAGTGCCCTCGTGGTGTCCAAAGCAAACAACACCCTATAGAAGGGTACTGAAAAGAGGAGTCATACCCATTTTAGTTGGTCTCACCGGGGCTTGGTGGTAGTTGACAACTCTGTAAGAAAGTTTAACTTTCTGTGTGTCCAATGCGGAAACTCCACTGATTCCCAAAAAGGTAAAGTGCAAAAATCCGATATCAACTAAATGTCGACCCCCCATTAATCAACCCCATTTTACTACTAGGGGGGTGCTTCTCGCTGGGTGAAATGCGGTTGGAACCATTCCGATCCCCCCCCCCCGAAATTAATAAATAAACTGTTTGGTTGAAATTCAGACGGGGTCAACCTCATATCGTCACAAAGAGGGTACCCGCACAGCACGCCACACACATCGTCGATGCGTCCGAAGCCGAGGTGCCGTGCAGCCAGGCACATGAGGTCGTCCGAGTAGGCGGCCGCGTCCACCCCGTACTCCGCGAACTGCTCCATCTGCCCCACGCCGTCCGCCACTCCCGCCGCCTTTTGGAGAGCTGGGGGGGGCGTTCCATAGGCCGAAATCCCAGATGAGGAAAAACCCAAAGTTGAAGCTTCGAAGGTAATCTTTTGGCTCCATTCCGCCTAAAAGGTCAGCCATATTGTACATACATATATATATATATGCATATGTATATGCCTTTTCTTTCCCATTGGTTGAAAACCCAAAGTTTGGAAGGATGCAATGTTTGACGTGAAGCCACGGCGCGACAGTCAGAACAAAGGAAACATGAACATTTCGACATATTCGAGTTTGAGCTGGTGGAATATTGAGTTCTTGGAAGATTATTTAATTGATGGATCTAGAATATAGACATGTGAACCAAGCATCCGTCCCCTTGCAGTGCTTCCCCTTCGGGTCAATCAAGAACCCGGACCAAATCGCCAGCCACCAACTAAGGGTTACCCGCCAGCACCCTCCGATGACTGTTTCTTGCATGTCCGAAAACCACAATCCTCCAAGTGCTGTCCCAAAATTGTGACGAAGAATGTAACAAATGTTGCGACCACGCCTGGCGGCTGTAAAAGAAGGCGTCCTCGCAGCGGCCTGGCGCTGGTGCAAAGCCACCCGGGGTGACTGTGGCTTTCCTGCAGAAGAGCCAACTCCTTTTCAGGGTGCCCTCATTTTGGGCCCTATGCTAATTTTGCAGGCGCGCACTGCTTACCCAGTGGCCATGTGAGGAAAAGATCAGACCTCTTACCCGGGCGCCCCAGCACCCAACACCCCGCCTGACGGCTTGGACAGGCGATGCGCCCCCGACTGAAGGCAGAACGTGGGCGTCTTAGCCTGAGAAACCTGCGGGGCACAAACTGCCATGTTCAAAATGGCAGGGTCCGCAAAACCTCCCCCATGGGAAAACACAACACCTTCCTCTGGTGGTTCCGCCACGTTGCTCAAGACCCCACCACCACCCCCCCAATTGGAGTGAGTGGAGACCTTCTTTGCTGGTTGGTGCAAACGAGAAAGCCCACCCTGTTGTGGTAGTTTGCATTTTGGCGTAGATTCCAAACTTCCAGTGGACCAAAAAGATCACTAGCTGAATTGAAAAAGAACTCGTCCACAACTGGAGGTCTGGAAAAGTTCACAAACCCGGGGCTTCTCTATGAAAGGCCCCTTCATGGGATATTTTCAGGAAGCCAACAAGGTACCTGAAACAAGCTGAACACATCCATATGTGGTGAACCCGAAGGTTGCAAAATGTTGTATATTCAGGTCCCGGACATGGGTTCTCGTTTCTTTAAGGTACCCTTGCTGGCGCTGTTTCAATCAGAACTCGCCGGAACTCCGAAAACAAACCTCCCTCCAGAGCTTTGACACATTTTGCTTAAACAACCGTCCCGTGGTGCCGTTAAAAGGGAACAAACAACAAAACATGTTCAAAGACTAGGTACTTCAAAATGCTTGGAGGACATGCCCCAAACCTTCCTTCCTCCGCCCCCCCTTGCGGTGCCCTAGGCGCCTTTTCCTCGACCATCGTCGCCTGCATCTCCGGCTCCACCGGCATCTCCGGCTCCACCGGCATCTCCGGCTCGACAGCTGCCATGGCCGCGGGTTTTGGCACCTCGAAGGCCGTTTGCGTCTCCGGCACCTCCGGAACTAGGCAGGAGTCCACAACAGAGAGCTCCTGGCAACGGTCCCTCAGCGAGTAGGGCCCAGATTTTTTGGCTTGCCAGCGTGGGGTCCCCAAAAAATGACTCGAGTCCAGGAACTCAAGTGAGAAAGCGCATGAAGAACGGGAAGTATTTCAAATGGATCCATGTGAGACACCCTGGGAGCTTCCTTTCGAGGGCACCGCTTTGGGTGGCTCAACAGAAACCCGTACGGGTGCCCACTTTGCGGGCTTTCCTGGCTGAACGTAAACCATGTGAGAGAAGGAAGCTGCCTTTTGATCCAACAAATGGGATTACAAGTTGGGGTAACTAGTTTTCGAGGCTAGGATGCAAGGCGGCATTATCATGGTATAGGGGTCGACCGAAAGCCGTGGAGAATCGAAAGGGCAAATATCCACACCAGTTTCTGGTTAGGCCACACCGGGATCTACCCTGCGGCTGTAGCTCAGCGTCGGCAAGTCCCTGCTGCTTTTGGGATAGGTCTACACGAGACTCGTTGCTTGGGCTCGCCACCAAGCCAGCAAAGCGCGCCGTGGGTCTTGAAGGGGGTCCCTACGGTACCTTTTTGTCGGGGGGCACCTCAACCATCGTCGCTTCCGAAGAATGGTGGCTCAGCGAGGCTACTGTGGGCTCCACTGCATGTTTCCATTCACCAGCCACGTTGGGGGTAGCTGTGGCCTGTTCAGGAACAGTCAAGCTCCTGCAACTTCCCGTGGCCACGTGCTTTGCTCAGCGGAGATACTGGACTCGTTGAACCATTGAGAGACAAGCCGACGGCTTCACTGACTTCACCCAACTCTCTGGGGCAAGAAAGGGGGTCCACAAGGGTCCAGATCCAAGCAGCTTTCGACTACCATCACAAATCACAAAACAGCGGAGCAAAAAAGAAAACCAACAAGACATAACACACAGTATCACATAACACACACAGTGCACGTTACGCACAACAAATAACAAACGCAAATCGCAAACCAACCAAACACAAGCCAACACGTCAGAAACAACAACACAAAAACGGGAGCTTGACTGATAAGCAACCCAAGTCACAAGCAAGCAGCAAACTGACAGCTAACCAACAAACAAGCAAACAACGTTAACAAACAAAAAGACAAGAAAGCCAGCAGCACAACAAACAAACAACCAAACAAAACCAATCCACCAACCAACAAACCAATAAGCAAATGAACAAATCCGCGCGGTTTTTCCGTGTTGTGTCCTGCACCGGACTGGGCGGCGCCGAGTCCGTGTCGGGCGCCTCCGTCTCCGTGGAGTCACCGCCGGCGGGGCTGGTGCCCAGAGTTGCGTCATAGGCCTCAAAAAGGCTGGCCGTTGGAAAGCCCCTATACTCAGAACAAGTCATATATACATATATATATATATATTAGTTACTTGTATTTGCTTGTATTTCTACATATATATATATATGTACACATATATATATATATATCTATATGTGTAATGTCTATATACATTACGCACATATAATATAGAAATTGATAGGGGATGTGATATACTGTACTGTATACTCTCCCATATGGTGGATGGTCCCAACCCAAATCTTTTGCATGGTGGCCTTTATCATCCTCAATGTCTTTGGGGCCAGGCGATTTATCAATCAACTGCATTTCTTTCTGAAAAAGGGGCGGCTGATCTAGCGGGTTCTCTCAGGACATTGTCTGACTCCTGTTCAGGACACCTGTCTGGCACCTGGCACCTGGCCCGCCTCAAGCTCCCGGAGGCGCACGGCCTCCAACTCGAAGAGGGGCAAAGTGGCCAGGGAGGAGCACCGCGACATGAGCTCCAGGTCATCCTGGTTGTCCTGAAGCTGGTTCTCTCTTTTTTGCCCGCTGTCTCATTCTTTTGAAAAACAAACCGGCCTGCTTTTCCGCTTGTGTTGCAAATTGTTTATGAAACAAATCCGTGAGCCGGCTAAAACTTTGGGAATTGTCAAGCCAAAACAAAATCTCAGACCAATTTGTCGCAAAGTAATCTTTGAATAGGGGAACCTCTCCGCGTCAAGAAAGTTCCGGACTTGTCATGAGGTTCCTATTGGCGGGGTGATGTCTATGGGGGGCCACACAAGAAGCACTGGTCGCCGGTCTTAGCTTGAGGCTGGCTGGCGCGGGGTGGCCGCGCAAGCCCAGCCGTGGGGAGAAAAGGTCAACCCTCAGGGCATATACAGGAGGGGAAACAGACTGAACGGTCGGATTGGGAGAACCAAGTCTTCGAATCAAAAGTGACAGCCGGCCTCTTTAAACATGGGCTCGGTCCAAGCAATGATCCGCGCTCTCCACCGTGCTCTCTCTCTACTTGCTTTGGGTGGGTTGGGACACTGTTCAGACTTATTGCTGCTGCTTGGTGTAGAAGCCAATCACAAAAATGAGCTCGAAGAACAGTTTGAACTTTGTATTTATCACATGATCTCCCCCCCAACCAAAAAAAAAAAAAAACAAGTCCAGGAACTCAGGGAGTGAGACGAGGCATAAACTTTAAAGTCCCAGCTCCCCTGGCCCCCCTCCCCAATTCCCCGTTGCTTCCTCCTCAGGCTCCGTCTCGCCGTCTGCCATACCTGTCCGCTACTTCGCACAAAGAATGCGGCTTGCACATTGGCCGTTTCACGTGGGGCAGTGGGAGCAAGGAACTTTAGGCCCCTGCTATGACGCAAACTAAACTCGGCTTGTGAATGGCAAGTCCGGCAACGGGCAGTTCATGCTCATCAGGAATACCAAGTAGAATTGAAGAGAAGAGTTGCTAGTGGAATCGTTGCAAACGCTCCCAAATCAGTCCTGATCGGCCCAAAGGATTCTGAAGGCAATACTGATGTTAATTGAAGATGTGTTCTGGTATGGCTGCCATTCATGAAACTTTCGGACGCACTGCCTAAAGTCCAGAAAAAGCTCACCTCACCTGAAGTCTTGGGAACTGGTACGAAGGAGGAACCACTCCAACTCTCTGCGAATCAGCATTTCTCTCGTCTCCCCCCCACTTCGAGATGTCCCGATCTTGTTCAGTCATCCAAAACCAACCGGCTTCCAACTGAAGCGTGCCACGGGCGGTGAGAATCGGTATGACAATCCATAAGTAGGTCCATGTACGAAATAATCAGTGGGTTATTCATGGTGATTCCCAAACGGAATCGCTGGATCTTCCTTGACTTGAATAGGGCCCCCTGCAAAGATATTTTGGTCCGTGCCGGCCAGTGGCGGGACATGTCCAAGCACCTAAACGTCCATGCCGATCAAACCGAAGAACAAGCCGAGGCCATGAAGGAGAAAACTACTGGTGGGTCTGAAAGTGCACACATCCCGAGAACAACCCGGTTGCCCCGCGACCTTGGTAGCAAAAGGGAACCTGGTGCCAAGACATAGGCAGCCAACAAACAGAGTCTCCGATCCCAGGTCTGCTGCGAGGTACAGGTGCCCAGGGTGCTGATGGTGCTAAGGCTCAGCACCTGCCGATGGCGGAAGCGGGGAGCCCAAACCATTGGGGGGGGGAGGGGGACCTAACCAAGCAATCCAGCAGGCTTTCAGCTTTTGTGCTTCCCTAAAGGAAACAACACATGCCAAAAGCAAAATGGATGCAGAGAAGCAGGCTGAGCGGCCATCTGGGGAGATTTCACAGAGCTGAATGCACGGGCAGGGCCTCGTTTGAATGCGATGTGCTTTTTGGAGAGGCCCCAGAGAAACAAATCCCACGTGGCGGCACGCCCTCTAAGGCAGGAAAATGCGCGCACAAACCGACTGAACAACCAGAACATGGATTTGTTCAACAGAAAACCGGATTAATTATTGCAATACTGTTCCGGTCTCAAGTTGCTTGAACATATATGAGCAGTTCCAGACAGAACAAATGGCAGCGGCCCAAAAATGCCAAGCCACAAATGTGCGCGTGCATGTGTTTCGCATAATGTAAGTGGGCCAAAATCATTGGGATGGGGCGTGGAGCGCTTGGAATCTGAGTTCAGTTGGTGTAGACACATGCTGAATGCTTATCTAGACTTGGGCATGTGCTTTTCCCAAACAACTTGGGCCTTGAAACTGGTGGGGTTCCTAGTCTCCCTTTTAACTCTAAAAGAGAGGGCTTCTGCATTTTCCGGACTAGCCCATCTCCGAGGGAGCCACATCAAACCTGGCACTCATCCGGTTTACCCGAACGCAAATATCTGCACCTACTGCTGGCTCGCACTGTCCCTGCCAACCTTCAAGAGGGTTCCTTAAAGGAAACATCCGAAAACCAGCTGCTTTGCAGGAAAATACCCTTAAAACAGCTGCTAAAGCTAAGTTCTGAAATGGCCAACATGCATCCTTTAGGGAACTTCGTGCAGCCACCCAAGGCTTTTTGATCGTTCCTCAGGCGCCTGCCGTCCCGCTCCCTAAGCTGCTGCCTGCGACAGCACAGGTTGCCCTGCAGCCCGGGGCTGGCCGAAGCAGGCGATCTGCGGCTTGAGGCTCGACAGGGTCATGCTCTCCGCGTCCCTGGGGTGATTCAGTTTCCTATTTTTTGCGCAGCTCAGGGGCGGGTCAGCGAAACGCATTGGCTCCGTGGCCGCTTCAGCATGACCAAAAGGGGGAAGTTATCCCCAAAGCAAACGAAGCGGAACCGGACCCAACATGTTCCTTTTCTCTTGGAAGGGGTACCCATGGTTCCAAGCTGCTGGGTTGATCGGACATCCAGGACTAGATCTGGCTTGCAAGGAAAAGCTTGGCAGACCCACCGCTCTTGCTGGTGCCTCGGAGGTGCAACCACTAAGAGAGGTGTCTTTCGTCAGGCCCGGATTCACATACCATGGTTCCAGGCAAAGTGTGTGGACAAGCCTTGCTCGTAGTGATTGCCGATGGTACTGCAATGCAAGAACTAGCCAACGGTTGTTGGACTCACTTCCTGGGTGATTGGTCAGAAAAAGTGTTGTTTGCCACTGAAACTGGTACCAAAAAACATAAAGTCCAGCACCTCTTGTATGTGCCGCTTACTCTGGCCCGGCACAGGGCGTGACCAATAAGTCTAAAGTTAAGGAACTCAGGAATTTAGTGAGGAGCCAACAGGTGAGGGTCTGCCATGCGTGCAAGCCAGGCGCAGCTTCAGAGGGAGGAGGCGATTGGAGCCCGGCTCCCACTCGACGCCACCGCCGCAGCGGTGGATGATGAACTTGTACTCGTACAGGGCGTCCAGCTGCTTGCTCGTGTCCAAGGGCATTTGGATGGTGGCAAACCAGATCTGGGCAAACATTTCACATCAAGTCAGTTCAAGAGTTCAATAAGCCACATGAACCTGTTTGCAAACATCCAGCGGTATTCGCCAGAGGTAACAACCAACTTGGCAACCAAAATTGCCAGCCAAAAAACGTCTGGAAACAACCACGCTGATGAACACTTCGCGCGCAGCTCACCCATAAGAGCTAAACGCCAATGTCGCTTACGGACTCTCAAAGCTCACCCAGCACAGCCGCAAGGAACAAAGCTAGTAGTTTCTCGGTTACGGGTGCCCCCTCCGCGCTCGCCATACATTTCAAGTGGCCATGGGGCAACAACATTTCCGGCTGTTGATTGTTTTCTTTTTTGGCGGGGCTTTTGGCCCGCCAAAACGCCGACCTTTGCGCCTCATGACATGGACCCTTGCAGTCTCAGGCGCCGGATACGCCTCCTCGTGCGTGCGGAGGGGCACGCCCCCGCTGGGTTTCCTGGGCCAGACTCTCATTTGTGGTGGCTGCGTTCAAAATGCCGCGTGTCAACTACTCAAACCGCCACTCCAAAAACAACAACTAATGGGATACAACAATCCAGAACCTCTGCAAATTTGCACAGGCTGCCGGTCAGCGGAAATCGTGGACTTGCCAAACGCAGTAGCAGCACAGACGGCTTCCACCCTGACCAGCCTGGAAAGCATGACAAAAAGGGGCGACAAGCAACATGAGCTTCGTAGCTGGAGCCTTTCCCGGGCCGCCCAAGAACATGTCCACCTCTCCCGGCTCCCAAGTAGCGCTCTTGCGCAAAATCAAGGGGACCTCCAAAAGCGCGGCATGACGGAGAAAAGCCGTCTGGCTGTGGGTCAAACATGGGTACCCGAAAAGGGTGGTAAATGGAACCAAGGACTAAAACCTGCGACCCCATACCCATCCACCAGGTGAGATGAGCTTCCAGGCGCCCAGAGACGACCCGTTCCCCACCACCGACACGTGCTCTCCGAAACCTGGGCGCGGGAGGACTGGAGGACTGGAGGACTGGAGGACTGGAGGACTGGAGGACTGGAGGACTGGAGGAGGGGATGGGAGGATTGGGTGGTTTGCTGCTGGAGCTAAAAAAAATGGTACTGATGAAGTGGAGGTGGATGGCCTGCAAGTGGCGCAGTTTCAGGATCCGAGAAACGACTCCATGTTAGGGGTTAGATATGCTTGCCGTAGAGCCATCAACGCCTTCCAGGCAGCGCAACATCAAACCTGCAGAAGCCGTTGGGAGGCTCCCTATGCAGGAAAGGGCAAAGGGGAGCTGGTTTTTGCATGAATCCGGCAAGCGTTCTTCTTGCCGGAAAGGGGGGAGGTTAATCGATCTGTCTCAACCAGGGTCACCAACTTGCCCATCCTAACCAGCACAAACATCGAGGAAGGATGGTTCGGATTGTGCTCTTCCACGCCAGGATGTGCAAACCTTACCAGACAGCAACGTGCCGTTCTTAGCATATCACGATGGCAAATAAAGCATCAACCCGGTTTGGCTCCGGTTGCCAATCACACGCGAAACAGCCAATCACAGTCCACTATGAGTGGGCTTGCCCAAGCAGAGAAAGCTCAGCCAGATCCATCCCAATGCATTCAAGGTGCAGGTGTCAACTCGAACTCGGAAAGTTACCTGAGACGCGTGTTCCCTTCAGCGGCCCAACAGCTGATAGGCAGGCAAGAACCTGCAGCCTGCCTGCCAAAAGGAGCAAAACAAACAGCCAACCACAGAAATTCCCATTCCATTTCATCGGCGTCAACCGGGCCCACAAATATGGAAACGCTGCATTTACTTGCATCTATATTTGAACCAGGCACCTTAGAACTAGAACATCATTTAGACACTTCCGTCAAGCCCTGCTTAGCCTGCATGTTTCTAATCATTTGCAAAACATCTCTGGCGCCGTTATTTCCAGGGTGCTGTTGCGTTGATGAAGCCGTCGCTCTCATGGCTGGCAATGGAAGTGATGGCCGCCATGGGCCCCCAAGGGTAGTTGAACAAACTACCCGGGCGCCTACCTGACGCACATATATGCCCTAGACGGGGGCTGCGACAGCTGCGGCACGGGATCGCCTCACACTCGCACCCAACAAGCCTTGGACTGCAACAGCCAGCCAATTTTCACTTGAGGCCTGGCAGGTGCACCCCAAGAACGCATCCACGATATGCACCCTACACACACATATATATATATATATATACATATTGCACCAGCCTCATCTGCGACACTAGTTGGTTCCGCCAATGCTGGGGGAATTGAAGAAACTGTCCATTCAACAAAAAAGATGGGCACGTTGGTCGATTCCTTCAAGGCCAAGCCATTGCTCTGAAACTCCACGGGCCGACCGACAGGTGGCCCTCGCGGCAGCCATTTTCCGCGGCGGTCCGCTGTGTTCCGCGCGCAGCAGCGCGGCCTGGAGGGGGCGGCAGGTGTGCAAGCCCATTGTGCAGGTGACTGCTGATGACATAGTGTATTGTTTTGGAAAAACCATGAAGCATCAAGCAAACAAACCAAGACTGAACGAGAGAAACATCAAGCAGGCGAAACAAGACTGAACGATACTTGCAAAGCGGCACCTAAGAATGCGACTGTCGCAGTAACATGTGTGAATGGCAAACGAAACGCAGGTCAGACCAGGCCAAGACCTAATCGCTTTACAACCGCTCAGCAGGGTCAACACATGTTGAGAAAAAAAATGAGAAACAAAAAACGCTGCGAAATAGTACGACCTGCTTCACTATGTTTGCGTACCTTTCAAGTTGGAGGCTCCTTTGCATCCCGGCCAGCACATGTTCCTCACACACCTCTATCAAACAAGGATATATGGGAAGGAAGGCTCATGAACTGCGCACAGCCTGTGTTGGTCAGGGTTCTGTCCACTGGCGCTGAGCCGGCTGCTTTCCTAAATTGCCAATGAGCCCCCAAAGTCTGAAGCGGCACAGGTTGCAAAGCTGGGCCTTGTGGCGAACGAATGGCTGCAACTGCAGATGAAACTTGGCCAACACAGCAAATTCAAGCTTGGGTCCTTTCTCCGGTTGGCTTTCTCAATCAATATCACTCTTCCGCTTGCTTTGTGGACAATATGATGGCCCCGCGACAGTGTTGCAATGCTTTCAATTCTGGGCCGCAAAAGCTGAGTCTGCTATTCCTGGTATAGTTTTCTGGTTGTCTGCCACAAGCTCTTCAACGCCATGATCATACAAAGCGGCGCGAATTCAAACAGCGACTTCAAATGCTGAGTCCGCTCTCCGCTCAGCTGTCCACCAGACTCGGCGATGCGATGTGCGCATACCTAAATGCCAACTCAGCAGTCTGGTAGCATTCTGACACCTGAACGTTTCCATGCTCTTGATTGTAGGCCACGAGCTCTTCAAATCCATGCCTCCACCTCTGCTCTAATGACATGCTCCCCTTGCCCAAGAGAATTTAAACGCTGAGTCCGTTCTTCGCTCAGCTTTCCAGCAGATTTGGCCCAGCGCTGCACGTTCACCCATCTGCGAAGCCCAAAGCCACCAGCGGTCTTGTAGCCTGCTGGGACCTGAGTATTGCCATGCTCTCGAGTGTAGGCCACGAGCTCTTCAAACCCACGCTCCCACCTCTGCTTTGATGACACGGTGCTCTTCCCCCACACAAAGTCCCTCACCCAGATGCCAAGACAAAAGCCACAAGCGGTCTTGTAGCCTGCTGGGACCTGAGCATTGCCATGCTCTTGAGTGTAGGCCACGAGCTCTTCAAACCCAAGCTCCCACCTCTGCTCGAATGACATGGTCCTCTTCCCCCACACAAAGTCCAGAGAATTTAAACGCTGAGCCCGTTCTTCGCTCAGCTTTCCAGCAGATTTGGCCCAGCGCTGCACGTTCACCCATCTGCGAAGCCCAAAGCCACCAGCGGTCTTGTAGCCTGCTGGGACCTGAGTATTGCCATGCTCTCGAGTGTAGGCCACGAGCTCTTCAAACCCACGCTCCCACCTCTGCTCGAATGACATGGTCCTTTTCCCCCACACAAAGTCCAGAGAATTTAAACGCTGAGCCCGTTCTTCGCTTAGCTTTCCAGCAGGCTTGGCTCGGCGCTGCGTGCTCACCCATCTGCCAAGACCAAAGCCACCAGCGGTCTTGTAGCCTGCTGGGACCTGAGCATGGCCATGCTCTTGAGTGTAGGCCACGAGCTCTTCAAACCCACGCTCCCACCTCTGCGTTAATGACACGGTGCTCTTCCCCCACACAAAGTCCAGAGAGTTTAAACGCTGAGCCCGTTCTTCGCTCAGCTTTCCAGCAGATTTGGCCCAGCGCTGCACGTTCACCCATCTGCGAAGCCCAAAGCCACCAGCGGTCTTGTAGCCTGCTGGGACCTGAGTATTGCCATGCTCTCGAGTGTAGGCCACGAGCTCTTCAAACCCAAGCTGCCATTTGTGTTCTGGCAAGTGCCATACGAATGCAAGAGAGTCAAGACGCTGAATCTGTCCTTGGCTTAGCTTGCCAGCTCTTCTCTGCTGGCGCTGGCGCCAAACCCATTGACCCAAACGAAAATTGTTGGCAGTGACAATGTGTCGTGGCATGGTCACGTGCCCATCTTGTCCAAGAAAGGCCAGTAGCTCTTGATACCCAGTCTCAAAATGATCTTCCCCAAGATAGCCTCTGCAAGCGCGCGGAAACACGTGCAACCTCAATACCTTAGCGGCCTCCTCCGCTAGCTCCTGGTCGCCACTTGAAACCCTAGCCGCCACAACGCCAACGCGGCAGCTCTCCTGCGTGTCAGCCGTATGCAGCGAGGCATGGAACGAAGCGTCTGCAGCGGCAAGCTCACTGATTAAGCGCGTCAGCTCTGTGTCCGGCTTGGCCATCCGGATGTTGTTTTCTCTCCGCACAATGGGAGGCGCGAGCACCAACGCGTCCACCTTGGACGAGTGCTTCCGAAGTACCCTGCCCACACACTGCCTCAAGCGCACGCCATGCCTGGGAGCAACAAAAAGACAGGTGTCCGCCACCGGCAAGTCGACCCCCTCACTGAGGACGTCAACCGTCACCAGCACCCGAATGCCACCCCTCGCCTCACCTTCCGTGAAGCTGTTGAGGACATCCTGCCGCCGCGCATGGGTAGTGTGGCTGTTGTAGTGGTCCGCTGCGATGCCTGCGTCGCTGAGCAGCCGAGTGAAGTGCTTCGCCTCTTGCACGGTGTTGCAAAAGGCCAAGGCCTTCCGTGCGAAGGGCAGGTTCCGCAGCAGTTCCACCAAGCTGGGTCGCGGGTCGCCTTCCGACACCACAGGCACCATGACCGTGTAATCTTGGATCACGCCCGCCTCAATGGCTGGGCGCAGGCCGAAATCGAAGTCCGGGAGGTTGCGGATCAAAGTTGCAGAAAAAAAGATCCGCTTTCTGGCGTTCAGTTTCAAAACCTGCGTTGCATGCACTCCCGCTACGTCATTGGCCGCTAGCTGTGAGTCAGAAGGCTGAGGTTCTTCAGAGAGTGCCGCTGGCTCATAGTGATGCGCCTCATCGAGCAATAACAGGTCAAGAGTGAGGTTCTGCAACCTCCAGGCTGAGTTCCGCACACAAACAAATACATCCGCAGTGAGGTCAGCTTCATACCCCGTACCAACGCGGCACACTTTGCGCCGGTGAAGTGTCTCTTCCAGCAACCGTGCCATCTGCTCCATCAAGTCCAGCTTTGGGACGATGACGCATGCACGTTGCTCCTGCCCCAGCTCTGCCAAGAGGTCGGCCATCACCAAGCTCTTTCCGGTGCCAGTTGCCATCTGAACAAAGAAATCCCGCTGCGACGCGTTGCGCATAAAATCCAAGCATCTTCGCAGGCATTGAAGCTGGTGCGGCCACCGTGCCGTGTCAGCACCCAGCTTCCGCCCAGCCCCGCCCTCCGCGCTCGCCAGCTGCGCCGCCGCGCCCGCGCGCGAAAGGCTTCGATCTCCGCGGCGCTGTAGCGGCGGTGCGCGGCGCCCGTCCACTGCCAGCGCTTCGGCAGCTGGGTGCTTTCGTTGGTGGCCACCACCAAGTGCTGCACATGTGGCCGCAGCGGGGAGCCCTCCGCCTTGGCCAGGAAGTAGAAGTTGGTGAGGCGGTTCAACGGAACTGCGCCGCTGTTCCTAACTCAGTGCATGCGGTGTTGCTAAAGACTCATCATGAACAAAGAACGCAGTGATTTGCGGCTGCCCCTATTGAAGTCCAGTCAAACAAGCACAAAGGTGCACTGTAATATGCCATTTTGACACAAGGAGTGGCAGCACAAATGATCCCTATAACGGACATGACAATCATGCCTATATTTCACAAATTCAGAAGCGAAAGAAATCCCCATAAGCACAACTTGTGTAGAGAATTAGTTCTAAATTCCTGCTCTTTGAGACCTTCTCCAATGTAAATCCCTAGATGGAAGGGTACCCCTTCAGCAAAGCTTCGCCGAGTAATCCTTTGCCTGCACCGCCACCGACAGATTCAGCGCCAAGGAGTCGATGCCGCGGTCCTTGAGGGGCAAACCCAATGCCTCCTTGAGGCGGATGGGCAGCTGAGCCCAGGGCACCGTCTGCAGGTCCTCGGCTGGTCGTCTCCAAAAAGTGAATCGGGCAAAACATGAGGTGTCACCCGCCCTTTTGTGCATGTTTGCCATGAGTCATATTCGTGAAAGATGATGACAAGTGGAGAGTCTGGGGCAATGGCGCTCTCTGTTGCATCGTTCGTGTAATGGCCGGAAACAAGCTGCAAAGACGGGTGACCCCCCTTTGTTCTCGGCGGTCTTCAGCAGGGCATCAACCACAAGAAAAACGATAATAATAATGATAAAACTTCTGGCGCTGTTGCCACTGAAACAGGCAACTAGCCATACTATGTTCCAAGGTTTGGAACGAACTAGTCGATCAAAACATGGAAGAAACAACAAAAGTAGATGCCACCCAAACCTTCCAGGGCTCCAACGCAGAGATCAGCTCCAGCTCCCGTCCCGGTGGCAGGTTGCCCACCGCCAGCGCCTCCAGGGCCTTTGCCTCCACTGCTCGATGGATGCGCCGCTGCTCGGCTGGGCTCAGCCACTCGCCCTGGCCAAGCTGCAGCCAGCGGCGGTTGTTTAGTTTGAAATGGAATCCCTTTTTTGCAGTTGATTCCAATTTGAGTTCATGGATGACCCTTTGCAGGAAAAGGACATCCCCTTGCAAGTTGAGTTCATGGAAGGACTGATTGAATCGTTTGGTTCACATTTGTTTCTTGTGGCCGCATCTTCAGGGAACTCACTGCAAAACAGAAAGGGAAAAGAGGAGCTGGGTTGGCCGTCCTTGTCATCCTGGGCGGCCTGGTAACGTGCCACGCGCCAGCTGCGTGGCTGGCGCGACCCATGCAGCCGCCAAGGGGCGAAGGCCCTGGTGACGAGGTGGGGCAGAACCACCAATAGCGCAACTGCTCGGAAGACGCGCTTGCGGCACTGCGTAGGCATGGCCTGAAACATTGGACGCATCACTGCGACCAGCTGAGCCCAGTGGCTGCGGAGGGCAAAATCACATGAGACCTTCGCAAGACAAGTGGCAAGCATGGCTTTCATTTTCATTTTGCAACGACACCAGCATGACGGAAACAGTGGGCTCTCCAGTGGGATTCCATACCTGCTCCCTCAAGTGCCATCTCTCGCATCCAACAGCCCAGCTCGCCTGCCCGCTCAGCCGCGCAGCTGCACCAGCAAAGGCCGCGCAGAGTGCCATGTGCAAGAGGCGAGCTTTGGGCAGGCGGGTCATAGCAGGTCATCGCAACCAGCGTGAACCAATAATCTCAGGGCATGTGTCAAGACTTGGAACCCCTCCACATGGCTGATGTTTCCTGGAGAAGTCCACTAAGAACGGACAAAACATCCCAGTTCCATCTCACTTGTCCACTCTGAAACCACGGAGCATCGATCTAAGAGAAAGGCAATCGTGCACGCCCGCAGAAGAATGGGCTGTGCAAGGGAGCCTTCCTGAAATGATGAGCAAAATGGCGGGCCATGCAACCCGATCAATATGTGTGATAGAACAGTTCGCCCAATTGCTAGCGTTACGTATGAACAAGTGTCATCGAGATAAGGTCGAACCCCCTTGGTGTTGAGATCGCAACAATTTGCCCCTCCAAAGCTCGCAACAGTTCCCTTTAACATGAAGATATATTATGATCGTCTAAGCGCCACGTAAAATAAGAAACTCCTTCAAACACATGTGAAACTAATGTATCATTGCTAAGGGAGCCCCACCTTACCTCCCACCAAGCCCCTGGCAACACCCCCAATCCCCTCGGCACGCTCTCCGCGGCAGCTCCCAGCGCTCTTTCGATTTTCCGGAGAGCTGGGCAGCGGCAAGCATCAACTGCGTGGCCGCGTCCGCCTCGCTGTCCAGCAAATGCTGCTCCACCTATGGAGAGGCATAGCCACCCACCCAAAAACAACAAACGAGCACACACACACACACAAACACAAACAAATAGAGAAAAGAAAAAGCAAGACACACTGCCAGCAAGTACCGACAAGTTGTTCTTCTGCATGCCTCCGCACACAATAAAACCAACAAACGCCAACCTCAACAACCACACAACAACAACAAAACACAAACGGCAGCCAGCACCCACATCAAAACCCAGCCGCAAGCAAAGCTTGGTGTTCTTTCCGGCAAGTAGATGGATTCCCCATTGAAGGGTGAGATTCAAAAAGCCTGCATCCAGTGAAACTCATGCATGTTATTTGGAAGCCATGCATGTTCAACCAACACAATCCACACACTGCATGCTCGAGCGAACTGATCTCTTTTGTGTGTGTTTTGTTGTTTCTCACTATTGTTGTCATCATTATGATGATGAATATTATTCTTATTATTATGACTGTTATTATTATTGTTATTGTTGGTTATTTGACAACAAGAAGAAACACAACCATTGAAGAGCGAGACGCGTCGTACTCTCCGCTGCACGACCCATGCCGCAGCTTCTCCTCCAACTTCTCCTCGCAGCTTTGCAGCTGGGCCTTGGCTCCCCAGCGTTCCCACACACACACACACACATCGGGGCGTGACTGCGTGACTCCATAGGCGTCCTTTAAGGGGCCATGGCTGTGGGTCAAAAACGGGTATCCATTTTGGAACCCTAGTAGGAACCAAGGACTAGAACCTGCAGTCTGGTGCTTTAATTTTGACCCATACCCAAATAGATGGCCCTGGTAGATGATTCACCAGGCAAACCAGGGAATCGCCATCGATTTTTCGAGCAAAACAACCAAAAAGGACACCTATGGGCGTGACTCCGTCCCCACAACAAATCAGAGGGCACATTGAAAGGACCTGAACGGGGCACTTCCGTTTCATCAGCTGGGTTCTCTCTCCCTCCCCTTTTTGTGGCAGGGGGGAAAAAGCAAAGCTGCTGTATGCGAACCTATGTAAACCTATTCGCATCACCCCACCAAAAAGAAACTCAACCCACATGAAATCCGCGGCCTCCCCCCCACTGCTGCCTGGTTGCCGCGAGGCGCTCTGCCTGGCAGGACTTGCATCGCAAAAGCTTAGATCTGTAGCGATCTTCCAGGTAGCTATGCACATAGGGCGCTTTCCAACCTTTCGGAGAAAGCAACCAAACGCAACACATATAGAATAGGTCTGAGTAGGTATTAGTCTAAAAATCCACAGCCTGGCCTAAAATACTTCGTTCACCTTGGCTCGCCCCAAGTGGCTCAACAGGCAGACAGCGGGCACTCGACATGCAGTCCCGCGCCTCATCTGTGGCCGTGTTTTTGAAATGGACCTCGGAGCGAACCTGCGCAGAACGCAGGCCATCGCTTAAAAACCCAGTCCAAGAAGATGGACAAAGGCCATGGACACGCATCACTTTTGTCCTGAAGTCAGCTGTCCTTTCTGGCACCAGGGCGAGCGATCGGAACTTTTGCTTGGGGGGAGTTGTGAAATTGTACTTCTGCCACAAACTTCTGACCACGTGTTGCATGGAAGATCGCCCCTCAGTGGCTGTCCATACAGATGCAGAATTGCAAAGATTCAAAGGTCGGCGCAAGTCCTTCGGAGGTTTTCCTATATGTCCCCGTTGATTCAACTACCAAGCAAAGAACATATGAGGACCCTACCCTACCCTTGCCCTGCTGAGACACCGCGAGTTTGGCTGAAGCGTCCGAAAGAAACATCAGATTAGGCCAAAAGGAATCATCATTACACCAAAAGGAATTCTGTTTCGCGAACATCGTGTTGGGTTCCTTCTTTGTGGGCTCCTTCTGATATCTTCTGATTCAGTTTAGTTCGCGAAAGAGACACACATAGAACCTTCCAATCACCGCCTCCGAACGCAGTGCGCGGAGCTTCTCGAGAGAGGAGGAGGAGCCCGTTGCCAGGTCCTGCAAGTGCCTGCGACTGGACTCTTGAGACAACTTTGGTTGACCACTCCCCTCTACTCGAAGCAATCAGCTACCCTCAGATGCCCAAAGGACCCACAAATAAAAGGTTTACCTTTTCGGGCCATGACTAAGAATGCACCCAAACAGGCAAACCAAAGGGTCAAAAGTCAGCTTTGGGCAACTGAGTGCCAGTTGGGTTCCGCCATCTTCTCCACAAGGGCGCAAAAAACAGTTCATCATGAGTAAGCTTGTTTGTGCCCCAGAGGTATGCTCGCTATACGTCTTGCAGACTTCATGCTCCTGATAAGACTGTCTGAGTTCGCGGGAGCCTTTAAATAACGTAAATATATCCGAACCATCGGTGCAAACACACGCGCAATGACAGGTGCTTGGCGTTCTCGTGTGTTCACAGTTCCCTCATACAAATCAGGGTGTCCTCCGCCCTGTTTGCCTGTGCATCGGCACACCATCATCCATCAAAGTGCTCTATGGGTGGTTCCTTTCAAAGAATTGGGACCCTTTGCGCCAGGTGACATTAGTATATGCACCTTAAGGCAGGGGTCCCCCAAGGATTTGCTCTCTTAAAACAGACGTCTTGCTTTTTCGATGTTCCAATCTGCAGTGGCGTGCAGGGCGAAAGTAGACGGCGCAATTCCGTTGTGCAAGTAAAAGGATAACACCACCAAAGGGGATGGTGCCATCCAATGTTACCCAACCGGCTGAAATGGTCAAACATGAACCCCAAAATGGTAACCCCAAAAATGGTAACCCCAAAATGGTTTAAAATGGTAACCCCAAAAATCCCAAAATGGGCTGCCCTGGTAAACAGGACCAAGGGCCAAAACCTGCGGCCCCCTGGCAGGCGCCTCTCCAGCAGCTGCTGCTCAGCCGCCTGCCGCTGCCGCCCGCTGTCGATGAGCTCCCGCACTCGGCCTCAGCCCAGGCCAGCGGTCTGGTGATGCCCAAGTTGTTAAGCTCCATCCATCACAGGGAGCTCCTCTCCGAACACCACACTGCCGCCAAAAGAAGCTTAAAGTTAAACCGACCAAAAAGGTAATGCCTAAATCCCCGACCCATGAACCATGACTAGTTTATCACTGCTATCGCACTGCTATCACTTCAAAGAAAGCAGCACTTAGCAGAATAGAGGCACAACCCTCCGTTGTCCAAAACCGTGGCTTGCTGGTGCATCAGCGTCGCCCTATGTTTCACACGGTCCACCCAAAAGGGACATCTAGAAACCTCTCTTATCCAAGCTGACTGAGCCAATATCCGAGAAAATGGAAGTTCACTCTTCCTGGCTTCAGTTTAGTCTTACACGCCCAGAAGCAGAAAACATGTTTTTTTTCGGCCCAGCCAGCAACCCCAACAATGGGAATCTTCTCAAAGCCGAGCGGCTCATGACCTGGCCATGGGCGTCCTTCCGGACGCCTGGCGCCTGACAAGGCCAAGGCAGGGGCTGCAGAGGTGGATCCGTTTCAGAGACTGTGCCCTTGGGTTGGAAACGGCAGCTCCTGGAACAAAACAGTAAACATTTAGGAATACATTGAGTTGAATACATGACACACACACACAGCGAAAAGAGAGTAAGTATAGTAAGTCAAAGTCGCACAATCAAATTCAGGAGTTGGATTGAATGCCATCACTTCCTTCAACACAGAACACGGAAAATAACGGTCAAACCGTCGCTGGAAGTCTGCGGTCGGGTACATCTGGATGGCCAATCCCCCATTCCCTCCGCTAACATGGCTTCGTTGGGAATGGTGAGCAGAGACCATGCCCTGCATCTTCAAAGGTCCGTTGGTCTCAGCCCTTGGCCAGTTGGAATGATGCAGTAGTTAGGCCTTGAGCAATCTGCGACATTTCGCGAGGCGAAAGACGTCTCTGCCAAAATTTGACCCGGGTCACCTGCGTTGCAATGTTCCGCAACGCAACCCTTCCTGCAGCTGCCAAAACCAGCTCACCCGAACCCCTGCTCTTTTAAAAACAGAAATCCTGCGATCAGCCTACCTGAGTGGCAGTCAGTGAATGGACAAGCTCGCCACCCGACGCTGCACATTGCCCCATCCACGCCTCACGGCCCAGGCCTGTGCGAAGCAGAGGCCAGTGGCTCATGGCTGTTTCGAGCACTTGAGGTAGCCACGTTCAATAGAAACCAGAAAAGGAAGCAGGTCATGGAGGAAGACTTCTCTAATAATGCTCAGCTCTTGGTTCTTCCATGAGTCATTTGTCAGTTGGCTTTCTCGAATCGGCACAAGTATTGAATGCTCCTTCTGGAAGGGTGGCCTTGCAACGGTGTTGACACACATACCTGCCAAACAGTGATGCAAACACGTTGGCAGTGGCTCATGCAGCTGCCAATTGAGTCGATACGTCGCAGCAGGTCGCAACACAGCGCACTGCCACTTTCTTCCATCTGGTAGCTGTAGCAAAGGTCCGCCACATTGAAACTACCCTAAACATCCCTAAAACAAATGCCGCAGCAGGCATCACACATCAAACGTGACCCAAGTTTCTGGAGTGTCCACTCTACTAGTCTCTGGCACGAACTATCCCCTCAGTATAATAGAACAAGCAACAGAACATTGCACACGAAATGTCTGATAAATCCGACAAGTGTCTTCTCCAGGCATTTTTGCATAGCGCCTTTGACCCAAACATCTGCGCATATCTTGCGCCAAGCAGCTGGTGCTCGGTCTCCTCTCTCGTTGGCCTGCTTTGTCCTGGCAGCATGTACGCCAACACATTGTCATCACTGGAAACACGCACCCGCAGGAGCTCGACCAAGCCCGACATGGAGCAAACATCAACCCTCCAATCAACCCACCAACCGTCCACCTGACCAACCACCCATCAAGCCAAGCACAAATCAACCCCAACCAACAAATGATTACACCTGCGCAGATCAACCAAGTTACAACAACCAACCATGCAGGCAGACGATGGCTCTCGGCAAAACGAAACGAGCCACCCGGGATCCGCGACGCAGCGCCACACGAGAGGAACGTTCGCCTTGGCCATGGCGAGCTCGAGAGCCTCGATGCGATTGTCCTGCGGTGCTCAGTAGGTAGGGAGTGACAACGAGTCATGGTGGGAGTGAACCGGTTTGGGGATTCCCTTAACGAAGCCACGAGTGGAAATAACCTTGGGATCTCTTTAAAGGAAGCCACCGCACAGGCGCTTCTGAAGTTAGGGGCTTGCAAACACCTCCTTTGGCTGGGTTCAGACCCAAGACCAGGGTGCCGTACCTAGGAAACAAGGCAATCCTGTGGCTCATGCCAGGTAAGGACAGGCAAAGAGAGTTTCGGTAACCGGTGCGGGAGGTTGGTACGAGTTCCCCTCCTTGGCTTCCAGTAGCCGCCGGAGGCTCGCAAGCTCCTCCTGGGCGTCCGGTCGGGGTATGTTCGGGCTGAAGGACACCGGAAGGAACACCACGGTCTTTCAAAATGAGCCCCACAATTGTGCAGCCTTGATATATGATTAAAAAGCGTTGTGAGTTGCAGCCCCGCACTCAAACTGAACAGAAGTGAAGTGCCAAACAGGTGAAACTGCAATTACTGAGCAGTGAAGAGAAGGCTCGGTGCTAATGAAATAGGGCAGAGTCTGGCACAGTCAAACTACTACCCATCCTGTCTTGAGTTCAAATTGGAGGACCCCTTTTGGTAGGAAGGCCCACAAGAAACCCATCATTTGTTAGAGTCCCAAGCTGTCAGAAAGGCCCAATTGAGAAAAGTAAAGTCTCTGAACAAGCGAGCCCAAGAAGAAGGGCCTCAAAACCCTGGTTGGGGAAATCACCCTTGTGATACCAAGAAGGCCATGTTCAAACGGTGTTCCCTTGTTGCCCCGGACATTGCCCCCCAAAAAAAACACCCGAGCTTTCCACGCCATCTCCACCTGGCCTCCAGCATGAGCTCCCTGGAGCCCTGGCCAGTGACCCGCGAATCTCTTCGCTAGGGGCAACCACTAGACCCTGCTGCTAACAACCTGTGGCAAGGACTACCCCAAATGGGGCGGCCACGAATGAAGCGAACATGGCGGAATGCGTGGCTTTTCACATGACAATGCATGGCGTACAAAGAACCAACAGATTTGCAGTATCGAGTTTGTATTGTACGCAATTGGCTTCAGATGACCCATGTTTGTGTCCTTGCGACAACCCATGTTTGCATTATTGTACGCAATTGCCTTGCGATGACCCATGTTTGTATTGTACGCAATTGCCTTGCGATGACCCATGTTTGTATTGTACACAATTGCAATCCGGATCACCGCCCTGCTTCGTCTTATTTCTGATCACAACGCATACATCAACTCAAACGACATACTCACAGCAGGTGCCGGCCACATGCTAAATGATTGATGATGTCTAATGTTCGATGCAGCCCTAGCTTCGAAAAGCTCCGCCCGGCATGAAAGACCCAGTGGCAATTGTCCCTTGTGCAATATATGCAAAGGAATAAGACCATCAAATATGCATTTTTGCATGGCCTTGCTGATTTAATGGCATTTGTCTGCAGCTAGGTGCAGGGACCCATGCGGGCGCTTTCAATAATTTCGCACACATACGCTGGAAACCAACACAAGCAGGCTCACCAGCAGCAAAGGCTTCACTGGCAGCCTCGTGCAGGCTTCACCAAAAGATGCGTCCCACAATCGCCTGATTCATATGGCAATCCTCCATTTCAGCTGGTCAAGGTGCTTTTAGACATGGCCAAAATGTATCTTTTACCAACCCGGGCTTCTGCTGAACCCGATGGCGCCTGCGCGGACTGGGCCGGAGTCCCCCTTTCCAACTGCTCCTGCGGGGCTTTGGCGCCGCGTTACGACCCATAGATATGTCGGGAGCAGAAAGCTGCTAATGCCCACTGGCCAAACACAAGTAAAGGCTCGCGCTCGCAAGCTTGGAGCTGGCCAGTTGAGTTGTGCAAGGGCAAATGAACGAGAGATCCCAACCTTTTGTTCTAAGTGCCTTGTCAATGTCCATTCCGGTGCAGCAAGGTGCCTGCAAATGTTTCCAACTCACTGGGCCTGCTCCATCTCCCTGTGAATCCAGGGAGGGGTGTAGTCCCAGCAGTCCCTCTCCTCAGCTCAAGAACCGAGAGAGCTACTGAATGCAACGGATAGGCTGAATGCAACCTGCAAAGTGGCCTCATCGCGGTTTTGCGTTGGTTTTTCTAGCCTCAAGCTGCCTGCCAGTTTGCGCTTGATTCGGTAGGAAGAGCACTAACGGCCTTCAAAATCCAACAAGTGTTCTTCATTTCGCAAAGCAAGCACTTGCCACGTTGACCCCAAGGTTGAATCATTTGACCTTTCATTCAGGAATCATCTGCATGAGTGTACTCAATAGTGGTTCAACATGGATAACGCCATTCAGCCTGCCTGTTCCCGGGATTTAAGGGATATGGAACAACAAGGCCCCTTCAGTTGCCCAGTGGCCCTTTCCTATGTTGACTAGTTGTAGCAGGGCACCTCCCAAACAAAACAGCAAATATGGTGCCTCTGGAAAAGTGGGACTCATCGTATGGGATTCTGCCTCTTCTCCGCTTTCCTTGCCCCAGAGCCGCTCCACTTCGTTCTCCCTCCCTCTGACCATGGCACTGCTGGCCGCAGATCCTCCAGCGCATGGCCGTCAGAGCGCCACTGGCCGGACGAGTTTGGTCAAGGGATGAGTGGACCCTCAGGCGGGGTCTGAAGAAAACAGGTGACCGTGGTTCAGAAAAACCGGTCACAGACAGGGCTAACTTTGCAGCTCGGCCCGGGACCATGGACCATCCCTAGCCGGCAGCTATGACTCTTTCCAGTGGCGAGCCCTCCTATTGTTTGGTTCTATCAGTGAGCCAGACACACTCCAAGAAGATCTCTGAACACCAAGGTCAAAACCACAAAATCGGATGTCATTCTTCGTGGACGAAAAAACAAATCTGCTTCTAGGTCCCGGTTTGAGGTTGAACCGCTTTGCTGATCACTCGCATTTTGGCGAAGCGACGAAAGGTTGGGGCAAACCCGAAGGCGCGTTGCCGGCAGAAAAACTTTATGCAAATGACCTATCAAACGCATATGCCAATGCCGAAAGTTTAGGCTTGCACAATCACAAGACTGAGAACGGCCAGGCTGGCCAACCTGTCATCCCCATTTAGGGTCTTGCTTGTGTCACAGCTCATATGCGTCTATGAACTCAACAAATCCGGAGCTTGAGCCTTCTAAGCAAGGGCTTCCCTTGCAAGTTGATGTCACTTGTCCGCAGGCGCTGGTTTGCCATCACCTCTGCAGCCCATGCCTTGAAGACATCGCGGAAATGCTGCAGTCGTTGGGAGAACTCCTCCAAATTCATCCTCGGCGATTGGTGAAGAAAGTCATGCACAGCCCGTACGCAGGCTCAAACAAACCAACTTCCCATACATGTCAAGGCAATGATCTTTTGGAGAAGCTCGTGTTGGCGTCTCGTGCTCTCCCTTATTTCTTTCGGGATTGGGGAGGGGGGTGGGGCCCTGCCAGCACCAAAGGTTCCCATTCCTCCCTCATACATCCCTCGGCCCTTGGTGACTAACCTTAGGCTTGAAGATGGAAAACTGTCGGGGCGAATTCCCCAGCCTCAGGACAGCAAGCCAAGGTTCAGCAAAGAAGTCTGGCCAGAGCGCACTGGCATGCTCACCTTGACAAAGTGGTCCAGCAAGGACCTTGGTTGCCGACCCACCCGCGCAGTCACAAAAACATATGCATCACAAAACCTGCAGTCATAAGTGCATCATATGCATATGCATGCAGAATGTAATTATGTATGCGTTGTATCCGTTAAACATCAGCCCACTAACCCACCCACCGGAAGTTTGCTCGCGCCGAGTTCACGGCAGAGGCTTCTTCCGTGGCTTCAGCACCTTGTCCCGCACGAAGCTGCGCCACCGGGCCTTCCCCGTGTCCAGGCGCCGCAGCCGCACCACGCTCTCCTCAGCCAATCGGGAACGAGTGAGTCGGGCGCCTGGGCGGTTCCGGCCCGAAAGGTCTGAGGCCCGAAAAGGGGGGGGGTGAGGGGGGAGGGGGGGGGGGGGGTGCAAGAATTGGGAATGATCATTGCTTTCTGGGTGGTTCAAAGTTCATTTTTCGGTTGCAGCCAGAGTTGGGCCAACCTCTTGGTTGAACATGTTTAAACACCTATTCTAGCTGTTCTCATTGAAGCTTCAACCAGCTCCTTTGAGTGTTCCTTTAAAGGGGGCAAGAGCCGATTGTTTAATTCAATTTTGCCCAACCCTGGTCGCAAGCCAACCACTCAAAGGACACCGGTTGTCGCTGGGAACCCACAAAAGCGCTGGCAGGCCATCTGCAGCTTAGGGCTCCAGCGTGACCTCGCTGGCCTCCTGGTTGTCTCCGGGCACCGACAGGATCTCCGCGCTGAACAAGAGGCGCTCCCGCGGGCACAAGTCTTCCGCCAGCGCGTTGGCCTGCCGCTGGGCGCCAAAGCGGACCGGTGGGAGGTTTGACGGTTTCACCTGTGGGCACCGCCCAGAAAACGGACTTCCAGCTCAAAAGCGGAAGCTCAAGCTTATATATTTCTATTGCACACGTACCAAAAGTCTGGTTAACAATGTGCTATTCAGGGGTTGCACAAAGACAATGCGGGCTACATACCCTAACATTAGGAAAATAGCAGCCGAAGTTGAAACGTGCAAACCCCTTCTTTGAATATCTTCGTCCTGCTGGGAACCCGCCAACTATAGAGTATCTTGATCTTCCAAGGGCCTTGAACAAATCCATTTTCTCCATGTCCGGTTCGCAAGAATCCAGAAACTCCATGGGAGAGGTTGTTCACGGCCAAGATCAGATTCGCTTGCAGAGTCGCTACGCCATCACAGGCAGGTGTTGGCATGGCTGGCGAGGATTTGTATAAAGTCAGCTCAATTTCATTGGCCATAAGAAAAATAAACATTGTCCCCACTTGCCCCTGGTCTTACGTGACCTGAAGTGCACATTAAATCCAGCGGCAGCATGTTGCTCCATCATGGCACAAAGGCCCAGCCTCGCTCACCAACCTGCAGACCTGCGCAAAGCGAGGGTAGGTAATTGATTCGCGGCGTGGATAAGGTCGGGCAATGTCTTCGGATAACAACCAACCCAGCACCACACAATATGCTTCACCTACGATCTGAGCAGGTGCTGAAAGCTTTGGGATTGCCCCTTGTAGCTCAACATTTGCAGCATGCATTCCATCAAGCTTGATACATCTGAGAACAACTCGATCCAACACAACAACAGATCTTCCACTCGCCTTGCACAACGGCCGCAACCCATTCTTTGATGCGTGGTCACATTTTATGCGTCTTTGCCGTTTTATTTTTCTCATCTTACCCGAGTTTGCATCTTCGAGTGCAAGCACGTCACGCTGCTCCTGTTGCCAAAAAACAGCCAGCTTGTTAACCCCGTGGAAACCCCGAACTTCGCTTGCAGCTCCCTGGCGGCGAGATCCCATTCCCTGCCTTCTGGAAGCCCAGTCGAAACCTGGCTGAAGCAACACGCAGGAATATTCCGCGCATGGCAGTGGCTATGCTTAGGTTTGGAAGCACAGGGGAACCTCAAGCACTGCCAGACCAAAGAACCCACGATTACACTGTTTGCGCTATGGACAGGGTTGCACCTGAACCACTGGGAAATCAAACACGGTTTCGATCAACTCAGCCAAAAACTCGGCGGTGCCTCCCCTCCATCTTTTTGCGGCCAGTTGGCTGCTGGCGAGTGACAAGCAGGCCGCCTTCGTGCTGGCCGAGGCACTGATGAGATCTTGCCTCGCCGATGCGGTTCTGCAGGTTCTGGGTCAGAAGCAGGCATTGCCTCAGAAACTTCACACCGCCAACTGTGACAAAAGCAGGGGAAACATACCAAACACCAGCGTCATAACCAACGTGCTCCTATGGCCCGCCATATCAAATGAGTGGCTGGTAGTTCAGATCGTCCTGCATCTCCACTTCATCCAGGGCTGTCCTTGAGTCAGTCCCCCGGTTGCTCTACATTTCGCGGTGCCTGAAAAACACAGGCCAAGGAGACCCCCAATGGCCCAACGGTAAACAAATGTGGCTTCATCCTGCTTCATCGTGCCCCAGTCTGACACCAAAACAGCAAGGTTTGAATAATTTATAATTTCTATCCACCCAATTCTCCCAACTCGTGGCCATAGCTTCCCTGCCACCAGCGCAAGCACAGGCCCGAGGCACTCCAACTCCAGCTCCCGCTTCATGCCCTTGCCCGGCACCACAAGGCCTGAAAGGCACGGGCAACGACATAGCATCTCTTTATTCAACCGGGGTTCTGACCAAATGGCGCATGGGCGCGGCTCAAAATTCAAGAGCTAGGGTTACGCAGGTGTTGGTCTTTGGTGGCATTTGCCGAGGTGCCATGTTGGTACATGTTTTTGAGCCACAGCCACATGAGTAACCCAAAATATAAGCAGATTGCCTACCAAACCTGATTTCTCTCTTTCTCTCTCTCTCTCTCTCTCTGCCGTTGCGGGTTTGGGTAGCCTGGTGATATTGTCCGCTGCTCCGGCTACGAGAAACTCGAGCACAATTGGCCCGAATAGTGGCATGCAAGTGCTCATAAGGGAAAGACATAGAAGAACCCCGGACCCTGTGTGCTGGGCCTCAGGTCAACTAAGGCAGCCGTTGATGTTCCAGAAGTTGCGCTAGCCAACTGAACCCTTGGAGCTTCCAGCAAGGGCTGGGGGGGAAAACCAAAGCACAGTGGAATCACCCCTTCGGAACTACCTGCCCCGCTGACTGGCCAAGCTGCGAAAGCAGAACGCTTGCCCTGCCATGATACGGTCGTTGTGGTAGAGGTTGGCCTTGCAACGGGCTGCAAGCTTCAGCGCGAGCAGTCAACCAACGGAGCGTGGCAATCAAGAAAAACGGGGATTGCCGGAGGGAGCTGCGGCACGCAATCAGCTTTTCGAGCATGGCATTTGCCTCCGATCAGCTGCAAGCAGGTTTCCCCTCGGCAAAGGAGTCAAGAGACTAGAAGGAACCTGTGCCACAAATGCCATTCATGTAGCTGAAGCCCCTGTTGTAGGGCAAGGGTGGGGCCCAAAGGGAGGAATTGAACCAATTGTTGGGGAAATTCCGGAAAACCAACCTCCCTCGCCCTAGCTCCAGTTCAGGAGCGCGGTGGGGATGTCCCTGCCCTGTGCCTTCGAGGGCCTTCAGTGGGCCCCGCCTCAGAACGCACTTGGCAGCCGTTGAGCAGAACTCGCCCTGCGATGTAGCTGAGAGTCACTTGACCTCGGTATGGGCCCTGCTACCCGGCCCCTGCTAGGCAGTAGGTCTGTCTCCAAAAGTTGGGTGTTAAATGGAGGGGCTGCGAATAATTGACATTGTGTGAAATTGAGAAGCGAGCTAGTGGGGAAACTTGCATTTCCAAATGTTTCTATTCAAAAGCCCGAGGGCTTTTCCACAGAACCTGCAAAAAGAGCTTAACCAAAGGTGACAGCACTTTCCGCTCCTTTCCACGCCCACAATCTCCCGTCAAGGACTGTTGACATGCAGCCCTGCTCCAAACTGCAACTCCCATACATCGTCGTTTTACTGCTTTAACATATCCTTACATAGTCCGAAACACTGCTCTCTCCCTGACACACACACACACACACGGACGCAAATCTGCAACTGAAGCAGGCGGCAGTTGTCAATGTTCCGAATCTCCAGCATCTTCGGAAGCATGCCCAGACCCCTGAGGGATATTGAGGCGCTTGCATCCTCGGATATGGCAGACCAGCATGGACGTGACATTCTCCAGAGGCGCTGGCAAGCAGTGCACCAATCAAAGGGCACCCCACGACTGCAGGATCTGTCGGGTCTGGACAAGTTCTGGGGCTTCACAATCAGATCTCTCCCTATACATAGACAGATTCCATGATATATATATATATACACATACATATCTCTCTCTCTCTCTCTCTCTCTCTCTGCCGCACCATTGGTAAGCCGTCCACCAGAGATGGGGTGCCAAAAGTAGAATGATATATGTCCAAGTATACTTGAGATTCCTGGTTGATAATGATGCTGGGAGTGTAAGTGCAGAAAAGCCGCGGGGCCCAACGTGTATCGCACCTCGATTCTGCATACATTCGCCAGTCATACTGCAGGCCGACAATTGAACCTGCCCTGGTGCTGTGCCTGTTTGAATATGTGTTAGAACCGGTTGACTCTATTGGGGTTGAACCCAAGGTGATCCATCCACCAGGCATATTCGGCCAGACTTCCTTTCTTGCCTTGCTCGGTTGACAGGCACGGGCACTTGGCTAAAGCTCCAATCAATTCCAAACGGCGAACGTTAGCAACCGTCAACAGCCTTTGCCAAGCGGCGCCCCTCAGCAAGAAGTAGATGAGGCAACCGTTCAGCTCAGGATCGTAGCACACCTGTGGTCAAGGACGGCCTGGTTGGTACCCCGAACGCTACTCCCCCCCTTTTACCTTAAAAACAACATGACGTGAGATGACTTTGTACGTAAACAACAACGCCGATGTTGGGAACCAGTAGCTTCTAGATTGCTCATCACTCAAGTAGTCTTTCCAAACCGAAGGACTGTCAGTGGTGGAGTGCAAATCTGGGTGTTAAACAGGCGGGCTGGAAAATCCAAAGAATAGTATTAGGCCCTCTTTAATAAATAGGGTGTCAAATTATAGAAAGTTGTCTTCCTAATTCAAGACCCTGCGACTGTTTTGGACTCTTCCATAAAAGAAAGTTCTTTTTGCCCGCAACACATCGGTGAGGGCCCCTGTGACTGGTTCCACTGTCTTGGAGTGGGGGGGCACATTGAACAAGGCCAACTATCAATCCAACAAATCCCACCTCGCTCTGATTTCCTCAGGAAATCAATACGGGCACAAAAGAAGAGCCGAGTGGCGTTCAGCAGATGCGGAGTGCCGCCCTCCAAGCCCATACTTTTGGTCATCTCCTGCGGCTTAGGCCCAGGACGAATGTGAAAGCACCCCAGTCTCTGAAGACGAAACCAAGTGCATGTTGTGATTTAGTTAGTATAGGTCGAAACGTGCGGTTCACATAAATGAGTTGGCGTAAAGCTGGTTGAGGGTGGAGCCTGCTGTTGGCATGGGGAACAGCATGCAAAAAGAGAGAGGAGAGCTGAATGGTTTTGCAAAGGGAACATATGTAGCCTATATTCTTGCATGAAAAAGTCTGTCAGTGATCGCTCAATGTCATGACACCTTCAACATAGGTCCCTTGAAAAGGTGTGCCGTGTCAAACAAACTCCTGTCATAATCATTGGTTGCCTAAAGCTTCTGCGAAAGGCTCCAATAGCACAAATGCCCCCTAAGCCGCCTGGCACAGGCCGGGGGGGGGGGGTGGACGAGCCCGACGGGTGGCTCCAGCGATGTGAGACCAGCGTTGCCCAGGAGCATCTCACGCTGCTTCTGAAGGTCCTCCGCCAGTTTCCTTGGATGGCCCTGATTCCTGGGGATTGGCCGATTCACGTCTCCAATCAATGGGTGCGAGATGAGGGAGCCCTGAAAAAAATGGAAATCATCTATCCCTTGTTGATTTGCTTCTGTCGAGTCAGTATGTGAAGCCTTTGTGGTTGTGCACGAGCTTCACTTTCAAAGCGCACGGGGACAACAAGGCAGCTGCCAAGGCCCCCGAATGTTGCTCACACAATTTCATCTCAGCAGGCATGCTAATGCTAGCCTTTGTTAAAGCGTATCTGGCATCCAAAGGGATGCAACGATGCACCAGGGGCGTGACACATACCATGGAGCCAAGCATCAGTTGCTCCTGGAGGTTGCGGCCATACTTCCTGAAGCTGACACCGACTTTTCTTGTGAACGCAGTTGCGTGTTCTTGCATTGATGTTGTCAGGCACCCGGGCCAAAGGTTTGTGTACAGGTCGAACATCATCATAGATGCCAAGCTGAACCCAAGCAATCCCTTGGAGGGTCTAACTGTGATTGCTCTTGGGATTCCAATCGAAGCATCAACTCCGGGGCCTTCACCCTATGGGGGTCAAAGCCCTTTCTCGACTCACGCTTCACAGAGAGGACCATGCCTGGCAGACGAAATAGGTTAAGCTAGACAACATTTGAGGGCAAGCAGCCTGCAACTAATATATAAGTGGATTCAAGCATTCATAATTTATTATGTAAAGAGCCAACACAAACACGCGTTCGATGCATGCCATTTTCAAACACACACCAAACAACAAATGATAAATCGGAGGATTCCCGCTGCATGTTTATAACCAACAAAGCAACATCCACTCGTGAGCAAATATAGTCCATCCAAGCAAGTCATCTGGGTTTCCTCAGAGTTCTGGTTGGCCACCTGAAACGGCCATCCCCCCAAAACAATCACTCTTGCGTAATTCAACCAACTCCTCCATCCCCTCTTGCTTTTCCGTGTTGATTTTCTTCTAACCAAATCGGGAATGATAACCAAACAAACCAAAAAATACGGGCCACTGACAGACTGCGCCTCCAGCTTCCTAGCTTCACATGGGGCCCAACCCCGCCTCTGCATCGCCTCCAGCGCCTCCAGCTCCTGCTGCTGGCCTTGGCCTGGCGCGCGCATGCGTTTCAGGCATGGAGGCCGGGAGCAAAACCCACCGAGCAGCTAACCCACCAACCAACCCACCAACCCAGACCTCCGGGTCAGCCTCCAGGGCTAGGCAACCAACCTGGTGTGTGTGGGGGGGGGGGAGCCCCTGCCTTGGCACCTTTGCACTTTCTACAAGGTTTCCGGGCCACTTTCTGTGACACCAATGGGCTCGCATGTCACCCTGTCACTCTGTGTTATCATCTTGAGGAGGATAGAATTGGTATCACTGAAAGAGGCCCAGAATCCATGTGGGAAGGTGTTTTTGCTTTATTCAAAGGAGAGGTGGCTGGCGATGGTTCAAAGATGTTGCTGTTGGTTGAAACGGTAGGTTTGCTGTTGGTTTAAGAGGGCAAAGCCTCACTTCTTGAGTGGAAGGACCGAAAAGCAGCCGAACTTTTGGTTTGTCACCGAAACGACTTCCCAAACAGTGACAAAACAAAGTCCAAGAACTCAGGAAGAAAGGACATCAACCGTTCTGAGCGCCTGCATCTGTGCTCACCAGCTTCCGCAGCCGCGCGCATTCCGCCTCCAGCTCTTTCATCAGGGTCTCCTGTGCAAAAGATACATGCGACGCATGCCAAGCCTCCAGGTCAAAGTGAGAAGTGTTTCAACCTCCCTCAACATGTCAAGGCATGTCATTGAGCCGTTGCAAGCCTGTTATTTTTCTTCTTTGGCACAGCCGTGCCATGAAGCACACGCCGGCGCCTCTACATGCCAACGCGTCCATTTGCGAAGCAAAGCGGGTGCTGGCAACAGGGCTGGCCGCCGTCTTCGGGCCTCCAAGTTCTCGTTCTTCTTCGCGTTGGTCTTCACCGCCTTCAAGGCTCTGGACCCAGGCAAGCGCAAACACATCAGCCAGGAGCCTAAACCCGTGCAGCCCCAAGCGGCCCAAGCGTCTTCACCCGCCAGGCGGGGGCTAAGTGACTGATTTGAAGAACGCCGTCGCATACTAGCTTTTGAGAATTCACCAATGCCATCTGATCTTATCGTTTCAGAGCCTAGCTTTCTGTCTGCTATCAAAGGATATTGGAAAAAAGACAAACAGAAACAAACAACTCCGAAGGCATCCTTGTTTCGGGCACGCTGCCCGCCTTCGCGTTCTGAGCGAACCTGGGCTGTCTTCGTTGGCCAAGGAAGCTATAGCTGGCAAAAGCCTAAACAGATTGCTGAATCAAAACCCGCGGGTTCTAACCTGACATGAAAATTATGTTCAACTAGCGGCATGTCTTGGGTCACACGTTCAAAGGCTTAGTGGCTTGTTTGGGAAGCTCTTGGGTTTGCAGCCACTGGTCGGCTCCATGGCCAGTCGTCTCGTGAGCGTGCCCTCTGCCAGCCAACTTGCCAATAAAGTGGCTGGATGCCTTTTTATTTGCATATGTGGACATATCTTTAAAAAAATAACGAGTGTTCCCTAAGCCAGGATCCCGAAGAGGGGTCATGAGTGAACTGATTTGCACCCGGGGGCTCTCTGATCAAGATGTGCCCGAACTCTTGGTTAACACATTATATCTTTCAGATCCATCCCGCATTCCCTGATGGAAAGGAAAATCGGAAGCAGGACTAAAAAAGGAGCCAACAAGCCCTCTTCTCCGGTTGCATGGAGCGGACTTCGCTCAGGGGTGCATGTCAAAAACGCCGAAGCCTGAAGGCCCGGGCTGTAAGGTGCTCATGGTCTCGTCAAAGTTGAAGCCGGCAGGGGACAGCGCCGCGATCAAGACCTCAGAGCTGGGTGAGTTGGGTTGAACTGGTTGGTTTGAGTTGGGTTGGTTGGCTGGTCGGTTTAGTGTTTGCCTGGCAAGCTCGTACCCTAAACCCCTAAACCCCTAAACCTTGGCAAACCCTCTGTGCTCCAATGTTCCCAGCCAGTGGTTCAGATTCGCTACAACCACCAGCTGCTTGGCCACGAGGCTGGTAGTCGACAAGTGCACAGCTCAGGCCGCAGCTGTCTTGGAGTTGCCCCGAAGGCAATCTTCCAACCTCGGATCATGAGGAATCCTCCACGGTGAAAACTCCACGGGTGATGGTCACGGCTCCATTCACGAATGAGGATCTTGGGAAGATAATCTTAGACCCCATCGTAATGCTGAGAAGCAAAAGGCGATGCCAATAGAACTCAAGCCAGGAGATGTTCACTTGTGCAGAAGCAGCCACATCACAACTTTGGTGCAACAGCATTCCCGCATGCACGGCTAAATCATAGGAACGCACCAAACGCAGGCTGCCAAAGCAAAACAAGACATAATCACCGCTCGCCGCCGCTGCCATCAATCACGTCTGATTAACAGACTTGGTGAGTCTGGTGGAGCTAAGGTGGAAACTATGTCGTGTGAATGCCTTCCTCAACTCTTCCTCATGGCTGGAGAACCTTGCGAAACCTGCTATGCACCCCTTTACAACGGCATTTTACATTGTGAACCTTTAGGGTAGTAAAACGCAATCATGCTGAGAAACATGTTTGCTTCAACTATTACTTCTTGCCAGTACCTGCACAAATCGCTTTCTTGGATGGTTTGGCTTTCCGAGCGTTACACCTTCACTGGACACGTGCCTCACCTGTGCAACTCTCCGATGCATGCCTGGCTTAGTGGGTTGATGGTTGCATGAACCCGTGGTCATGAATTCCATTTGCCGGACCTCCTTGCCCAAGCAGATTCCGCCCCTCCCTTCACATTCTGGGACCTTCCTCCGGCAGCCGAGCATCAGAAAGGTCAGCTTGGACTGCCTGTGGCGTACAACAGCATGAACCCAGGGCTTCCGTGAGTGGGTGTCACATGGTTGAAGTCCAAACTGAGCCGGGGAGGCCGGATTTGGATAAGTTAGGTTTTGGTCAACAAAAATGTTTGGGTTCACTACCCGTTCCGTCGAGGCGAACGGTTGAAGGCATCTCGCCAACTTGCGGTTCATGACTATAGAATGGACAGGGTCCAAGTGTGGGCGCGGGTCTGTAGGTCCCTCTCTCTCTCTCTCTCCTCTCTCTCTCTCGCCCATCCCGGTCCTGAAGGGGATGAAGTCAGGGTTCCGCTTCTGCTCCTGCAGGAGTCTGCTCTGAGCCCATCTGCGCTTTGAAGGCGCCAGGTATTGGCCCCTTGCCGCCACACTGGCCGCGGAAACCGGTTTGAATTAAGATGGAGAGCCATAAATTTATGTTTAAAGGTGGCGAGCCACCACCAATGACAATAGCTAGACGATTCGCGTCACGCTGGTCACTCCCCAAATTGTACGTTCGGGCCGAGTGTTGATGAGTTATCGCCGGGTCAGCCGAGAGAAAGGTGTGATCGCTCCAAGCAGAATCCTCTCAGTGGAATACAAGTTGCCCATCACATCCCAGAATGTCATTTGCTGAAACGGCCTTGCACCTCCCAAACCCAAACTGCAGCAAACGCTCTGACATTCCTCCACCTATAAATTCACAAAAGCACCCCAGACAGGCAGCCGCCACCAGCAAACCACACAAATCGATTCACCATTTGCCCTGCGGCCTTGGCCTTCATCGGCTCGGCCAATCGGCCTGGGTCAGCCGCTTTGCGCGTGCGTCAACGGTGTGACATGCTTTTGTTTGCCTGCTTGCCAGCCTGCCTGCCAGCCTGCCTGCCAGCCTGCTTGCCTGATTGCTTGTTTGACGCAGGGACATGATTCATCAGCTTACACGTGCATGATGTCAATATGGCGGTCCGTAAGAATTATGATTTGCCGCGCGGTGCTTGTTATCACTACAGTTCATGCAGCATTCATATTTGATACCTCTCTACTTAAGCATTGTGCGCCAGGGGCACCAAAAGCCGGCCAACATGTGGGTACCTCCCAAACAATTTGTGTGTGTGGTTGCTTAAGGGGCACAGGGGCAAAGTGTCGCCGGATTTGAGAAACACTCATTGTACCTCGAGGTGTTGCTGCTTTTCTGCTGGCGTCAACATCGCGCCGCTTTGCCGATGGTTGCTCCCTGCCATGACCAACATGATGAGACATTCCATACAGACCGCTTGTTTGCCCTGGTCAATGGCCAACGATCAACGAGTCAACGTGATGAACACCTGGAGCTCAAAACAAGACTCACCAGTTTGGCGGGGAGCTGTGTCACGGGTGCATCGAACAAACTAGCAGGGTGGCAATGTGTGCATGAATCGCGACAATGCAGATCCTTGGGCACTCCTAGTGGTGAGCCCCCGGCCTGCACCAAAGATCACAAAAGATAATTGCTCACCCTGACGTCTTACATGGCAAGGGGCTAATGACCAACGACAGGTTGTGCAAGCTCTGGTTGATCATGGCCTAAGCGCTCGCCAAGGCAAGATCTCCCGAAGCATGACATATCCAAATCAAATTACCTTGAGCTGGTCACTTGGATTGAAGGTATTTGGCCTGGTGGTACCTTTTTTAGGTGTGCCCAATGCTCGCACATGCAGCCTGCAAAGCACTTGTCAAACATCCTCCGCAGGAAGGGTTGAAAGCTTGGCGAGCCACACCCAGTTCGACCCTGGCAACAATCAGGGATCCCTTCGTGGGGTTGATGTTTCGGGGGGTTGAATCCACTGAACAGCTGCCGCCTTTCGGCCAACAGCCTCACAGCATTAAGAAGTGGGGCCCCGGGCACCTTCCTTGAGGCGCGAGCCGGTGGCCTGGTGCGGCAAGCGTGTACCCCCTTCATGCACGCATCAAATAGTGTATACTTCCGGCAGCATGTGTGTGGGGCAACTGCCCTGCAAATGCAATGTTGAGCCTCTAGACGATATTGCAATCCCGAAATCAGCTGACAAGATCTTGATTCATAGTTCACCGCAAAGGAAAAATTGCAATTGTTCATAGTGGATGTGCTTGTTCCAACGGAATTTGACAACTGCCCCCCTCAGAAAGCCTGGCTTTCCCCTTTGTGTGGATCGCACCACTGTTGCCTGAAAATTTGGCCAGCAGCTTGAAACACGAACGAGCTACTTGAGCCACGCTGTTCAATTTCAATCTAGCCTTATTCTGGTGTATAACGCTGAAAGTGCATGGCCACTGACCATTGGAGCATTGCACCGTGTTTCTTTGTTCAACACCTGTTTCACACTCAAGGAATCACCGCACCCCCAATTCCCACCCTGGTTCGGTTCTCAGGATTGATCAGCCCCTGCTAGTTCACTTCTTTTTGGGGGACCACCATCTATAAATTCTAGGATTCTAGCGTATTGCAAAAAGAAGATTTGAGGGATCTTTAAGTAATTGGTGAACTCGTTTTAGCCCCCTGCGAGCTCCATGAATAAGTGGCCGCACTCCCCTGAACCGAATGACATCGGACACCACCGAAGGCGGGCCTGGGTCTTCTTCTGCCGCTCAGAGCCAGCGAGGTCCACGACGCTCAGCTGGCAGGGGTGGGAGGACCCCAGCAAATAAAAATTGGAACCCACCCCCAACAACTGAGTGGGTTGGCCAGAAAAAGTCCAAACTGTTTGTTTGCCGCTAAAACAGTCATACCAGAAAGTAGAAAGTCCAGGAACTCAGGAAGCGTCGCAACCAACCCAGGTTTAGAGCAATCGCCGTTTGGGGAACGAGATTGGACATGGACAAACGTGAGTTACACTGGCGAATGGTCGTCCCGATGGCTCACTAAACAGTGGGGACGCAACGGAATCTGCGATTGAACCATGGGTAGCAACGAAACATGGACCCACCGGATCAACTTCTCTCAACTTCTCTGATGGTCACGTCATTAGAGGGAACATGCATAACAGGCATCTTTTTGTGCCAGCGCGCATTGGAAATCTTCGAAAGTAGGCCACGACCAAGGTCCCCTCAAACAGAACCTTTTGCAGTTGCATACATTTTGTCTCATCCCCCAACTGAAGACTCCATCCATCCCTCTTCACCCCCCAAGGCAAACCCGGTGCTCGGACCATCCCCCGCCTTGGATCGGAGCTGGTTGCAGGTGCCGCCGCTCCACTGCTTTTGGATCAGCTCCATGGTGAAGATGCAGTGGGATCGGCTGGAGGTGGCCTCAGGCCGCCATGCCCCACCTAACTGGAAGCCCCGAAGTAGCCAAAAGGTTCCCGCCAGGCCCCCACCAGGGACCTTGTCGCTACTGTACTTTGGGGATTCGGGTTAGGAGGGGCATGGACATGTTTGTTGAAGTCTTCCGGGCTTTTTCTTAAACGTCAAGCCCAGCGTGAACAGGTAGATGAAACCACTCCCTTCATGAGGTTTGCGAAAAGTAGTGACCCCGCCAAACTTCCTACGGCAGGCGAAGTCGGATCTGAATCCTGGGCGGGGAAAGCCGAGGGCACGCGCATTCTGAGGGAGGGCCCGCCTATTTGGCCATGGGTCAAAACCCTGTACCCCCAGTGAACGTCCCAATCCCCACCCCCACTCAAATAGACAAAAATGGGTGGTGCACCTATCCCAACATGGTACCATTGGTTTTGAACCCATGGTTATTTTGCAACAAACCCATGGAGGACATTGATGGCTCCCCACCCTCAGTCCGCACGTCGCTTCCACAGCAACTCCACGGCCAGGCGGCGTTCATCGAGGTGCTGGCCACCGCTCGGGCCTTGACGCCGAAGTCCAGCCAGGCCTTCATGTTGGGCCAGTCCTAGGCTGCGCGGCAGACTTTAAGCAGCGTCTTTGTTCCTACTAGGGGTTTACGCCAAGTAGACCATCTACTACAATTTTGAAATTGTTCTAATGATAGTCCTCCAAAAGGAACTTGCAGATGGGTGAGTTTTGGGTTTGACCTCAGTTGTCAGGAGAGTGTTTGTCGGTGTGTGCGTATGTCAAACCTATTGCCATCTATTGGCACTTCTGGTTCACTCCAAAAGGCATTAACATGAAGCCAAGCGTTTGGAGGCCTCCTCGTGGATTTTACAGAGATCCGGAATCTGATAAGAAGCTTCGGCTAAGCTTTGCGACGAGGAGTTTGCTTTACCCCTCGCCGCTAGTTCAAGATAAGGCCATGACGCACAGCGCGAGGAAAAGCAAAGGGCACTCTGGCAACAAGCTGGTTCGATCAAAGCTTATCGGAAGTGACTGTTGGTGGCTGAGGGTGCTACGATCACCCAAGATTACAAGCATGTTCTATAACTTCCTGGCGGCCGTGTGCCATCCCGTCCAAGATTTAACAACTCCAAGGCTCCATAACTGGAACCTCCTTGAGGCCAAACCTCAGGGCGCATGCTGTCTCTTCCGTCAACGCACCTTGATCGGCCAGCGAAGCTACTTTGACAGCATCTTGTGCCTTACAAGGCTTGAACCATGCTGGTTTATCTGAATTTGTTTGCACTTTTGAACACCTGAGTCAAAAAGCGGCTCGTACCTGTAACATACATGCACCGGTCCAAGAGGTGTGCAGCTCGTCCTACGCAACCGGCAATGTGTCACAGGCCGAGCCGCACGAAGTTGCCATACTTCGGATTGGCTCGGACCTGTGCGGCGCGTTTTGTGCCACAGTTGGGTGGCTCTGGCACGCAAAATGATTATCCTTTTTCAGCTTCTCCCTAGTTGGTGGTTTGGTTTGGTGGTTTGGAAGTTAGGGGGTACCTTCCCCATTTGGCTGCAAAAAAAACTTGGGTTCGAAGTCACATGCCACCAATCCAAACCACCAATTAAGGGGTGATTCTCCTGTTGGCTTTAACGGACACGCTCCATTGTGCCTGCATGAGAGGAATGAGTGAAGCCGCCATGCAACCACAACCTGGAATCTCTAACGCAGAACGTGAGCGACAGCATCCTTTCCAGCAACGGGCCTGAATAACAATACCTCCCCAACATCTCAACAAAACAAAACAAAACAGCACTGGAGGCAACGGCAGCCCTGCTCCAAAGCAACACGCCCATAATGTTGTACTGGCTCTCACTTCCTCAGTGCATGGCCAAAAACAAGTCAGAACTGGTTATTTGCCACTCAAATGGTATAGCAAGGTTGACCCCGGATTAATAAACCTCTGTTGATCCATATGGGTCCCGGTGTCGCTGGTTTTAGTGGGCTTTCATCACTCTTGCAGGGGAACATCCCCATATATATTCCTAAAGAGGGGTTTATTATCCGGTGTCGGCATTATAGGACAGTCTTCGACATTTGGCAGATCAAAACCTGGACCTTCGTCTCTGCGAAAAAAAACTTCGGAGCCTCAAGCTTCCAGCGCGTGTCTTCACTGGTGACCAGCAAATCCCGGATCTGCTCGTTGTAGATCCTGTGGCTGGGAGCCGAATGGTCCCTTAGAGGGGAACCTAAAAAGAATGTGGCTACCCGCATTCAAAACAAGCTGGGGTCAGCGTTCACCGATTTTACTCAGCTCCAGGCTGGGACGCTTATTTTTCTAACACCAGACCTGTGATTTCACCTCTGTTATACCTGCAGTATGGGCCCAAACAGCCGCTTTGACAAAAACAAGCAGACCTGTTCTTTGACCTCCGTTTTGCCTGGGGCATGCTCCCAAACACAAGCTTTGACAGAAAAAACAAAAAGCGGGTTCCCGTCTCCGCCGCCTGTGTTACCCTTTTGGGGTATGGCCCAAGCAACCTGTTTCGACACTTTTCGACCAGCTGCGTCGGCGTTTCGCGGAGCATATCCCCTGGGCCCAAACAACCGCCTTGACCAAACGAGGAAATCACGGGGGCGCCCGTCGCCGTCTGCAGCCGGGCAGCTCCAGGTAGGAGATGGTCACCGTGACCTCGTTGGAGGGCGATTTCAGCTCCGCGATGTTTTCGAAGATCTCCTGGCGTCCGAGGGAATGTGGTGATGAGGGCTCCTGAGTCCTGGCAGCTTGCCTACCAAAAGGGGAAATGGATTGCTATCGAAGAACAGGGGACCCTGCCCGGCACCCAGGTTCAGTTGCAAAAGAGGTGGAAAGGGGCTGCGCATGCTCACCTCTCCTGTTAACCATGTCAGCAGCAAGCGCAAAATTGGGAAATAACAAACAGCGCAGGTTTTGCCTCAGGCAGAAGCAGTCTGAAACTTGCCTCGCTAGCAGGGCGTTTTGAAGTTGGCACCGTTGGTGGGTGTCGCAGGCCAATATTAGTTGAGTTGCAGCTTGACCTAACCATTAGCTGACCGAGACATATGGGCTCGACATGCATCAACTGGTAGGAGCGGTCACGAGAGGGCACATCCCTCCTTTTATATATGTTTATATGTATATATATATATGTGCATGTGTTCCGTACGTTTGTGCATGCATGATCACACATGCTGTACACTTAACAAAGTACGCCATACGCATGCATGTCAAATGTATGCATGCATCGGAGAAACCAACCCGAAAAGCACATGTTTCAATTTCAGCTGAGGTCGCAAGGCTTCTGGACGGCTCTCAGCGTCATGAGACCCATGCGCCTGCACGATGCGAGGCAGCAAGCCTCTCTGCTCCGGTGAGGAGTCGTTTCCCAGCACTGTGTAGGTCTTGCCACTGCCTGACCGATATGACATGGCAAAGATGATCAACAGAATGCACGGAAGGGCCAAAGCCTTGGTTGGGCTGGGGCGGGCAACAATTGAGGCTGCAATTCAACCAAATCATCTGGTCAGGGCAAAATTGCAAAGAAAAGTTGCCACATCTTGAAACAAGCACGGGGAGGAAGATCACCCAGCCAGTCTGGCCATACGGCCACCACTGGTTTCCCTTCTTGCTTTTCAGGGGGCTCTGTGAAAATATACGCAAGTGCCATGGCTGAACTGCCCTTCCCGCCTGTCTGGCCGTAGGCAAAAAGGCAGCTGTGGTACCCACCAATCCTCACTCGCACGCGCGCTGCGTATGAAGAAACACCCCTCTGCGACGCGTTCAATTTGCATTGCATCCCTGGAATTCGGCGAGCATGTTGCTCCATGTGTCTGCCCTTGGTGAGCGTGCCCCCTGCGATCACTTTAATTGCAGCAAATGACAGTAAGTACCAATCGTGGACGATGTTAAGCTTCGAGCGGGAAAAAAAACAGAAACAATAGGACAGGAACCTAACCATGTGTTGCCCCCTGCGCCATTTTAGGAGATACCCAACTACCCATTTGGGTAGAAAATCGGGAACCACTAGACTTTGGGTTTCCCTTCAAAAAATCACCCCCCAAAACAAGTTCTGGAATCACCCGAATTATCTTGGTTGCTGTTGACCCTTAGTAGAAAACACTTTCATTTCCCAACCCCAATAGCAGTCAAGTCATTTGGCCTCCCATCATAAGAATAAACACCAACATTTCGCCCTGGGGAAAATCCGTGACAACTCGCAAGTGCCGGGGTCCCGGCACATTGTCCCGCAGCTCCCCACCCAAATCCTCCATGAGCCTCTCCTGGCGACATGGTCAAAATACGGGGGACCCCCCAACAGCAAAACCCCCCAAGAATGAGAAATGTTGGATTGGGGCTTTACTGAAGCAAGCCCAACCTGAAAACAGTACTAGTGCCTTCAAAAACACATGCCAAGCTAAAACTTGGAACCCCAAAACAGGGGAACCCCCAAGGAGATGCCTCTAACACAACTTTTGTTCTGATTATCCACGTTCATTTGCAGGGTCGACATGTCAATTTCAGGTTAATCCGGAGGCCCGTGCTTTGTCCGGGATGGTCCCGTTTTAGTGGGCAATCAACTCATCTCAGGGGAAATTGACTTCAAACATGACAATTAATCAGGACTGGGAAGCCAAACGTCGGCCAAGTATCGGCCAACTGTGTTGCCCAGTGGTACCATCATCGCTTTAACACACCTGACTCATGCCGCCGTCTTGATTCTCTCGTTGAATAAACTCCATCCCAGCCTGCGAGACATAGTGGCTGTCAGTCGGCTTGACCGACCTTTGCAAGGACACCCTCAGGGCAACACTGGCAACAGTTCCCCGACACAATTGAGGTCCCATTGGCAGAACTGGAGTGGCAGAAGGGCTTGCGAACATGTCGGGGACTTTTGACGGTCAAACAACAATCCATCGGCAAATCCGGAAGGTTCTCTAGATCTATGTTGCTAGTTCAAATGCCGGGTTCTCTCACTCTCTGCCGTTGCGTCCAGAGCATCTTGACTCAGCAAGGCAACGGAAAAGGTGCCCACTGATATTCAAGGGGGTGGGACCGGAGAATTTGGTGCAGAAACATCTTTGTGAGAAAGACGTCGCATGCAGCCCACCACTGCTTTTGAACACGGCAAGCCCATGTAAAAACCGATCTTGGTGGACCCTGGAGGAAGCCTATCGGGTGAGTCTAGCCCTGTTGGGCGTACGGGGAGTGGCTTGCCACGCCCCAAGCACAACCAAGAACGCCTTTCACCTGCCGTGTCCAGAAACAAACATGAACGTTCATAAACACAAAGTTAGCTCAGCGGCATGTCAGTCCATCGATGGAAAGCTGCGCAGGCGGAATGAGTATGAGAAGCAAATCGCAGCCAGTGCCCGTTCGAGAACTTGCTTCTCAAAGACATATAGTGTGCGATAGCCAAAGTCGCGCTGTCGGATCCGTTGCGGATAAAAGTGATTTGGTCTGCGAAGACCGTGCTTCAGACTGCCGGCGTGAGTTTCACAGTGCAGTGCTGAATGATGCGCTTGGGCGGTTGGATTTTGACAAACGTGGATGCAGTGCTGAGCGGACGCGCTTGGGTGGGTGTGCTTACCATGTGGCTGGATACAGTGCTTAGTGGACGCACTCGAGCAGGTGTGCCTGAGCGAGCGTGCTGATTATCCGGCAGGCGTTGGACACAGTAAAGATTTGCCGCCAGGAAGAAGTGGGACATGAAATCATGTTAAAAATTGCGGCAAGGCCCCCCTGTTGCCCACATGTTGTTGAATCAAACCCTAAGAATCGTGTTTCTGCGCATGCCAAGCGGCCAATAGACCCTGTCAAAGTTGTAGGTCTTGGCATGGCTCCGGTTGTGCATTAACATCACCTCGGCAACGCTGACCGTGATACCTGTTCCGCTTGCTGTTCCTAAACGCCGCCCAAATCATGCTCAGGGTGGCTTTTACGCCTTGTGAGAAGCTGGTACGTTGTATGCTCGGAGTGGGAAACACTCATTATCTTCACTTGCAGGTCAGAGATCCATGCAGCGGGCTGCCAAGTTCCCCACACGCTTCCTTTCCTCCCGTGAGATCTCCGCAAAACAACAAAATCATGGCCGTATGGGGCGGGGGGAGAGATCACAAGCTGAACAGAACTGCCCTCCCCCACATTTAGCACTGAGCTTGTGTAAATCCCAGTGCTCACAGTTTTTCCAAATTGGCTTGTCTCGCCCATTTAATCCACTCGTACTTGACTGCGGTTTCAAATGTTACGAAGCGTCTGCCCTTTGCGCCATGTAGTTCAAGTTTCTAGATGAGATGGAAACACTAAGGCCCAACCTTTTCAGGAACTGACATGACGCAATCCGCCGACCAACACCTACCTCACAAATGCATAAAGTTGCCAAACAGGTTGCCTGGCAACAGCCAAGATTCAACTTGTGGGCTGACCCCTTCCTCACTGGAATCAGCATCGATAGGTCCATGCAGGGGTTGAACACCAATCCATCAGACCACCTGGCAGCTACTGGGTCCACTACAGTGAGGTCCTCAGAATGACCGAGGCTTACAGAATACCCACCCCAAAAAGTACGTCCTCGCTTTAAGGGACCCAGTCCGCCCAAGAATCCAGCTCCAGCTTCAGACCCCCCCAAACACAAACAAAAAAATAGGGAAAACAACACCAACAACAAGTAAACAAACAAATGCACACAAACAAACTGAACATATAAACTGTTTGAGGGAATCAAAGCAACCCAAGCCGTTGGTTTTCCATTGCTTCTGGTGGGCGGCATGTCGTCCAAGGCGCCGTGTTGGGGATCTTGTCCGGCGAATCTGCCGGCGGCACCCGCACACACCTCAGCAAAGCTTCGTTTTTGGGGACTGGCTTGGGAGGAAACAGGCCCCCAGAAGTTTCAAACTGTGAAAGGGCAGCATGAAGCAAACATTTGCAACAAATGAACTTGGTCCGGGCGCAACCCCATGTGTTCAACAACAGAACGCCACGCTCAAATCAAAAACCCAAACAGTGCGATACTTGAAGGCATTGAGACTTCAATGCCGGAAACGTCTGCGCCAAGCTGCACGATCTCATTGTCCTCAGTCCTCAAGCCAGGCCCGACCCCCTTCCCCCCCCGCCCCCCGGTGGGAGCCTTGGCAGCGGCCCAAGCAACTCCCACAGTTTTGGCCCGATGCTTCGGCTGAGGTCTCTTGCACATCCGTTGGGGACTGGCCAAGTGAACCTGGATCGTAACATGGTAATTTCACTGAGGGGCCTGGGTGTCCTCGGGTTGCCTTTGAGGCCAAAAGGCAATGTGGGTGGTTTCCCTCTGGTTTCCTTCAAAGCAGCTCTTTTGCCCTCACTTTCCGTTTCAAGAACCCCCCCCCCAAAAAAAAAACATATGTCGGTTTTGTGTGGCTTCCCTTCAGAGCAAGCCCCAAAGCGGCGTGGGTGGTGTCCCTTTGGTTTCCCTTTCAAGCAATCCACGAAACGGCACCCAGTGCAGCTATCAACGCACCAAGTCCCTCCAGCTTGGTTTCAGTCGGGTTGCTCGGCAGCACCTCAGCGCGGCGATTGACTTTTGGAGCAGTGGGCTCCTTCAAACTAAGTAAAACAAACACAGCGCATGGGCGCATGGGCAGGTCTATTGAGCAAGAAGTTGCCAGCTCGTGTTGCCGGGCGAGAGTGCAACCACAATCCTGCACACTATCCCCTCCACGAGGAATCAAAACTATGACTTTGCCTGCGTGTCCCAACATGTCCACTTGCGGTAGTCTGAAAAAGAAGCCGTCCAGCAGCACCAAAAAGCAAGTCATGCATTCAAATTCCCGTTCCTTTCTGGACCTACGGGCTCAGGACCCTTCCGTCCTGTCTCCACTACCCCAAAGGAAAATCACAACTCGACCACTGTATTCAGATTAAGCCATAGTTATTGTTCAAGGTGCCGTTGTTGAGCTGGTTTTTAAATGGCAGCCATGGAAATCACTCATTTCAGCATGCGTCCTGTTTTGAAACAAACCCATAATTACTGATTCTCTCAGCTTGGGGTGGCGAAAATCCCCCGGGGCCTCTCTCAAGTGTGCGCCGAAGCGCTCAGCGGCCGCACTCGCACGCAGACCTTGATGGGGTCCCCCATGAAGAAGGGCCGGCCGCGAGATCCCTCGGAGCTTCTTTTCTTTCTCACATGGCGGTGTTCTGCGTTGGTCTTCGGAAACGGCATGCCGGACATTTGGGCCAGGTCAAAACTGTGCTTGGGGTCCTGGGTTAGAGTGCGTTCTCGTTCGCACTGTCCTCGTTTGACATATATATATTTATGAGCATTATTGGATTGGTTGTCTAGGCATTTGTTGTACAGGACTGATGACCATACCTAAACGGACGAAGCGACAGGCGCGACATTCTGGAAAGCCCTGGTTCAGCAGTGCTTCTCCTTTAGGGCAAGCATGCCATTCCCAGGTTGTCCAAGTAATGATGTCCCTTCCCAAAAAGAACACCTGCAACCGGACAGACCCAAAAAAGCGGATGGTTCATCCGTCCTTCCAAGCAAAACACACCTGCGAATTGCTTTGTCACAACTCCATATCTCATCATGGTTAGCTCGTTTTGCCTCCATACCCAACAAAAAAGAGAGGCAGAACCAATATCGTCCGAGCGCCAGCTTCCCAACCCCCCAGCCCTTGAGTCCAAGGCATCGCCAGAAGCGAATGGCGACAGAAACCCCTGCGGCTGACTCCCGGAAGCGTTCGCTCAGACTTGGACAACAACCCCACCCCGCAAACATAGAACCTGACTGAAGGTCCCCTTTGGGATGAAACAATAGTTGTCTCGAAAGCGCGAAAGGGCAACATGTTCAGATTGTGCAACAACTTCACGGAACAGGATTGCTTCGTTTGGGGCCCCTATCTAGGGGCGAATCTGTTCAGCACTTCTTGCACGTGCAGGACATCCATGTGATTAATCTTTCCGAGTTCATTTTCTCTCTACAACCAAGTACCAAACATTGGAATGATATCACATTTGGATTGACCCACACAAGCCCGGGCTTGACACCCCAATAACCTGGCAGGCTGAGCGCGGGGGCGACCAAGGCCATCTTTCGCTGCGGACTGGGCGGCTTAGAGCTGCACGCAGCCAACAAGTACTGAAACAATGTTGGTCTAGGCTGGGGAGCTGTAGTCTTGCGCTGGTCTTACCTCGCGGTCTGGATCATCCCCTGCTGGCCTGTCAAGCATGGAAGCTTTGAAAGCCTTGCTGCAATGAGGAAACTCGCATGTCTTGAGAAAGCTTGTGCGTGTGTCTCTGAAGGATGGATGACTTGTGAGCCATATCCTTACCCGGAACTCAAACAATCATTGAGCAGGTTCCTGGCCGTGAACTTGCAGTACTATTATACAATAAGCTGTCATCACGGGACAAGTGCCCCTTATTAACAATGGCAAACAAAAACACAACACCCGAGCTATGGCACATCTTCAAGTCTGTTTTGGTGGGTGCGCCACCAATGGCCAACGCTTGAACCCCAAACCCCTTCGACGCCTGCGAGCGCGAAGGCAGAGCACTGCGCTCCCCGTCCTGCAAAAAAACGAAGAAGACCGAAGTCCCGGGCGCAAGCAATCGAATGGGATCGAAGTCCCGGTTGATTAATCGGGGGTTCCCTTTCAGTTGGAATCCTTCACTTTTGTGGGGTGGCACCGCCCTATTCATAGGAGGGGGTTCTTCATCCGCGGTCAACATTACGGCACCTCCAGCTGCATGATCAACCAAAGGCCTAAGCAGGCTAGCTTTGCAACCATTGATGAGCTCCTTTCGCCCTAATTGAAAGAGACCAGCACGGCTCGTGGGCTTGGCAAAGCCGCCTAAACACTGCAATCAAACAAATCACAGCCCACAAGCGATGAGCAGCCACCAGGGATTGCGATACTCGAACAACTTTTAAACACAACATGATGAACCAAGTTCTTGCGACACATGATGCTCAAAGCAGCGGTGCCTTTAGATGAGGGAGGGGCTTCCCAGGACAACAAGACATAAACCTCGCGGAAACCAGGATTCGAAGGGGCCACTGGCTGTGACACCTAGCAAAAGCAAGGCAACCGGCCAAAGCGTCACTATATTTCCAAAGCCTGAAGTAAGGAATCCTCAAATAGTGCATCTTGGTTTCGAGGACCTCTTCAAATAGTGGTTTTCCTTTTTTTGCATCCAAATGATGGTTTCCTTCTTGGACCCCATTAAAACCACCAATGGGTACCCTCAACAAAGACACCCCCCTTGGGAGCCACCTGCCGGCCCGTCCAGCCGGAGCCGGGCCTCATCACCGGCTTCGCTGAGCACCAGGGAGTTGGTGCTCATCAACCCCCTGCTCATCCCGAACCCATCGCCAGCTCCCACACGTGCAGAGCAGAAGCGGAGGCTGTTGGGGGGGGGGGTGCAACTTGGATTGGTTTCCACCAGATTTTGGTACATGTCAAAACCAGGGACACGTCCACGTGGCTAGTATCCTTCTGCGATTGCGCCACAAATGGCTCCTAGTTGTTTTTAATAGAAAGAGCCACTTGGTGTTGCAGGATTGGAAGCTTCACAATCAAACGGTTTGGTATCATGTCGTTTGCACAGTGCCTCAGTGGGGCGATTCCTCTCTGTCTCCATGACTCATGAATTTGTGGGCTCTTCGCTCTTGGCTCTGCAAAGCCACGCCGTTATGAAAAGCTTCGTGTAGCTACATGCTCGAGCAAAGGCCTAATGCGTCGGAAAGAGATGGAGGCGCAAACTTGCGGTCAATTCCTGGCGGCCGGGCAGAAGAAGATGTAAACATGTTCAACGTGAGCAACAAGTCAGTGACGAAAAGGGTGTCTAGAAACATGCAGCATATCCATCCACTTGTGGCTTCGGTCGACAATCGGTAAGGCCCAACTAGTATATGCCTGGCCATGAAACCTTGCACGCTACTGGCCCGCAACTAAGCAATTGACAAACTCACATATTTTCGCAAAACGGGTCATGACGTGTCCACTTGCCGCCCTTCTGCACAGCCAGAAGTCCCTGTTTTCCTGCTTCGCCGGGCGCAGACGACTGGACACCGAGAACGGCGCCTCTTATGGTCTGGTGGACTGGTCAGGGTCCGCACCCTGCCAGTCGCGCAAGTTGGCCCCCGCGTTTCTGAGGTTTGGTTTTTTAAAGAGAGCAAAGCTACAAGTTGCATCACAATGGGTGCTATGATTTGTAGGTGTGAAGAGCGAATTTCAAAAACTCAAATGAGTGTATCATGATTGCCTATATTCTTTCTGAGTTGGTGTTCAATAGACGTCTACCCTGTTTTTGCCTGTTCCCTACCATTTAGTTACATGGGTGGTGTCTCCCCAACCCAAAAAGCAGCCCCAGCCCGTTAAGGCGTCGCAAAATCTCGGCCTTCTGTACACGAGCAAGGCCGGACCCCGCCAGTTACCGGCCTGGAAGCGCCGCCGCTCCTTGGCCCACCCAGCGCTCTCAATCGACTGACCTCTGGCCCTACCTGGTGTAGGTCATTTAGCATGGGATCAAGAATGCTTACAAAGGCTAAGGACAAGACTCCCTGGTGTAACTGTAGACTAATGTAGGTAGGCACAAAGAAGTCTGCGGCGTCGCCCAAATGCAATCCTTTGGGGGGGGGAGCGTAAACATGCCCACAACGCTGAGGGCAATGGCAATAGGTTTTGGGAAGTAAGCGTCAAAAGCGTTCGAGCTTTCTTGACAATGTTCTGGGCGAAGGAGTCAGCAAACCAGGCCTCCGGCAGTCACAACTCATCCAGTCGCGTTGGTTGGCTTTCAAACCCTGGGCAGAAACAGTGGCACTTGAGCACTTGAAACAGGAAGTTGTGTTGATCGTCTCTCCATACTGTTCTCTAAAACTAGCCCAAACGAGCAAACTGAGAAGCAAACGCGCCCATGTGTGGAGCATGCCATTTGCATGGGGGAACATGTCCACTACTGTCTCTGAGGAAATTGCAAGTTTCAGCAGAGCAGGGCAAATGGTAAGTTGTGTCATCTACTTTCACCCAACCTTGCTGGGTCTGGGAAAATGCGAAATGGCACACACCCATGCCAAATTTGGACTTCCCTTTGATTAAACAACTCAAAAGTTTTTCAAAAACCCAGCCGCTTTCCCTCATTTTCTGTAGGTTCTCCAGAAAGAAGGATTCCAAGGTTCTTATTGGTTGATTCCTTTTCCATTCTTTTCAACCATCGTTCTTTCCAAACACCGGATCCGCTCTCCCTGGGTTTTCGCAGGTTTTCTAGAAAGGATCCCTGGAAAGAATGGACATGGAAGCTACCCCTAGACAACCCGCTGGCCACCTGGCGCCCAGCTGAAACCTCGAAGCTGCGGGCGAGGCGCAGCGGCGCTCCGCCTTCTGAGCCAAAGCCGCCAGCTTGCCCACGGCCGGCTTCCACTGGGGCTCCTGGACCCGGAAGATTTCTCAAGAGACCAAGCGAGTGGAGTGGCCCTTCTAGGTGTTTAGTCGAGTGGCCCTAGGTTTTGGAGTAGAGAGGTTAGAATAAGTTGGTGCCCGATTTCTTTTTTCTGGAGTCTATTTTAGTAGGGGAACCCTCCCAACCAAGAAAGGGGTGAGAAAGGGCACTACTGGGGGACCTGGCAGACCAAACAAGTGGAGTCAGGGTTCCGCTTTTTGACTACTTCAAGGTCGACTTAAACCCAGGCGTTTCCCTTTTGGGGAACGCAACCACCCCTGGTTTTAAGTCGATACCAAACACTCAGATGCCCAAAGGACCTGGAAACAAAAGGTGAAGCTTTTGGGGTCATGACTTAAAATGGACCAACACGGGAAACCAAAAGGTCAAAAGGTCGGCTTTGGGCAACTAAGAAGAAGTGGAGTGGCCCTTACGACCCGCCAGGAAACTTACCCCATTTCCAAAGAACTTGGCCCAGCCCCCATGGCACAAAACTTAGCCCGCAACACCAAGATCTTAGCCCATTTACAAAATTGCCTGGCACACCACATCAAAAATGCGTGTTTATGTTACGACTGCCTTGTCCGGCTAGCTCGTGCCTATGCGTTTTCACATTAGCTTCTACTTGTCTGAGCTAGGTTGCGAGCTCAAAAACTGTGTTCTAGCCAGCCAATTTAACGAGGTCTAAACAAGGTCTTAACGAGGTCTAAACGAGGTGCGAACGCAGTCCACGAACTGGCCCTGGCCAACATGGCCTGTTCGGACACAATCCTTCATTGGGGCGTGGGGTGCGTGCCTTGGCGTGTGTGCATCAGTGTGTGTGTGAGAGAAAAGCACAACACAAGGAACCCGACTCCCATGTGTTAGTTGACTGAACCATTTCATTATCTTGGCCAGAGGCAGTGTGCCATTGCGTTTTGTGACGGGAGTGGGCCTCAACATTCAGCAGCGCCCCTTTGCCAAACACTCCTCAAAGTATCCGGTCCCCCATGGCACACCAGACACTTGGCTTTGTGTACGGTGGGGGGTAGCACTTGCGTCGCCAGCAACATCTAAGCCCGTAGCTTCTATCACCTCGAACCCTACTGGCACACAGCTGAACAACCATGTGTTAGTTGACTGCACCTCATAATCTTGGCCAGAGGCAGTGTGCCATTGAGATTTGTGACGGGAGTGGGCCTCAACACTTCTATCAAATCAAATCCTACTGGCACACAGCTGAACAACAAGGAGCCCAGCTCCCATGTGTCTAGCTGGCTTGACGCTCTCAATCTCTTGGCCAGAGGCAGTGTGCCAGTGCGTTTTGTGACGGGAAGTGCTCTTAACATTCAACAGTGTCCCCTCGCCAAATACTCTCAAAGTATCCGCTCCCCCATGGCACACCACAAATGGCTCAAGTTCTTTGTTCGCGGCTCAAGTTTCCCGAGGACCCAGTACTTGTTCCCAAGCCGCCGTGTTTGCCGTAAACATCCCACAGGCTTCAGAAACACATCGCCGACGACCATAGCTGTGCAATTGGAAACGCCCACTGTCCATCCCGCACCTTCGCCAACACCCCAACCGCAAGCCAACGCCTGCACGGTGAGCTCCAGCTTGTCTCGCAGCTTCTTGGCCGCCTCCGCCACTGTGGAGCTGAAGGCAGGCGACTCCGCCTGGCCACTCCGATTCCAGCCACGCGCGTATACGGGTAGTTTGGTCTGAGCATGCGCATGGAGCCGGGAGATAAGCTGCTCCTCTCTCTTCGCAGTGGAAGAAAGTTCATTTTGAGTCATTTTGATTGAACCCCTCCAGCATTTCAACAGTTCTTCCCTGGATTGCAAAAATATGAGGTTCCCAGGAGCAGAGAAGCTGTCCTCACGGACCTGTCTCGAATGAGGCGCAGGGATCTGCCTCTCTTTGCACGGAGGATTGATGCTGGTTGCGCTGGCCAATTTGAGAACATCCAGCTTAAGGTATGGCCTAACATCTTCACAAAAGAGTTGCTGGATTGTGCGCACTTCAGAAATCATTGCAACTCTCGAACGCTCACCAACCCAAAATAAGCTCTCTATTCCCGCAAGCTGCCTCATGTGTGCGTTTGCTTGCACAGGGGTCCTTACAGTATACACCTGAACATTGCCTTGTAAATGGTGGTGTCCCTTTATTTTGGTGGGAAAAAACCATGTTTCCAGTATCTTTTAAGGAGCCCTGTTGCAAGCAAACGCCTTTCGCCAGGTCGCAGTTTCATGTGTCAGCTTGACTTCAAGGGCGCCTTGGCGATGTCCTTGGTGCGCGGGTCGTCCATGGTCTGATCCACCAGATCGAAGCACTCCAGAAGCTCCTGGAAGTCAAGCGGACAAGTTGCCGCGAGCACCTACCTGAGTCTGGCCGAAACTTTGGGGTGTTGCTTCAGGGAAAATGCGCCCTCTGGTACTTCAGGCATTTATGGATTGCTACTCCGTATCTGTTTGATGTTCGAGCTGAATGGCCGCTGCGAACCCCGAGCCACACAGGTCGCTAAAGCTTGACATGCGAAAGCATGACCACTGACCACTGTTCGTCACAACTAGATAAGAAAACAGGTTGAAAGGGACCCCGGACTAGACATGGCTGGGCTCTTCACGTTCGTTTTGCAATTTCAAACGTATGAGCATATTCCACGCTTGTCCTGCAAATATTCGCTGAACGTCTCAGGGTCGTTCTCGTCCTTGGCGCAGAGTGAGCCATCACCGCATACCATTCCACAAGGAGTTCAGGTCAGCAAGCATCACCAAATGCGCCATGCCGCGAACACACTGGACCAGCAGCTAACACATGCCAATCAAATGAGTGTTCGCACAGGGCCTGCCAAATTGGAGGAAAGCCAGCTGAGCCTCCTGCCCATAGACGCGCCTGGCAGTGGACACGAAGCACACAAGCCCTCTGCAAAAGTCCAGCTGTGCAGTTGCAGGTGGTCGGAACTAGTCTTTGATTGATGCAAACGCTGGGTGATGAAACGCCTATGCGGTGATAGAGGCGGAAAACCAACACAACACCCTGAAAGTAAACATAACCTTTTTTTTGGTGAGGCGCCTTTCATCTACTTGCATTCGGGCTGCCCTTGTCCAGGACCAGGATTTGAGCGGGGGGCAACACAGAGCCCCACCCAGCCACCCACCCACCCGGATTTGTTAACCTCAGACTGCTTGGCAAAGGGGCCCTAACCATGCCCCTGCTTACAGCCGAAGAGGGTTTTCCAACACCTGCAAAGCTCAGCTCAAAATGCTTTTGGCACTACACAAGCGAAAATCGGGCACATGCAACAACATAAAAATGCATATGCATGTACAATATTCATTGTCATGTACTGGTATATAGTGATTCCCTTCCGTGGAGGTTTTCGGGGGACAGCCAAAGCTGTAGCAACCGACAGCGATTCGGCGGTTGGCGCCTGCAAGGCCCGGCCCTGACGGAGGCGGCTCTCAAGGGCTGCCTTGTCGTCGCCGGCGGCCTCCTGGATCAAAGGAGGGCCTGGGGTGTTTGCCGAGGATGGTCCAGCTGTAGTTGGCGTGAAGGGCTTGGTGGCCAACTCCCACAGCCCTGACCCCCCAATTTGGGGATCGATGTGAGGGACCAAGCCACTTTTGGACCCTCGAACGTCCCAGCAGGGTGTTGTTTGCCGAGGAGGGATGGTCCAGCCGTACCTGAAATTCCCAAGGCAAGTTTCGGTCCATTTCCCCCTTTTGGTTGGTCCCGGCTGTGCTTGGGAGAAGTGATATGGAAGGCCTGCCAGCAGAGAAGCGACCAATTCCCACAGTTCTGAACGACCCAAGTTTGGGGATCGCGCGTGAGAGACCAACCCATTCGCTTTCGCTCATGGGGCCAGATTCCCATGCCCCTGGCAGCCCCTGCTTCAGCGCCATGATGTCGGTCCTGCAGGTGGGCGTAAAAGCCTGGAGCAGCGGGCATCCATAACAACAATATATGTATGTATATATATATATATATCCATCTCAACCAATGCAAACATGTCAATCCGGCAAAGCAAAGGTACTCAGTATGTCAGTGTGTTGTTCCTTCATGCTCGAGCCAACAACAAACTCCTCACTCTTGGAACTACACTCTCACAACGTTGCCCTGAGCCAATCTTGATTGCAGCCCTCTCACCCACTTACATGAAGCCTTCACCCCTTGCTTGCTGCCTTTCACTCTAAGGTACGCCCTCGCATGGCGAGGACAATTAGTTTCTCAAGGCTTCTGCCTGCAAAACAGGCCCTAAGTATCCATGGCACGCAGCCCCTCCCCACCCCCCCGCCCCCGCAGCCACTGCTGCCAAGGCGCCCCAGAAGTCCGGCCGCGAAGCAGTGTGGTCCGTGGCGAACTTGTAGAAGTCCAAGAGCTGCCGCATGCAGGTCCTGCCAGGGGCGATGCCTAGACCTCCAGTGGCCCTCGGACAACTGAACACTCTTGTCCTGGTAGCTGACGTTCAAGGGAAACCCCTCAGAAGGGGAAACCCCTCCAGAAAAAAAGCTAAACCTGGGCACCACTGGAGGTTATTAGGAGGTGCCACCCGTTGCACCGGCTGGATGGGCACGGGAAACTGAGCGCAGGCCTCGCTCTCAAGACCACATTCGAGTACCAAATTCCTGCTGCGGTCATGAGTTGTTTAGCCACAATAGATGGAATCTTCCATTGGCAAGTAAAACGAGAACCATCGAGAACCAATCAAATCACAGTGGAATCCATTTATGATCAACCAAAATTAATCTACAAAGGCAACCTACGAGCTGATCACAACCTTCCTTGATGCATGCAACACCCAGATCGACATGCGACCCGCGCCTGCCACTTCGCCCTTCAAAGAGGTCCGGCATGTCAGTGACCACCGCCTTAATGCCAGGGACAAACTCTGTGAGGAGGTGTTGGCATCAGCCGGAACTCGGTCAAGGCGCTCCAAATTCTGCTGTGGCCAGAAAGCAACCCGCGAAATACTAAAAATGGGTGTGGCCATTGAGCAACCCTGGAAACAGAGTTCTGCAGCAAATGTCCTGATTCCAGGCAAGCCGAAAGTTCGTGAAGCTGGCCTGGGTGACCATCCCCAGGATCTGCCGCTTGACTCGGCCCATCTGCTCCAGCTCAACCAGCCGACGCCTTGGATTGGAGGAACCCCTTTAAGCCTTGGGCGTCCCAAACAAAGGCCTCCCGGGTGTGACACACACTGAGGGATGAACCTACTTTTCTCATGCAATGGGTTTCCAAAGGGGGATGATCACATCCAACCTCCAAGATCCCTGCCGAGTCCATGCATTGCATTGCGAAACTAGCGGGCAAACGAAGTGTGCAGGCCAAGCACGGGCATTCACCCTCAAAGACGAGACGTCCTGCCGATTGAAAAGACGGAGCCCGTGACGCGCGCCGCCAGCCCACAATCTCTTTCCACTAAGCGCGGGGTTCACATCGACTCGCTCGCCGTGAATCAGAGTGCACACCGCCGTGCTGTGGCCATTGGCTCTCGGAAGCGGGAACCAGCTGGACTGCATCTGAGGAAAAATGAGCGCCAAAGCGCAACCTGAAACAAACCAAAACGTCTACCTCTCGTGGGCCTAGAACTGAAGACTTCGCTTTCGTAGCAGCGATTGAGGCAAAGTCCAGCAAATGGTTCCCACAAATCCGGCTCTTCATGGATCACTCTCGCGTGAGAATGCATACCTAGCGCGCCCGGCTGGGCACCGGCTCTGCCTGGTCTGATTACCACATTGACCAGGATTTGCCCCAATCGCCCTTGCCGGCCTCGCGCAAAGCACGACTTGATGGGGCGAACGCAGCAAGGCCGCAGCACATGTAAACGAAAAAGCCAGCAAACCTGCAAAGAAAAGAACCGCCTTGCCTGGTTGAATCCGCCACCGCATCCACAGCCGCGGCAGCCGCAGCCGCAGCCGCCGCAACCGCCAGCGCAACTGCCGCCTTTGCAGGGACCATATCCACCCCCACTACAACCACAGCCACCACAGCCGCCACTGCATCCACCGCAGCCGCAGCCGGCACCGCCGGACCATCCACCAGCTTTGCCTCAGTCATGACCCTAAAACCATGCATGCCGCGTTCCCAGATAGCCATTGCTACGTCCCCAACATCATACTACTTAACATGTTGCGTGTTGTTACCTTATTGCAAGCAACAAACACGAAAACACAAACTGCCTGCCCCCTTCTTAAAGGATTGCTTCCCTTCATTGCTTATGCATGCAAACAATATTTCTGCTGGCCAACGGGAAACTCGAAGGTTCCATGCAAGAAAGGGAACAACTCCGCCACATCGAAAACTGCCATGCTCCAAGCTGCCGGTGCCTTTTCCAGCGCTCCAGGAGGAATCCCAAGAGTTCCAGTCCCACGCATTGGCGGGGCCATAGCCACCTTTGGATGGGTACCTTGGTGAGCTCAAGAAGCATGTCATGGTGTTTCTCAAGGCGCCCTGGATGGAAAATCCAACCAAACGGGGTGTCCAACACAGGCCACTTTGGGAACAGAAACTGCTGCCTGGAACTTGGACAGCATAACGCCTCCCGCGGCATATGCCAGCCCATCGAGACCCTACCAAATCGAATCGTGCCCTCACAACCCTAGGTGCCCTTCTGGAAATATCATATCCTGCTGAATGTAAGGAACCAAGCTGAGATCTGTGGAATCCGCCGATATTCAACCAAACTGAGACCAGAAGGGGCCTGCTAGGTTCAACCCGCCTATCAGCCAAGCTGCGGGCCGTAAGAGCTGCCTTTCTTGCCCCCCTTGGAGCTGGCGCTCTTGCCTGGGCGTAGGCGTGGCTCAAAATTGAAGAGCTAAGGCCAAACCGCGGGTGTTAGTCTTTGGTTCCATTCATCAAGGTGCCATTTTGGTACATGTCTTTGAACCACAGCCAAATGATGGGTGATGTCAAGATCTTCGGCCGGCCGTCCGGCTTTGTGTTTGATTTAGCCAAATCCGGACTAAGGCCTGATTGAACTTACGCCTTGCAAGTTGGCTGCCACACAAAACAGGTCTCAAGGAACCTTGCAGGGTTCTCGGGAGGTCCATGGCCATGTTGAGGGGCCATTACTCTGGCGGGCGGGCGGGCTTATTTAAGGGCCTATCCCAGGCACGGATCGAGCTTCTGCAGTGATAATCTGCAAACGCTTGAATCTCTTGGGCCCAACTTAAACTCTATGTGTATGTGTATATATATATATGGGTACCCATATGTATATGTATACAAATCATCATTGAATTGCAAGCCCCACCCAATGGCTTTGTCAAAATAGCGCTCCAGCACCACAAAAAAACAACGGTCTTCTTCTGGTTTCCCTTCCAGCCAACCTCAATTAAGACCAATCCCAAAAAGAGTACCTTTCAAAAAACTAAACCCGCATGCGAGCGGGCGCTGTGAATTGCACAACCAAGCTGCCGCCTGCAGCGCCAGTGGACGACTGGAACTTCCTTGGCGCGTGAGCAAGATAGTTGCTGCGCCAACCAAGTCAAACCGACTGCATAAAAGAAGCCTACCACCAGCCAATGTGATGGCGTGTCAAAACAGGGGGAATGTTGGTTTCCTTTCAAGATGGTTGATCTTTAAACAAACCTGACACGGGCATGTACGGTACAAAGGCAACCTAAAGGTAATCTAGCCTGTTCGAAATCCCCGGGGGCCTAATCACAATCCGTAATCCGCTTAATCCGCGTTTTAGCTGGTAAACCCCCTAATCCGCAATCGGCACGGTTTATCTCCATTCCAAGTGGGCCTGACAAAGCCCCAAACATCCACGACTCCATCCTGGCCACTGGGGCCCTTTCACATGCCCTAGTGTTATTTTGGGGTTGTCGAGCGTGTTATTCTAATAATGAAATACCCCTCAAAAAGTTTAAAAGCAGTTCCCTCACAATGTAGTTGGGTGTCCTACACCAAAACGGTTTAATCCGTAAACCGCGCAATCCGTAATCCGCTAATCATTGGGCATTAGGTTTGGGACAGGTTAGGTAATCAAACGTGCGGGAAAAACACACCCAAACAAAAACATAGTGCACAGAAAATGTGTTGTCTTAACCGAAGCTCAGGCCTGGGAGCAGGTTCATGCACGTAGGTAGATTGCACCAATCCCACCATGAAATTTCACCTTGGATTGGCATCGAATGTCCATGAAACCAGGCGGCAGGTGCGGAGGGCAGCCAGGCTCCTCGATGATCTCCTTCCTGGCAGTGGCCCATGGGCACCAGGCAAAGACCCACGCCTTAATTAAAAGGCCTTTCTGTTGAGCCTAAGATGGGGAGGCGGGCAGTTTGCCTGGCTCCAGATTGTCCCTTGGGCGGGGCCTGCTGGCAAACACGGGAGACCCAAAAAGGCCTTGCAAATGCCTCGCAGAACTCAGCAAAGGTGACCATCACGTCGCGAGGCAAGCATCAGTGCTTCCGACAGCCTTTCAAACACGCATACTGTATCATGTTTGTCTCAAAAATACAAAGATCCCCAAAATGGTTTGGTTTTCTTTTGGCTTGCCCCAAAATACAAAGCAACACCCATCTGTGTCTGCGCCTCTCGTACGACTCGAAGAAGGTCAGCAAAAATGCCGAGTCGTGCTTCGTGGGGTCCTTGCATGGAAAACATATCGTCTCCAAATTGGTGTCAAATCTCTGCAATTGGCGAAATGTTCGATTCCCGTCGGTTTTTCTCGGAAAATTGTAGCTACCCCCCCAACACAAAAAAAAGGGAAGGAGAGAGGTACCCCAGAGACAAAAACATACCACTCCCATTCATCCAAAACTCAGTTGCTGGACGACATCCTGGTGAACCACGGCAAGCTTTTGAGTACCCGCTCAGGTAACAGAACGAAATAATGACAGCTCTGTCTTTGTGATCCTTGATGTGCTCCTTCAACACTTAACTCTGTCTTAAACCAAGTGGCATATTCCCCACCAGCATGCACCTTGCAGAAGCTCCACCAAAGCACCTGGACGCAAGGGATGCTTGCAATCATTCAGTCACGGCACGTCCTGCTACGCTCTCTAGAGTGATGCAGGGTGTGCAAAGAATCAGGTTGGATCTCCTCCAGGTGAGTATGACGCCTTTTGGCAGGGGCTCAAAAAAGTGGCACTCAAACAAAGACCAAAACCTGCTTGACCCCAGCTCTTTACTTTTTGGGCATGTTTCGTCTTCCCACTTTGGGCTCCTTCGAGCGGTGCGACCCATGTGGGTCCCCACCTTGGCCTGGGCCTCGGAGGCCTGGAGCTTCCGCAGCTTCTCCACGAGCTGCCGCTTCTCCAGGTCCGCGGCGGAGGTGGGCAGCGCCGGGGCCTTCAGCTTCGCCGCCTGCGGGGCGGGGGCGGTGGGGTGGGCTCGGTGGGCTCGGCGGAAGGCGGAGCGTGGATGGGGGTGAAGTGGGCGGCGGGGTGTGGGGTGTGGGGGGAAACACCTTTTTTTTTTTTTTGGGGGGGGGTACTAAGACCAGCCGCAGGAGTTACTGACAAGATGCACTGGTTATCGAAACTTGCCGGAACTTGTAGCTGTCTAAGGTCATTTAGCGACCACTTATAGCAATTTATCGGAAGTTAGTAAGTTCGTGCTTCTGACTTACTGGTTCAAAAAGTTAACAACACTTAGGAAAAGTTATAAGAACTTACAAAAAAGTTACGGAAAGTTACCGACGACTAACAAACAGCACTTTTTGGTAGCCCGTACTCGCGCAAACAGTGAATGTTCTCACATAAGCAAGGCATGTAGACGCGCTTCGCTCAACAATTCTAGACGAACAAGGGGATGAAATTCAATGTCCAAAAGGGTTCTGGATATTGAATATCCCCTGATCTCTCTGTCTCTCTGGGGACATCAATCGCAAATTTGGGCACGTACTTTTTTTTGTCGCCATTTGTTTCTTCAAACTTCTTTCAGACTCTTTCTGAACTCTTAGTATCGGGAACATATTGTTTCTAAATCTATTCAGAACTTGTCTGAACTCCCAGCGCGCAAGATTACGAGGCGACGCACGAAAAAACCACTTGAAAAAGCCAAAAACAGTTGCACAAAGTTAGCAGAACTTATCAGAAGTTACACTGTCTTAGCTTGACTTGCCCAAAGTTAGCAAAACTTATCGAAACCTATATGTAGATAACATAACTTACTAAAAACGTAAAACAACTAAAACAATAGAAAACATAAGTCCAATAAACAACTATATGTTCCTGTAAGAGGTCAATTTGTTCTATGCCCGGCTGAGGTGGGGTGTGCCGTGTTGGGAAGGGTTTGGAGAAGGCAGCAAGTGTGCATGTTGCTTCTACAGTTGGTTAAATCTGTTTGCCCGACCCCAGGAGTTCTCCGCCTCCTCCGCCTCCTTCTGGGCCTTTTCCCGAGCCCCAGGCTCCACCCGCCCCACCGGAAACGGCGCCGCCGGAGCGGCCGGCACGCCGGCGCCCGGGCTGGCGCTGAACGCCGCCTGGGGGCATCGGTCGGGCGTTCTGAACCGGTGACTGACGGCAGGCTGACATGGGGGGGTCGGGGGAGCTCGGCAAGATGAGCCAGTTGTTGAGGCTGGCAAAGCCTTGTACTGACACATTCATTCAATCTACCGAGGCTGAGTGAGGTAGACGCCGTGGCAAACCTTCATGCACGCTCCAAGGAAAGCTTGCCTGCCAGGCTGAAAACAAAAGCAAGCGGCACATCAAATCTTCCCCTCTCCGGGTTCTACCCCCAAAACCACCAAGCTCAAACCACACACCCTCTCCTCCCCCCGTCCCCCCGGCCGCAGCCCGCGCCTTGGCGGCCTGATTCTGCGGCCCCGGCTGACGGGGCGCGGCCCGTGGCGCCCCGTAGGGCCCCCCCGCGCCCGCGGCGCCCGCGGCGCTCGGCACCCACGCCCCGAAGCTCATGGCGCCGCTTGAGCCATGGCGCTGCATGCAGCACTTGGCAGGGGTCTCTGAACGGAGTGAAACAAAACATCAAAAAACGACCTTTGCTCTGGACAAAAACATGTATTGGAGTAAACAAGAAATCGTGAGGCGAATGTGAAGGATTATTGAATGCGAGCCATGTGGCCCGAATTCTGCAACTAAGCAGTGACTCCTCTCAAACTTGTGCAGGGCACAGGAACGGTACATGCAAGGCATGGCGAAAAATTCAGAGAAGGAATGGTTTATGGCTGAGCACATGAGCGCATGGGAGTCCCTGTTTTAGGCCAAACACATTTCAAGTTTCGGAGGACGGGTAGGCCACAAGAATGGATAACTTTGGACATGACAAACGCTAGCTCAGGCGTTTAAACGTTAATTCTATTGTCTAAGGGCGTGATTCTCTGGAGCAGCCGATGGAATCAACCAGCACGCAGCTCCGACGATGCAGGCAAGTTGCAATGACTGGATGACGCCGCTGATGTCCCGAAGCCTTTGGGCAACTTCATGAAAAACCGAGACACAAGCCAAAGCAGGCAAGTTCCGTACGCTTGTCAAGCAACAAAGCGGCAGTGGCTTTAGGTCGTTGAATCACACGACTTGATGTCTACGAACCGCGAGCAAAACACGGAAGGGCATGTGCAGCTGAGGCTGGCGCTTGATGCAAATTCCCTGGAAGCTTTCCTCAGGTGAAGATGCGGGCAGGATAAGGCACACATGCGTGCAGGTTCCCGTTGCTGAGACTCTCTCCAGGACCTCAAAACAAGTTGATCAGTATGCTTGTAACCCTTGGCTATTAACATTGGCTAAAGCTTGCTTGACTGAAGCCTCGCAATTGTATGGGATTCGGGGGTCTTCAAAAAAAGCGCCCCTCAAATTGGGCAATCCTTCAGAACAACAGAGACTTGAACGCACAATCCAACAGCTGGGCACCCGTTTGGAAGTGGCCAGGTCCATTCCCGTATGACTTGTGCTGGGAAGCGAAGCAAACGCACACAGCTACAGGCGGCTACCATGCAGCCAAAGCGCCCACATGCGCCAGTTCTGGCGGCACCTGAATGCGAATGCGAATGGTCGAGCTGTCACACGCTATCAGTATAGGGGATGTCCAAGCTCACTTGCCCACACCTGCTCGAACCAGCCAATCCGATGGCCTCTTGGTGGCCTCCATCATGCAGGTTCGGGCTTCTTTGACCTGAGCGGCCAGGCAGGTCCAAACATCTCATTGCGGGTAGTGGGCCTCCGGTGTTGTATCCGTTGATGCTCAACATTCACCGTAAAACTTAATATCAAAAAAACATTGCCCTTCCGCCCTGCAGTATGGATTCAAGATTGTGTTCAAGCATCTGCCATGCCAAGGCCAAAGAGCTGCTTGCAAATGTGCGCGCACGCAAGTCAGCCAGCCACTTGCACCCAACAAAGTGGTCAGGACAACGTGCGGGCTGCAACAAACTGCAGTCCCTCAATGGCATGCCAATCATTCAGTTCGCTGAGGCTGCAACCCTCTCCTGGTGCAAATGAACGGCTGCCAGATTTGCCCAAGCCTGACCGTCCTGCTCAAGCAAGGTGTTTATTACATGACTGTCTTCTGACTCGGCAGCCGTCAAGAACCCTGCCACCGCCAGTCCGCTTGCACTTCATCCCGGCTAGAACTCCACACTTCCTCCCAGTAACGTGCCAGCTGCGGGATACTGCACAATTAAAATCCTCTAGCAAGGGCCCATAGAACTGTGAGGTGGCATGGCAATTAACCCGGGAGGAGAATGGGCGGCACTCCTCGTCGTTGATGGAAATCACCCGCGAGAAGGCCACCATGGCCTCTTCCATGCGCTCCAGCTGCATGAGGCCCACGCCTGCGCCGCAGATTCGTCTGCGCCCCCCAATATGGCGAGTGTTTAGGGGTTATGTTGGTTTTTGGACCAGGGACACTTTGGTGGACGTCATGTTCATGGGGATTTGTTCAACTACGTTTGAAAGGGCTCCTCACGCAGGGTCACACCACCACGTGCCTAGGTCTGTTGCTTTGTGGTAATTTCCACACCTTTCCAGTCCATTTTTGTTTTTGTCGGGTAACACGGTAACACTTCCATGTTGGTGTCAGGGCAATTGCCTTCTGCTGGAGGTTTCCATCAAACTCCGTCTGCAGTGCTTAGGTTGGCTGGGGGCCAGTTGGAACAAGCGCGATTTGGCGGTTTTTGGCATTGAAGCAAGAATTCGGAAGCAATATTACAAATGACATTTGTGAAAAGCAAAGGCTGAACTCGATGCTTGCAATTGAAGAACAAACGCATGTGCGTGCGGCACATACCTGCCATTTACCCAACGTCAAAAAACAAAGGACCCCTGGCAGTTGCGTGCTAGCTGCTAAGCTTTGCTCTGGGTTCCTTGCCACTTGCCACTAGACGCCAAAGCTCGGGCCTACTTCTCTCTTGATCGCCTGGAAAGAACTCAAAAGCCACATAGACTGTTTTTCCATGCAAATCCAAGCTCGTCCAAACTGGCAACTTGCTCAATGCCGAGCTTGCCCTGTGACATGTCCGTGCGCCTGCTCCTCACCCACGAGCCAAGATTGAAGCCGTCAATTGCTGCATACGAAGATGGCACCAGCACGTGTCCATGCTCTGCTCTATACTGCTTCAGCTGATCTAGGCCCTGCTGCCACATCTGGTCCAAAACATCCCATACAAATCCAAGCTCGTCCAAACTGGCAATTTGCTCTGCCCCGAGCTTGCCGTTTGACGCGGCCGTGCGCCTGTTGCTCACCCACGAGCCAAGATTAAAGCCGTCAGCTGCCTCAAACCTGTTTGGCACCAGCACATGTCCATGCTCTGCTCTATACTGCTTCAGCTGCTCTAGGCCCTGCTGCCACATCTGGTCCCAAACATCCCATACAAATCCAAGCTCGTCCAAACTGGCGATTTGCTCTGTGCCGAGCTTGCCTTTTGACATGGCCGTGCGCCTGTTGCTCACCCACAAGCCTAGCTTGAAGCCGTCAGTTGCTGCATACGAAGATGGCACCAGCACGTGTCCATGCTCTGCCCTGTACTGCTTCAGCTGCTCTATGCCCTTCTGCCACATCTGGTCCAAAACATCCCACACGAATCCAAGATCGTCCAAACTGGAAGTTTGCTCTGCGCTGAGCTTGCCGTTTAACCCATCTTTGCGCCTGCTGCCCACCCACGAGCCAAGCTTAAAGCCGTCAGCTGCCTCAAACCTTCTTGGCACCAGCACATGTCCATGCTCTCCTCTATACTGCTTCAGCTGCTCTAGGCCCTGCTGCCACATGTGGTCCAAAACATCCCATACAAATCCAAGCTCGTCCAAACTGGAAATTTGATCTGCGCTGAGCTTGCCGTTTAACCTATCTTTGCGCCTGCTGCTCACCCACGAGCCAAGATTAAAGCCGTCAGCTGCCTCAAACCTTCTTGGCACCAGCACATGTCCATGCTCTGCTCTATACTGCTTCAGCTGCTCCAGGCCCTGCTGCCACATCTGGTCCAAAACACCCCATACAAATCCAAGCTCGTCCAAACTGGCAATTTGCTCTGTGCCGAGCTTGCCCTTTGACATGGCCGTGCGCCTGTTGCTCACCCACAAGCCTAGCTTGAAGCCGTCAGTTGCTGCATACGAAGATGGCACCAGCACGTGTCCATGCTCTGCGCTGTACTGCTTCAGCTGCTCTATGCCCTTCTGCCACATCTTGTCCAAAACATCCCACACAAATCCAAGATCGTCCAAACTGGCAATTTGCTCTGCGCTGAGCTTGCCGTTTAACCTATCTCTGCGCCTGCTGCCCACCCACGAGCCAAGATTAAAGCCGTCAGCTGCCTCAAACCTTTTTGGCACCAGCACATGTCCATGCTCTGCTCTATACTGCTTCAGCTGCTCCAGGCCCTGCTGCCACATCTGGTCCAAAACACCCCATACAAATCCAAGCTCGTCCAAACTGGCAATTTGCTCTGCGCTAAGCTTGCCGTTTGACCTATCGCGGCGCCTGCTGCGCACCCACGAGCCTAGCTTGAAGCCGTCAGTTGCTGCATACGAAGATGGCACCAGCACGTGGCCATGCTCTGCTCTATACTGCTTCAGCTGCTCCAGGCCCTGCTGCCACATCTGGTCCAACACATCCCACACAAATCCAAGATCGTCCAAACTGGAAGTTTGCTCTGCGCTGAGCTTGCCGTTTAACCCATCTTTGCGCCTGCTGCCCACCCACGAGCCAAGCTTAAAGCCGTCAGCTGCAACAAACCTTCTTGGCACCAGCACATGTCCATGCTCTCCTCTATACTGCTTCAGCTGCTCTAGGCCCTGCTGCCACATCTGGTCCCAAACATCCCATACAAATCCAAGCTCGTCCAAACTGGCAATTTGCTCTGCCCCGAGCTTGCCCTTTGACATGGCCGTGCGCCTGTGGCTCACCCACAAGCCTAGCTTGAAGCCGTCAGTTGCTGCATACGAAGATGGCACCAGCACGTGTCCATGCTCTGCGCTGTACTGCTTCAGCTGCTCTATGCCCTTCTGCCACATCTTGTCCAAAACATCCCACACAAATCCAAGCTCGTCCAAACTGGCGATTTGCTCAGCGCTGAGCTTGCCGTTTGACCTATCTTTACGCCTGGCACTGACCCACAGCCCAAGCTTTAGGCCTGTGTCAGTCACAAATCGAGACCGCACTTCTACATTCCCATGCTCCAACTTGTAGCGCGCAAGCTCTTGAAGTGCTGCTTCCCAGGCAAAACAGGCGCTGCATGCCTCCAGTACATGCGGAAACACTCGCATGCCCAGCAGACTGGCTGCCTCAGTGGCAAGCTCTCCGTCGAGCTCATTCCTTTGCATTTTTCCAGCGAGAATGCCCACCCTGCCTTGCTTTTCGCCAACGCTGGCCGTGAGCGAATCCCTAAAGCAGGGATCGGCCATGGCCAACTCACTCAACAAACGCTTCAATTCAGTTTCTTCTGCTAAGGAGCCATCGCTCTTCTGGACGATAGGCGGCGCAATCACGAGGGCGTCAACTTTCCCTGGATGCTTACGAAGCACCCTGCCCACACATTGCCGAAGGCGCACGCCTCGCCTAGGTGCGACAAAAAGGCAGGTGTCCGCCACTGGCAGGTCAACACCCTCACTGAGCACGTCCACCGTCACCAAGACACGTATGCCCCCATGCGCTTGGCTCCTGCGGAAGCTGCGGAGGATATCTTGGCGTTGTCCAGCGACAGTCTTGGCATTGTAATGGTCTGCTGGGATGCCGGCATCATTGAGCATGTGAGCAAAACTTCGTGCTTCACGAACTGTGTTGCAGAAGGCTAGGATCTTGCGAGCCAGGGGCAGGTTGTGGATGACCTTCACCAAAGCAGGTCGCAGGTCGCCCTCCGATACAAGGGGCACCATGACAGTGTAATCCATGATGACTCCGGCGTGGATGGCCGGCCTCAAGTCGAAGTCAAAATCTGGCTCGTTTTGGACAAGGGTTGCGGAAAAGAATACCCGCTTTCTGGTCTGCAGCGCCAGCACCTGTTTCGCATGCACACCCAGCAAATCATTATATGTGAGGTTGTCCGCTGCAACATCCGCATCTGACTCTGACCAGTTCGGAGCCCGCAACATAGGCTCGTAGTGATGAGCTTCGTCTAAAATCACCATATCAAAGCTCAGGCATTGAAGCTGCCATGCCGAGTTCCTCACGCAAACGAAGACTTCCGCGGTGAAATCGGCAGGCCAGCCGGTGCCAACACGAGACACTTTGCGATCTGGGAGCGTCTCTTCGAGCAACTGGGCCATCTGCTCCATCAAGTCCAGCTTTGGGACGATGACGCACGCACGCTGCTCCTGCCCCAGCTCTGCCAGCAAGTCGGCCATCACCAAGCTCTTGCCAGTGCCAGTGGCCATTTGCACAAAGAAGTCGTGCTTTGCAGAACTGTTTGAAAGGAATGCCTGGCACGCCTTAACGCAGTGAACTTGGTGGGGCCACCGCTTCATCTTGGACACCTTGGGCTGCTCCTCATCTGTGGCGAATGTTTGGTTGCGCGCTCTGGCGCGCCACCTGTTAATCTCCTTTTGGGTGTACTTCCGATGCGTGGCCCCCGTCCATTGCCACTCCTGCGGCAGTCGTGTGCTCTCGTTGCTTGCAACGATCATTTGCTCCACCTGGCCGGGAAAACACGCCATTGCCCCAGCCTAATATGGCATCGTGGCCTCTCGCCCAATCAAGGGATCAAAAGCAAAAGGAAACCCACACGCCGGGGCCAAAGCACAAACAGGCTAAATTCCTTGCGCCGCCTTTCCAAACCCAAATGGCTCTTCACCGACACGCAAATCCCAATCCAAAAGGAAATGCAACTTTACGATAGTTTCACCCCGCCTTGTCCCTCAAAGGTGAGCCCTGAGCCGTGACCAAGAGGTGAAAGGTCGCCAGGCGCCTCAAAGGCACCTTGTCCTCATAGTCCTTGGCCTGCACGGCCACAGAGAGATTCAACGCCAAGGAGTCGATGCCTCGGTCCTGCAACGAATGAAAGAAGAAAAATCCAAGGTTCTTTCAGCAAGCCTGCCTGGGTTCAGCAAAAGTGCCTCTTGCCTCCAAAGCTATCGCGTAGTATTGCAAATGTATTGCAAAAGTTACGGCTTTCGGATTTGATCCAATGCTCCTGCAGAGGCAATCCGAGGCGCTCTTTGAAACGAATGGGCAGCTGACTCCAGGGCACCGTCCCCAGATCCAGCGCCGAGATCAGCTCCAGCTCCCGGCCTGGCGGCAAATTCCCCACCGCCAGCGCCTCCAAAGCCTTCGTCTCCACCGCGCGGTGCACGTGCTGCATCTCCGCCGCGCTGAGCACGGCGCCGGCGGCTGACTCGTCCCCAGCCGCCTGGCGCCGAGGCACCCTGGAGACAAAACCCCCGGCGCCCCCGGGCCGCACGGAAGCTGCGAAGGAGCTGCACAGCCGAAACGCCATCAGGAGACTGGCGGCCAGGATCCAGGCAGTTCGCGATCGGCGGCGCCGGTGTGGAAGGGCCATGTTGCCACTGGGGTACAAAGAAAGGCTCTGGCAGATAGGAGCAGGCAACCTCTCTGAGCCAGGTGACAGCTGTCATGATGCATGATGCCCATGTCTGGTTTGTACGACCATGCTGAATGACTTCACGCCATCCAGCGCAGTCCATCTTTGCAGCAGCATACAACGAAAGAACAACAGAAGGCCAATAAATCTCAACAACGCCTGAATGGCCCGGGTAAAGCTTTCGAAGGGCAAGGCCCACAGCAAAATTGCCAAAAGCCGGGCATCAAGCAAAGCTCAACCAGACCAATGGCGTCATCACAAGTGCCAAACGGCCCCAGCCTAGGGTGAACCAAATGCCCTCGAACATGGGGTTGATGTCCAACGCCAGCTTGAAGGACTCGACTGCCTTGGCCAGCTGCTTCTTCTCGAAGTGGTACCTGAGCAGCTCAAAGCGTGTGCCTCCAACTCACTGCTTGCGGCTCCCAACTGCCAGGTACTTATCATGCCAAACAACATGCTATCACTGACAAGATGCCATGTCAAGAACGCAACAAACTCCTCCAAATAGAGTCTCAAGATGTCTCAAGTTGGTGCCCCACCACAAGTGGCCCTACAAGGATCCCATCCGCCGCAACCCCAAGCTCTTGCTTGTTGCGGCTACGGTACCTGCCCAAGGACCGCTGTGCCCGCGCGAAGCGCTTCTTCGAAAGATCCCAGGCTGTCTCATAGTGCTTGGGATCCTTCGCAGAATCCGAACATGTTCTAGATTTTGCCATTGCCTTAAGCGAAAAAGATGGTTCCAAATCAATACCTTGACCCAAAAGAGCGGCAAACACCGTGCCAAGCTTGGCCTCGTCTTCGACCCCAGCAAAAGCAACTCATGGCAGTGAGTGGTGAAGCACGCAATGAAAAGAAACAAGTTAAACGGCCGCGGGCCGGACGAATCACCAAATTAGGGCCACACAAGGCCTGGTTTTGCCCGAGCAGTACTATTGCCTCATTGCAGGCGCCCTTGTGGCCACCATGCTGGTCCCAAAACAAAACCAGGTGGCGCTTGTACAGGCCTCACTGATACCCCAGTCTGGTGCAGTCCAAAGCTTTTAAAGGCCCTCCCCCAAATGTCGAGTGCAATCAGGGAATGGGAGCCCCGCGCACGTGTTTCCACAACGTCCTTGAGAATGTCGCCCAGGCAGCACCAAAGCCGCGGAGAGGGATTCTTCTCGATGAGATCCTGCAGCCGACACGCAAAGGCGAACCTCTGAAGCAAGCTGGGACTCTGCAGCGCATGTTCTCAAGTAGGCTGCATGCATGAAAAGCTTCTACCGGTTTTCTCACCGCACTTTCTGCACTTCGCTGCACACTGCTTCAAACGGTTTCAACTAAATGTGTGGCTCCAACTGGATCTCGGGATGCAATGCAACCACTTCACAGCTTAGTGTCAACTTTGGGTTGATTCCAAAGAGGATGCAACTAAGGCGGTGGTTCCCTTCAAGCTTGATTTTAGGGGGATCCCTCTGAGCAGTGTGGTACTCCTCATTTTCTATCCGACATTGGCATTGCAAAACTCACGGTTCAATCAATTAACCTGACGCCCCAACCACAATCATGTTTAGAGGAACCTCTTTTTTAAAGGAAAGGACCCCCATTTTCGTTTTGTATTTCCGTCTGGGATTGCATGGGGCGCCATCCGCAGTGGACAGACAACTCCTTCGGTCCTTGACCAAGTCTTCCGCCTCTACCTTCCGCTCGGCCACGATGAGGCACTCAACAGCCTCCGGCCACATCCGCAAGGCCTTGAACTGCTCATGGGCGGTGCTCACCATGCCCATCCTGACTCAGCTGCTCAAAACGGGAGGTTGGAGTGGTGCGGTCGATCTGATTTCCGCAATCCGTACACAGAAATCGCACCAAGGAGACCAAATCCTTAACGCGATTAGGGGTTGACTCTGACCAGCCCAAACAACCCATTGCGCGGCTCGGTTGGGATAGATTGGGACAAGGTTGACTTGTGCAAGGGACCGGCCATCCCAGGTTCTATCAGCCATCCAGGGGTAGCATGGTCATATTGAGAAAGAAAGGGGGGCAGCGGGAACTTCGACATTAACTACCTCCACAGGGAAGCGGCTGGCAGAAAGTGTTGGCAGCCACCACTCACCGCACGCAAGCAGTGCACTGACGGTAGTTCCATGAACTCCTATTAACCCTTCGACCTGTGGACGACAAGATTCCGCATCATGCGGCTGGCCATCTCGTGCTGCAAATGGAACCGCGCTGGGTAGCCGCCTGAGCATCCCAATCAAATTGGATCCACTGACCCTCCCCCACACAAACGCAAAAGAACATCCGCGCATAAAAGGCACTCAGATAAAGCGAGGTCCAGAACAACGAATCCAGAACTGATCCCCTCCAAACCAAGCCCCACTCAAAACCAACGCTGAGCCTTGCTTTAAAGCCACACCTCTGCCTTGTGAGGTCGCTTCAAGTTGTCCACCACCACCCCATTAAAACCAAGACGCTACTAGGCTAAACACCTTGCACCCCACAAAATGCTAAATTTCATCCCCCGCCCACCAACTCCGCTCGCGAAGCCGGGCCACAGCTGTGTGCCATGCGCAGACGATGCGCCGCCGAGGGCTTGACATCCGAAAACTGGTCCACCAGAGATTGGAGCTGAAAGGCGGCGCGCTCCCGGGTCTTGTTGCCTCAGCCGGTGCATTTGGGCCACACGTCACCTGGGGGTTGTGCTTGCCGCAGGAAAAGAATACAAACATTCTAGGGGAAGCTTCCCCCAGATCTTTGTCGGGCATCCTTCTTTCTAGAAACCTCCGGAAGCCGCAGAAAAACGGCTGGTTTTTGAAAAGAACGATGGATGAAGAATATGGAATCAACCCCTAGAAACGCAGGGATGCCACCCAGAGAAATAAAAACAACAACACGTGCAAAAGGGTCGCCTGGGCTCAAACGATGCCCCTGATCTTTACTAGTCTTCCACCACCTCAGGGTGGGGGGGCAGGTGATCTGGGAGTCCCTCTGAAGGGCCTTACTTGGGATCTATTCTTGCTTTTCGGGTGGCTAGGCGCCGTCCGTTTTCGTTTCAAGACGAAGGTGACCGCTGTTGCTTCACAGGAAACCATGCTGAGCCCGCAAAGCATGTTTTGTAGTGGTTGAAGCTGAGTTGCAGCCAGAACAGTTGAGGAACAGCTACGGGCGAACACATGCAGCCCACAGAATGCCAAATGAAGGGCGGGGATATGAATCGGGTCTCCTCCATTTTTTTTGGAAAACCAAACTCCTGTGTTGTTTGTGCCCCTCCTTCAGTTTCTTCCGCAGCTTCCCAGGGAAAACGCAGCGAACAAAAAATAAAAATAAAAAAGGAAAAATAAAAACTTCAAAGAGCCAAGCAAGACCTTCTGCCGCGGGGCGATGGTGTTCTGCCCTGCAGCGGAACCAAAGGCCGCAGCTGAAGGTGAGCCAATTGGCAGTGAAGAGGGGGCCCTCTGCGGCCTCCTCCTCCACTGGCAGGTCCTGCCTGACATACCCTCCCCCCATCGGTCTGTTCAAACACGCCCCCCATCCCCTACTCTGATTTAAAGGCCATATCATTGCAAGGCATGGTGGCTACTAATATCTACCAATTAATGCCCAGTGGCTCCGCATTGGGATCCTTTCAAGGCTAGGAACCTCCAATGCAGTCGGCAAAGACGCAGCAGGATTCCAAAAGCATGGGAGCAAGCCCCACTGGGGTACACAACAATCAACCTACTGTCAGCACGCACCCACACACAAACCAAACCACATCACCGACACACCACCTGTGGCATTTCATCAAAGCCATATGTCTCGGATCCAAACCAAGCGGCTTCTTGAGAATCCTTTGCGCCAAAGCATTGATCTCCTGCAGCACCATCTCATCGTTGGGATTGCTGGACGCCCAGATGTAGTGACACCGCGTCAGCAGAATCAGCTGCTCCGCTGCCTTTAAGCAAGGTTGGTCCAAGCCCTTACCATCCCACCAGATAACATGAAACCTGACGTTTCGGGGGCACCAACTAAAATGACACCGGGGGGTCCTGGTTTGGACCATTTTTCTTTGGAGGGACCTCCTGTCAGGTTCCATGTTAATGGGTGGGAGTGAAAATACTATTGTTCGCAACATATCCTTTTGGTTTGCCCCCTCTAAAGAGGGGGTCTGGTTGCTTGAATTTGGCCCAGCCTTCAGCGGCCGCTCAATCTCCTGGCGTTCCTTATCAGACACGGACTGCGAGAGCTTCGGGGTCTCCAGAACGTCGGTCATGTCCTCGGGTGCAAGTGCCCAGCAGAATCCGCAATTTCGGAGTAGGACAATCGCTGGCACCGAAAACAAAGATAGCACCAACAAACTAAAAATAAACCATGGAGCAGCTGCAAACATGAAGCGTCCGTTTGCATCACCACCACCTTTGCCCCCCCCTCCCTCCCCCGAATTCCCAGGAAAATATGGATCTTAGCCTCTTACGCCCCAAAATCCCGGCCAAGGCCGGGAGATGCCGGGAGAATGTGGGGGCCAACTTTGATCCCACACGAAGCCACGAAGCGCTGACCAAGCGTCATCCACGGCCTTGAGGCTCAAAGTGCCCGGGGCTTTGGTATCCGACTCCTGCACAGCGCGTGCCAAACCGAAGGATGCGACACTGGCCTCTGACTCCCTCAACTGGATGCTTGCAAGCTAAACAAGACACACACATATATGACACACACGCGCGCACATGACACACCTGACACACACACACCACACACACAAACACAAACACAAACACAAACACAAACACAAACACAAACACAAACACAAACACCAACACCAACACCAACACCAACACCAACACCAACACACACACACACACACACACACTCTTAAACTCCAGATGGAGGGTGCTAATCTTTCGAGTACAACTGGTAAGTCTCGGCTTGGATAAGGTTCTTCATGCGTAAGTTTCGGCTCGCAATGCACTCGGTTTCCCTCTAGTGTCGAAAACGTTACAGGTTCAACATGAAGCACACACAGCGAGAGAAACAACGGGCCAAAAGGACTTTGAATCACACGAGTTGCGCAGGTACGCGGAGTTGATCAGACTCCGTATCCTAGGAGCTTGCAAAGAGCTTCGTTGGGCAGAGCTTTGCAAGTCCTCTCTGCCCCCCTGCAACTAATTGTGGTGACAGGGTATTCTGCCACTCCGCACACACACACACAAGATGACATCAACAACTGGCGACCATGTCTGGGTTGGATTCAGGTGGGGGGGCTAAATGGATTGAATATGCAAACAAAGAGTCCTTCACTAGTCACACGTTTTAGTGGGGACACTTTTTCCAAATCAACCCAGTCTGGGCAAGCCACGAATGGCTCAAACAACCATCTCTTCTGATCATAACCCTCTCTCTCTGATACCATCAACAAATAGCCCTTTGTGACATACTAAAAGCTACTACCTCACTTAAAACGGACCTCCTCCACTATCGCTCCAGCCCCCAAGTTCCTCCTCCCCGCTCCTCGATTTCGATGCCCTTGGCGTTCTCTTTGCCTTTGGCCTTCACCACCAGCTGCGCAAACTCCTGGGTCTGGTGCTCTCGCTTGATGCCCAGCACCCCCGTCAGCTCGTAGTCGAAGTCGGCCGCGCGGCAGGCCGCGTCCGAGGCCTCGAGCGGGGGATCTGCGGAGAAACTGCCGCGCTTCACGCCGACAAACGGACGAGGCCACCCACCCCCCAAGAAACATAGGCCATCCAACCCCAAGAAAGAGGCCATTCACACACGTAAAAAATAGGCAATCCAATCCAACCAGCCATGGTGCAGAAGAAAACAAGCTGGTTTCAACTGTGCCGGAAAGTGCGACCAAGAGGAGACTATGTCTGAAGGAATCCAAGTGGGGGATCTCCATCAGGGTGAGCCCGTGCTGTGCCCCAAATGAGACTATCAGAAATTTGCTCACGTCAAAGGGGGACCAGTGAAAAGCTAACGAACCATCCCAACAGCAAAGTTGACCAAACAGCCCGCAAACGCGACACCAGGAAGCCCTCTGGGCTGTTCGCAATGAAGACTTTGTCACTCTGATCCTACTGCACACCGCTCGGAGCTGGAACAGCCCAGCTTTTGGTCCACCGCTCCCAACCCTTGGGGTTAAGTACCTTCTAAGGAGTAATTCGACCCTTTTTTACCCCAAACAGCTTCCTCAAAGGCAATCAACATGGAACCTGACAGGAGCTTTCAACAGGAAACTGGTCTCCCTGGCAGGTTCAATGTCAATTGGTGGGAGGGCAACTACTTGGACCCGCTGGGAAAGCCAAGGCACCTGCTGCCAGACCTTGAGGCGGCCATACCAGCACAGCCGGTTCGCCAGCTCCACCAGCAGACACGCGCGGATGTCGTCCGGGGCGTCCTTCAGCGTGCTTGGCGGCGAGGCGCTGGAACCATCGAAGAGGCCCAGCATGGCCTGCAGGAGGAACTTTTGCAAACAGAAATTAAAATCGAGCTAGGTGGGTATGAGTCCACCCTAGGAGGGAACACATACAAACACAAATCAAAATCGAGCTTTTAGGTGGGTATCGGTATAATTCAAGCCGAACAAAGTCCGTTTGTGAAAGCGAGACAAGTATCGGCATGAGTCAAACCGGACAAAATCCGTTGGTCAAAGCGCAAAAAAGAAACAACACAAAAACATGGGACCCTTCTCTCAGATTCTGACCATCAGCTTGCGCCTCCAAAGCATCGCTGCCCTCAGCCTTCTCCTCCTCCTCCTCTACGATCACCGGCGGGATGCCAGGGCTAGTGCGATTCCATGTCCTGGTGCCGGCGTGCAGCCCGCCCCCCCCGGCTCCATACATCACTTCTCTTCTTGCAAAGGCAACAAATACTAGGGGGATAGGCTCCTTCATTAAGGGTTCGCGCCCCGCGTCCCATACAGTTGTGAGGCGGTATTAAACCACTTTGACACCAACGTCCCAGAAATGTGAATTCAAGCAACTTCTCGGGGTGGGCCTTTCTTTGGAAATGGTACTCTGTTTGAGGTTCCTGAAGCCCAGTTCTCAGCTGTATCCCGGGGGTTGGGACGCTGTTCACCCCCCATGGCACCAAATAGAAATATATGAGTGCAGTTCTTGAAAGAAATCGTCCATCAACTTTCCACCTGAGGGGCCCGTAATGAAGGAGAAACACCCCATATCCTACCAAGGGATCCAACAAGTGTCCAAAGCCCAAGAGGTGCAGTCACTCCTGAGTGGATCGGCCAAAAGGAGTCTAAACTGTTCGTTTGCCAAATGAGGGCCTCCCCAACAAGTGTAAAGTCTTCCATTTACTTTCGCCCCCTGGAAAGAAAAAATGCAACTCCAGAAGTAGCAGATTCCTGTTAAAGCCGAAAAGGGAAAAAAACAAGTAACATTAAACATCATTTCAGCAAATGGAAAAGATCCATAAAACTCGGGGAGTGACTGCAGCTCGGCCACGGGTCCCGGACACCGTTATCGGTCCTGAGCAAAGGCGCGGCAGCCGTCTGGATGGAAACCAATGCCTCGCGGTCCAGGAAGCCCTGCTGCGCCAAAGGCGACGTGGAAGCCCCCGGCTCCTCAGTCCCATGGGATCGATTGGTTGCTGTTGACCCCCTGCAAAAAGTTTAGCTGTTTGGGGGGTTTGGTGGAAAACATTGGAAAACCCCTTGATTTAACCAAAAAGTTAAAGTCTGAAGATCCAACCCAATAGCAGTCAAGGCAAGGACCCAGAAATCAACCTTTTGGGGCCATGGCTAAACATGGACGCCAAAAAGGGGGCCCTTAAAAGGTCAGAAGGTCGATTCGTTTTGGGCAAGTGAGGTTTGAACAAACAAGATGGCTTTGATCATTCTCTTCACAAACAAAACAACGGCTAGGTTCAAAAAACGACGTGGACTGTGGCCTATTCCGTTCAAACGGGGAAGCTGCCAGGCAGCAACATCTCAAAATCAGGTCTTTTGTGATTTGGAATCCTCAACCAGCGAGCATTCACTTATTTCACTCATTTCTCGTAGCAAACCTACGTTTCGTGTCATCCAAACTCCTGCCTGTCACCAAAGAAACCAACATCAAGTAACACATAGTAACCCCATGCTCCCCATCCTGCATCCCACCACACAATTGCAAACCCCCCTCCCTCCCCCCCAAAAAAAAAACAAAAACAGGCTCCATCGAGCGCGAAACCGCACGCAAACCGCACGCCAAACTTGCCCCCAAAAAGACGCGAGACCGTCGCGCGCCCTGGTCGCTCCGTCCGAGGGGCGCCCACGAGGTCCACCACCGCGGCGCGGAACAGCGCGGGGCACTGGCCGCTGCCCCGCTCCGAGGCCTCCGCGAGGCTCAGCTGCCAGGCGAAGGCGCAGCGGCCGCGCCACACGCTGAGCGAGGCGCGGGGGTCGCAGGCCAGGGGCGAGGCCTACGGATGCGGAGGTGGATGGGATGGGAGGGGGGGGGGGGCTTTTTGACCTTCAAAAAAACCACATACATATATACATTTATACATTTACACACATAACACGCACACAAATACCACACACGAAACACCAACGCGGATGGAAGCTCAGTGGAAGTTGGACACAAACAATACGTAATGCTTGAAGCAACCCTTTAAGGGCAAGTATGGGGAACGCTGCAAGCAAGGTGTCTTTGGGCCTGCCACGATGGGGGAGGGATCTCCTGGCTTTTGGCGGAGCCAAGCAGAGGTGGACCAGCAACGTCAACATGCTAGGAACCGATTTGGCATAGATCAGAAATAAGGCCAATTATATAAAGCCATGAATGTTCACGCCGGCAGGTTCGTTGAAGGGGAAGGCTGGGGAATGCAACACACGGTTCATGAACTGTGAGAGCTGCAAGGAACTCAATCCGTGACATCCTTTGCCCCGTGGCCCCACCTCCGGCAGCAGCTGGAGGAGCAAGGCTGACAGCCACAAGTAGCCGGGACATGCCAGAAGTTCCTCGGGCGCCCAAGTACAAGGCGTTGCTCTGATGATCTTCAACTTGTGAAGGCCAAGTGGTTCGAGAAGAATCCAAGTACTGCCGCCAATCAGCTCCCACCGCTCCCATGGTTTGCATAGAGGGTCCCATTTTCGCCTGGCGAGTTGGAGCCTTTGGGAAGCCAAGGCCTCCTTGGACATCCAACCTGAAAACCTGCGTGGTGTCGCCATGGGTAGGTAGTTTTACCCAGAAGCTGAGCTTAAGCCCTTCTGAATGACAACCAAACAAGATGGGCTTGTTGTTTTCTTGAATCAAATTCTAGAGGGGAACTAATTCCCGGCAGAGAGAACAACAAAAGACACCCCCCTTCCCCCCAAAAACAACAGAAACAAAACTCCTCTCTCTGTCTCTCTCTCTCTCTCTCTCTGGCAATGGCAGTCCGGTGGTCCAAATGCCAACCGCAAGTCCGGCGTTCTCTGCCCTTCGAGGGTCGTATGGTGGTTCTCCGTCCACCTCCAGCGCCGCAAGGATCTGCGGGCCCCAAGTGCTCGCCTCCGCCAGGGCAGACGGGTGGAAGGGCAGCACCGGGTCGTCCTCCTGGCAAAAACCAAAGGCCACAACTTTGTGCTTTTTCTTTGACTCCCCTTGGTGTTCCTTGAAATCCCTTGGACTTAATTGAAATCTCTTGGTTTTCCTTGGCTTGGTTTTCCTCGGCGTCCACTACCTTCCCATCCGTGAATGGCAACATGACACCAAGCTTGGCTTGATCCCTCACAAAAAGGAAACTCTTGCCCAAAAGGCCTGGACATTTGTTGTACTATTTTTCTGGGAAGGTTGCCTAAACCGGAAAAAACCTTGGACATCTAGAAGATCGGAAGGTCGGGTGTGGGCAACGTGTCGCCCTCTTTCCAATAGTCCTGGAAGTGGACAAGAGGGTGTTGGAAGACTACCGTGATTGGGGCAACTAAAGAGGGAGCCTCCCCCCAAACGGCAAGGCCCGCATAGCTCACCCCAACAAACCCAACACATCTGGCGATATAGGTTCATCACCTTGATTAGTCTACTGCTCGAGTTGCCAAAAAAAACACAAAACAACAACTGCAGAAGCTCCCCCCCCCCCCCAAAAAAAAAGAGATGTGTCTCGTCGCCTGCTGCGCCGGCCCCGTGCAGTTGGCGCGCAGGAAGTGCTGCAGGAAGGCCACCCCCAGCATCTGCACTGCCAGGGCCCGGGCTGGGCTGCTGGCGAAGGCGCAGCATGCGGCGAGCAGGTCCTCCTGGCAAGAAGCCGAGTGACTCAGGGTTGCAGCGGCTTTTTGTTGGGCAAGGCTGGTTCCAGAGTGTGGCGCACTTGAAAGGTCACTCGCCTTGAGCAAACTCAGAAGTGTCAGGTCCCTCTATGCATATCGTTGCTGGTTGAGTAGGAAAGCGAAACGAACCCACAAAGGGCAAACACATGTAACAAGGTTAGCTATCACCAAGTCTCGTATGACCCGAAAAGGGCAGAATGAACAAGGTTAGCTATCCCCAAGTCCTTCCCTGCCCAAAAGGGGCAAATGAAAAAAAAACAAAAAACAGAACGTTCAGTTGGCAACATGGCCGTTTCACCCCCCCAAGTCTTGGGATTCATGGGCTCCTGAAGCTTCTCCAGCCCGCCGGCTGCCAAAGACGCCTCCACCTGCCGCGAAAGATTTGAGGGGCGCCTTGGATAAAGAATAAAAATAATAAAAATAATAATAATAATAATAATAATAATAATAATAATAATAATAATAATAATAATAATAATAATAATAATTACTATTATTATTATTATTAGCATGATAAAAGCTTGGACCCGTTCTATCTTGAAAAAACCAATCACGCCTGGTTACTGAACAGAACGGGGGGTCGAGCCCTAGACTTGTGACTTGTTGGTCTCACACATGCTGGAAGAACTGGCATGCACCCATTCGAATGACCGAGTTGTTGCGCTCCTTCAAAAAAATGGAACCAAACCTGGAAAGCCAAGGCTACACGCTCCATTGGCCCAGACCAAGACGCGTGCCAGGTCCGCTTCTAGAGCCCAAACTGGAGGCCGGTGGCCTGTGCTCGTTCCAGCGGCTGCGCCAACGGCTGGAGCCAGGAATCTGCCAGAAGCTCCTGGCTTGATCGAAGCACATGGACCTGGGCTGAGGGTTGCCTCCCGAGAGCTGTTGTCTTCACCGAGGGTCCTCCTAAACTAAGTGGGTTTTGGGGTGCTCCATGTGGGAAGTACCTCCACAAAAAAGATGGGTGTTGGGGGCTGCATGCTAACATACATGTTCTTTTCGGGAAACATAGATGGCCCTGGTCTGATTGAACCACCAGGTAAACCAGGAAGTTTCACCCAAATTACCCAAAAATGACGCTTATGCACCCATGTTTTCTTTTTGAGTTTGTTTCGGGGGTTGGAAATCCTGGAGTCAAAACCTCCCCTAGGTAGGGGAGCAACACCTCCCCCAGGCATCCCCCCCCCCGCCTGCAAGCAGCCGGCCCGTGCCGGCTCCGCCAGGCGCCGGAGCGCCTCGAAGTCCGCCTGCGCTGTCAGGTTTTGGCGTCCAAGGGCCGCTTATCCTCTTTGGTACGCTGAATATCGCTGCCCCTTTGTTCAGTGACCCTGGGAAAAAAAGGGAACCCTTTTTGCGGAAGACCATTTTTAGTGGGGCAGCCACCAAAAAAAGAGAAAAAGGGTGCCACTGAACAACTGAGTAACTTTCGTGTACCCATTGTATAGTTTGGCTGTATATGGCATGGTTGGGCCCTTGATTAGCCTGGTGTCCTTTTCTGGTATGGGAAATGAGAACCAGCTGGAAGAACAATGTGTTGTTTGGCAAGGCGGCGCCTTTCGTATCTGTGTGTTCGACAGGCAAGTCGTAATCAGTTTGTTCAAATGGCAGCTAAATTTTGCAACCCAGGTCATTGGACAATTCCAAGCCAAAAAACTGGACCCACGTCCAAAGCCAAACGGGAAGCCACAAAAAAACGAGCACATGTCACATGGCGTGCCCCTATAGGGCACGCGCCTTCACATCCTCCGTCAGGTCGGGCACTTTGGGCACCAGCGTCCCGGGCTCGAGGGAGAGCAGCGCATATTCCACCCGCAGCAGGAAGCTCTGGGTATCCATGGCTTCGGCCCGAGCTGGGTGTAGGACAAAGGTCGCAGGGGAAAAAACTGCCGATCAAACATCACCTGGGCTAAGATATACAGACTCAAACCTAAAGATCGGCAACCGAGAGAGATGTTTGAATTGGCTAAAAAGAGACATGCAACAATTTGGCGATACTTGTGGATGGGCTTGCGTCAACCATGGAGAGCAGAAGGGTAATCCGTGGAAGGCTACCGTCAAGGAGCATCGCTCTGTCCACCAGCGTTGGAAACATGGCGCGAGCTGTCCTCATTATTTCCAACACCCAGCAAAAGTAAATATGGCGTCTTTTGTTTGCTTCCGCCATGGGCTCCTGGGAAAGGTGTCCACTTCACCTGTCTCTTTGCAAGTCGGGCCAGCTGCACACATCAATTGCGCGCATGACGCTCGCTGGCTGTACAAGTAGAGTGCAAGTCTGGGTGTGATGCAGGGCTTTGTCTCCTGTTGGATTCCGTTTAACTTCAAAACAACACATATCCAAATCAAACATGGCAAGCCAGATTTCACGCATACTGCGACAGCACTGCGGAGTGTAATGAGAAGCTTTCTGAGGCTATCCAACGCTCGACCGTCTGGCCCATCCTCACCCCATGGCGCTGAGGCGGACACTATACAAGCAAGATGATCGAGCTGGCCTGGTGCTGAGCAAGTGATATTCTTACGGGGTCGATTTCATCACCTGACTGACGGCGAAGTTCAGATCAACGCAATTTGCCAAGAACACCCCTGGCGTCAGAATCACATCTCTCGTGGCAGAAGCCAAGACAGAAATCCACAAAGCTGTCAAAAAGCCGTCGTGCCAAGCAGCACCCCCCCCGGCTTGGCTGAGGTGCGGCTACCCTCCCCTTAGCAATCCTTTTTTGCCCTGCATTGGTGGTTGCCCCTAAGGACAAGTCACCCACAAACCCAAACATTGAGCGGCCAACAAACTAAGAAGCCAGGCTGACGCACACACACACACACAATATATATATATAATAATAATAATAATAAAATAAAGTAAACAGAACAACCGTCGGGTACATCTTCACACAGAACAAAATCAACAACGCAACCGAACACGCACACACACGCACGCACACACACGCACACACACACACACACACACACACACACACACACACACACACACACACACACACACACACACACACACACACACACACACACACACACACACACACAGAGACACACAAACACAAGCAAAACCACAAACACAAACAAACACACAAGCACACGCACAAGCATAAACACAAACAGAAGCACAACCACATCCACAAACACAAAAGCAACAAACACAAACACAACCACAGACTGGCACCCACCGATCCACTGACCCCCCGACCCACCGACCCACCCACCGACGCCCGCACGCCCGCACGCCCGCATGCGCACGTGCAGCACGACACACGCAAAAAGCACACGCACCAGCACGCAGGCAAACTTGCACAACAAACACCCATCCAAACAATGAGATGTAGAGTGCAATGGCACTAGCCCACTCATTTGTGGGTTTCAGCCCAGAAAAAAGGGGAGTGGTTTCTGTTTTGTGGGTCTGACTATTAGCAGTCCAAATCGCCTTGCAGGGTTCCGTATCAATTTAGTCCTTGGAATCACCCCCAGAGGGTGATGTTTAAAAGCAAAGGCCTTTAATATCTACCTCGGCTTGTCTAGATGATGATCCATTTAGTAAGTGGCCGTCAAACCCAACAGGAAGGGGGGGATTTACACAGAAGCCGGCAAGCTTGCAGCCGCTCTTCATGCTCGAGCCACTGGGATCCTTGCCCCACCACTGGGCAGCAGCGAGGCGCCCACGCCCTAGCGCCGGTGCTTTGGATTGAAAGCTGTTTATAGTAACCTGAAGTACCCTCCCACCGATTAATATGGAACCTCCGGGGGGTCCTGGAAATCAATTTTCCCTTTGGAGGGACACCCTGTCTGCGGGGTTCCATGCTAATTGGTGGGAGGGCAACCCAGGCCCTGGAGTAATCTGTAAGTAACACAACATAATACACACAATTCTCCAGTAACCTAGGGAAACCATCAGTAACCTGCAGTGCATTTTTTTGGTTAATGGACAACCCATGCTCACAAACCTTGCATATCAAGTGGGGCATTGCGGCGCACCCCACCAAAGTGAAGGATTCTCGGAAATGAGAAATCTGGGACACCTGCCACAAGTCAACCACATAGCTTCATGAATGAAGGCATGCATTGTCCCAATGACGAGCTGCCCGCCTTCGACTGTGGGACGTATCTTTGCTCGCCTGCCTCGGTTGAATGTAGCCGTCAGGGGCAAAGAACCCGAGAGACATCGAGAGGCGGGCTTTCCACTGCCACTCCAGAAACCCAAAGGCCAGGGACAAAAGGCTACAGGGAAAGGGTCGAGTTAAAACTTCTCATGCCAAGGCTTAGCTTCATCGGCCCACCAACGGGCCAACTATACGTGTGACACATGTGTGTGTGTGTGTGCGTGCATATGCAAATGTATGTATCAAAATAGATGGTACTTTGTAAATATATATGTATATGTGTGAAAGATAGGTACGTAGGTAAATTATAAATTCACACATAAAGTACACAGCAACTAGTATGCAAAACAGGCTTCAAGGATGCGCACCCCGGTGCATGACGCATCTTCAGGACACATTTCCATGAGGGGCACTGAATGTTTATGCAAGGCCAAACCACACAGGGCGCCTCAGGCCTCTCAAAATCTCAAAACCCACGCCACCAAAAGGAAAATAGCTCAAGATGGGCCAGCATAACTTTACAAAATACCCCTGCAAGCAAACCACAAGAGAACCCTTCCGCTTTGGGCTTTCAGTGACGTGTCGACCAGAAGCTGCCCCCTGGCACACGCCAAAGCTGGACGCTCCGGTGACTTAGGGCCGCACTGCGCGTTGAGGAGCTGATCCCAAACCTCAGTTGATCGGCATCGTCAGACATGCGGTATCCGCCATCTCTTGATCAAGGGACCCCGAAATACAAGTAACCGACTGACTGATTTCCAGGGACTTACCCAAGGGACTTACCCAAGGGACTTACCCAAGGGACTTACCCAAGGGACTCAGTTTGGGACCTTTGCTAAAAGTGGACCAACATGGGAAAACCAGGTCAAAAGGTCGGCTTTGGGCCAGTGAGCCATGTACGTGGACAAGCTAGAGTCAACAGTTGTGTTTGGTGTGGGAAATTGAGAACATACTTGGTCAGAGACTGCATGAAAGTCTTGAACCAATGTTTTGTGGGTGCTTGGGTTCAACCAACATTTGAGTATTGTAGGGTAAGGGGCCAGTCTGACAGATATGGGAAACACCTCATGGCGGCGTGTGGGTTGGCTTTATCAAAGATAGGGAGAAGCAACCACTTTTTGGGAGTCGAGACACGTGTCATGTTGCATCATGTTTCAAGGATACACAGCGATGCTCCAAGCTCGATGCCCTTCAGAATCCTTGAGGTTTGCTCATCTTGTAGTCTTGAAGAAACCCTGATACAAATTATGAAGATTGGTACCTGGTACTCATAGCTTTTAGCATTCAAACAAATATGTTCAGGTAGTAATGTTGACAGTGTATTAGTAATCCCCCCCCTATTAATCCGGTCCGGGTGGACCCCCCCAATACTAAACAATTCATATCTCAGAAAAACCCCCCTCAATAAAAAATAATCCAAAACAACCCCCCCCAATTAGACCGGTCCCTGCCCCAGATGGCCGCTGCTATCTCATTTTCTCCACTGCTTCTTGAGCTCATTTCTTAGAAATGGCTGAACATGTCATCCATATTGACAACTCACATTCATAGCATGTACTCTGCACATATGCTTCTTCCTAATCTCTTGCCTTCCCTCCTCATCCAATAGGCTGTGCACTTCTCAATGCTGCATGATAAGCAGCCTGATTGGAACCTGCATCTACTGCACACTCCCACCTCATAGTGTTGGAGTTTCTCAATGGCCTTGTGATACTCTGCAGGCAAATCTGAAATCTGCAGCTTGGAATTCTCATTCACAATGGCCATGGCCTCAATCTGCAATGAAGTCAATGCCTCACCCTTCTTCATTTTGTTGCATGCCAGATCATAAGTCTTCTTTCTTTCCTGCATGACCTTCTGGCCATACTTCTCCAATAGAGCAATGCCATTGGTAACCTCTTTCTTCTTCATGTCTATCTCCTTCTGCAACTGGGGCATGAATTTCTGCATCCTGGCATGCCAAGCTTGCATGGCCTCTTCAGGCCACCCAATGGCAGCAGGGTCATGTCCAGTCAACATGGCAACCTCCATTTCCAAGTAGGTCATGATATGCCATCCACACAGATTGGAGCCAATTGGCTGCCTGATGCTGGCATTGGTTCTATCCAATGGAGGCCTCATCAAAAAGTCCTCATCCACGATTTCGTTGTTCAAAAGCCATGCCAAAATGGCATGTGCCTTGTGCAAGCATGGCTCACTCATAGTTGTCAGTGTCTCATAATATCTGATCTGCTCCTGCTTGGATATGCCTGGTCTCAAATCCACTACCAGGAGCACAATATGGTGGAGCAAATGGCATGAGAAAGCATTTGGCCTCAGGGTTGTCAAAAAAGTCAAACAAACAATGGTCAACAAATGCAACCCTGCTGTGCCTTGCCCTTCATCTTCTTCAGCACATATGAACTAATGCCCTCTTGGTTCATGTATTGAGCATCCTCAGATAGAATGCCATGCAGCGCAGTTGGATGGATGAACTCCACATCCTGGATGTCTTCCATTGTCTTTTTTGTAGCCATCCATCTAATGAGACCATAAGCAATGACCACAGTCTCAATGTCCACATCCGAATGGTCTTTCCTCAGATCAGCCAATGAAAAAACATGCTCAGCACAGACCGGACTAATAAGGGGGGGGGGGGTAAACAAATGGGTCCAAAAATGCTAACTAATATTAGCACAAAAGCTTGATGACTTCCAGCTCACCCCATGAGTCCAGCAATGCAGGGTC